TTGCGCAATAATTCATTTTACATACCTGGGATTAAACATGCCACTGCTTACATCCTCGCGTCCTGCGTCCTCCGTCCTGGCTTTCGATCCAACATCCTGGTCACAAGCACTCACATTTGTACACTAACACTCGCGTAGATCGCGAATCGATCGGAAAAATGTATGACAACCAACGCGATGCCGACGAGGAGAGAGCCCAATTAACCCTTAAGTGGGCGCATGGGGTCAGCAGTGACCCCATTTTCTTTTTTAAAATTTAAGTAAACCAAGAAGTATTCAAAAACAAAAACAATGCAGTCTGATAATTGAAGTATTTTACTTTAATGAAAGACTTGAAATGCAGTTTCTTGTCCATTTTTGATAGACGACTGTCGCTTCACCACTGTCTTCGCATCACTTCACACGGATAAAACAAAGCGTCTCTGAGTATGTAAGTGGAAGGGGAAAACGCACACACGAGTTCAAGATCGCATTGGCTGCGTTATTCAACTTTTTCAAACGCGATCTTTTCGGTCGAGGTAACTGGAGAGATTTCGTTTCTTTTTACATATAGTTCCGGTATAGTTCCGCACCTTCTGTAAGAGTAACCGAATACTCTACTGTGATCACTATATTCTCGCGACCGAAATTTTCTATTCCTTCAATCGAAAAAGCAATTGTTCATGTGAGTGGTTCTTCGGTTGGCGAAACAGAATTTTCTATTACTGCAACTGAACCTCATGTAACAGAACATTTCTAGTTGTCGCAACAGAATATTTTTCTGCGTGTACACGTGCTCCGCGTCGCGGTATGTGCGTCTCTCGGCGACTCGAGACGTAATGACTCGGTCACGGACAAATACACAAGATACGAGAGAGTACCAAAACAATCAACACTTTCAAAGTCTCCTCTCACCAATCACGAGCCGTCGTCGCTCGTTAAATGACAAACACGTCGGTAACCGAGGATTCACGATCAACGTCCTCAAGATATTTCGGACCTTTGAAGTGATTAAATTATTAAATTAAACAAACAGCTTCATGCGCGGCACGAATCGAAATATCACTCGCAGCATTTGTCGGTCCTTGTCACTTTTGACGCACAATTATTCGTTAATATTGCATTTTCAATTGACCTATACGCTTGGAAACCTTTGAGTATAATTATGAGCAGAAGTTAATTCCAGGACGGATTACAGGACGCAGGACGTAGTGGCAATTGACGGAGAAGTTTAATCCCTTTTTCACTCCTTTTGAATTTTAAAATTGTATCGAAATTCCTTAAGCTAATAAAAAAATAATAATAAACTGATCATGAAGAAAGAAAGTTGCTTTAGCTTTTCAACTTTTAGGTTTCAACAAAGTTTGATGGAGGATCTGAAGGGTTAAAGATAATTAACCGAGATTTTAATATAAGCATTTTCGATCAATTTTCAAATAAGAAGTCGTATTGTTGTGAAATTTGTATTGCGTAATCTCTCTTTCTCTCTCTCTCTCTCTCTCTTTCTCTCTCTTTGGTGATACTTTACAGCTTAAAACAGAGTCTCCCGAGTTGAGAGGTAAAATAAAGCTCATGCGGATACCCGAGGGTTCGCTCGCTGCGGGAGCCAGGATAGATCGTACATGGCGTCCGAGGCGTAGAAAATGACGGTAAATAAGCGTACGTGATTCCAGTTTTTATAATTTATTTGTTGTTTGCAGCAGCACGACGGCGCACGACGCTATCGAAGGCTGAGCATGTGCGCGGGCGTGCGAAGCTCACGTTCAGGCTCATTCAGACGGCGGCGCGGGAATACGTCAATCTCCGAATTGTGTCCCAGTCGCGGGATAAATGGTTCTGCATGTTAATGCGATTTTGTCACGAACAGGGCTCGTCGTTATCGCGACTAACGGGACGGATTGTGATTCCCGAGGTGATCGACCGCGCGGTCTTGGCCGACGTGCAACTAAAATATCACGCGTCCAGCGACGGCCAACCCCTTCGCATAACGCGTGCCAAATTTTAACGGGTTTAACACTTGGCGCCTAAGGTGGCTCTTTTAATAAAATCGCCGTAAATATAGAGTCAACTTTCCGGTTTCGTAGAGGTCTTCGTGAGAAAGTGATATCTACACTTGCGTGCGTGACTCTAACGTCGTGATCATCTCATCACAACTTGTCACCTATTATTTGTCATCTGCTACTTTGTTATATAAGTTATAAGCACCTGCTCATCCCACCCCCCCCCCAGCTTGACGCGCGGTATAATTACGATTCGTGATATCTCACAAGAGGCATGTAGCCAGTGTAATCGCTTCGTTACACGCTCTCAAAATTTAGAAGGGCACAAGCCTGAACGCGACGACGCGTTCTCTTATGGATTAAGTAATTTGGAACAACTTCGCATAATTACGTAACTCGTTGGTGCAAATTGAGGCGTAACTTCGCATACTTAATTGTAACTCTAATCTAAGTTGCTGTCGCGCAATTTCGAGTTATGGACGAGAAAATGGTTTGTAAATTAGCGTATATAAATTTCGTTATGCAGACGACGCGCGATACCAATTACTCGCACGACGGTTCTAATTTCACTTGGCAAATTGCGACCCAAATTTTACACGAGCTCAACAACTGCGATATATCATCCTCAGATGATAACAATAAGCGCGAACGCGCGTGTCTAATATCGTAAAAGTGCAAAACACGAACGTACACGTGTCCGGTGCATATTAACATAACGGAACATGAGGAAGGTATTTCGCGGCGTCGCGATAACGAACTCTACCTGTGGTGCGGCAATAGCGGTTGGATGAAGGTATTACTTGAAATTACGAACGGTGTCCCGAAATTAATGTGCAGAATCGTCACGAGCGCTTAACCGTCGACAAATCATACAAAACGTACATCGGTCCCTTTATTGTGGAATCTCGACGAGCTGGAATTCAGATCGCGCTAGAAAACCGCGGTAGTCCGAGTTTGTTCCGATGAAACGTCCGCGTTTTACGGTAGCGTAATACGCTGTGCGATTGGTCGTGCCGCACGCGATCACGCGAGAGCAGCCAATTGGAACGGGCGCGAGACAAAGGCCGCGACACTCTGTCATTATTCACGTCACATTAAGCATTTATTATGTTTAACGTTACATTTACCCCGGGGGTTCGTTCGCTTGCCGAGTTGGACGTAACACGTGAATGCGTCACTTGATTACATCGGATAGCAGTGCCGATCGTGCATTTAAATAACAGTTCTATCGCGATGAACTTCGGACGTGTGCCGTTAACCTTTCCCGTTTAGTCTCCGATAATCCTCTTTCGTCCCCAACATTTTTCATCTTTAATACAACACGCTTATTGTCTAGCGTATTTTTAGTCTACATGTTTGCGTACTGTGATATAGCATTAATATTAAAATTTAAGCAAGATAAGATTGAATTGAAGAGATAAACAGTTAATCATAAATTGTTTAAAACGGTAATAGACAATTACGCGTATTAGACAATTCCCGTTAACGCTACTGTATATATATGTATATATATATGTGACGTTATATGTATGTCTACAACGAAACTATTATGAGAACGATCACTCGCATTATCCATATAATAATTTGTTTTTAAGAATTTTAAGTCATTCATTTTTATACGTGATATATTTATGCAATGACACTGATTCATTTATCCGATCAAACACCGCGGGATCGATTTTTCAAAAGTTGAAGGGGAAGGAAATCGAACTGAGATTCACGGGTCGTGATCCAATTTGACTTCGCTTCGCGGTGGATAAAGACGTCGCATGCCCGAGATTCGGGACAATCGACTTTTTTTCCTTACAGCTACAGCGCTGGATATACCGTGAGATGATTATTCTGTGGAACGCGGAAGTAGATCCCGTAATGCGGAAAGAATAATGCGAACAAGAACGTTGACTCGACACATGTTGCTTGGGACTTGAATCGTGAGCGAAAACTAATTTGTCACACAAGCTAATTTTCGCGCGAATAAAGGAATGTGTACAACTTTGTGGAAATACTTCGATGAAGGAGATTTGCGTTTGTGATTAACATTATTAATCGTATGCGATAAAAATATACTTAATATCATAATCAAAAAAGATTCGTCATTTTCTATTTGGAAAAAAATTCTGCTGTAATAAAAGAGTAGTTTATACGTGGATATTACGTGCAGTTTTTATTAAAAATAGAATAATAAATCTGAATACAAGGGCCATATATGCATATTCATACACATACACGTGACCCTTTAGTAATGCAAGAAATCATTTCAGTTTACAAAAGCGCAATGAGAACTGACAGGTCGCAACAAGTTTACGCAACTGTGCTCGCTCAGCACATAATATATTTAAACACGCATTAAAAATGTCTGAAAATAGAGAGAGATTTCTAAAGCGTAAATACAACACGCTATTAAAACTTGCATATAAATCTCAGCAGAAAATTCAAGCAAAATGTATGCATATCTTTTACTGGTATACATGAGTTAAAAAATACCAAATTTTCACTTCGATATGCATACTCTTTCTTTTCCTTTCCAGCAATCCGTGAAAATATGTACGAAATTGAGATGTATAAAGAAACTTTGGTATATGTCATGTTAAAATGTATTAATATATAATTACTGAGAAAGGAGGCTTACTAAAAAAGAACGTTAGAATGGCAGATGACATGTTTTCGCGCCATCTAATGGTTCAAAGTGCGCGCTAAGAGAGCATCGAAGCAGCAGCCAACTTCATTGCGCTCGAACAGGCTTCATTGAGGCTTCGTTAAAGCACCCGCGAGATATCGCCATGTCTTCTCATGTCTCACATTGTAAATACATGAGACAAGATCTCGTATTTATGTCGCAATATCGTGAGACAAATAACGAAACATGAATGATACACTGTACTCTCGAGCAATAAACAAAGCTAGTTGTCACGTGTCGTCAAACATTATACCGATGACGTTACGTTGTGCTTAACACATCGTACAGGGTTGCTCCGAAATCTGATCGCGCACTAGAACCAGCTGACACGAATGACGTCTTACCTTGGTGTCCCGGGACGTGTGGTAGTAGTAAACACAGGCGAACATCCACGCGCATGACAGGAGCAACGCGATCTTGACATTTCGCCGCATGACTGCCGCTGCTGTTGCACCGGTCCTCGTTACTTCCTCGTGCCACACGTATTTCGACGTCGGTCCGGCGGACCTTCGACGGTATGTCTCTTCACCACAAACCCTCGCCCTTCTATCTCACGAAAACGGAGCACGCACACCCGCGAGCGAAAACGCGGCGCGATATCACCGAGTACTACCAACACGCACGTACCGGCAGCCAAGGCCATACTGACGCAGCCGGTCGAGTGCGGCGACTATAAGCTCGTCTGGCATGCCCGCTGACGTCGCTACCTGCTGGCGGAGTACCAAAGCCGGTTACACCCATGCGTCGAAGGGCGCCACATTTCGGACGAGCAAAAGTGGGAAGAAATGAAAAAAGCCCTGGACAAAGTTTCATCGTGCCCCTCCAACTCAAATATCAAATATATTTATAAATATAAGAACATATAATCTTTTATGTTGTTACATGATTGCATCTGTAATCGTGATCGTCAATAGAAGTATGACCCTCTAATGCAATATGTTATGTGATTAAACAATAACAATTTATTATTATTTTTAAATAATTAATCGTTAAACTTATTAACTTATTGAAATTCCATCAAATTGCTGACGACAAAGAAGTGTATCTAATTAGTATGTGACTGGCAAAAGTTTTTTCTAGACCGTTACACGGACTTTTTCAAACCAACATATTGCAGACCACTTCCCCACGACGTGTTGTAAATAAAGTGTCAATTGTTATTTGGCTTTCGTGTGAGACAGACGTTTCCGGTTATATACGCAGCGTGAATGCAAGAAAAAATCGATCGTGATTGGAACAATATGATTCTTTTTTGACGAATCTTTTTTTTATTGAACATTAAATGCAATTAGTTTGACAAGTTCATATATATTTAGATCTTTATTTAAAGAATACGCTGTCAATTTAGCGAAAAATATGTCTCAGATTAGAAAATTATCAATAACGTTGTTTTCTAATTCTTCCTACTTTTGCTTGTCCAAAATATGGCACCCTTCGACGGGACGTTAGACAGCAACTGGACAACTTATTAATATAAAAATATTTTAGTATTAATGTAGTAATCTATACATATATTTTCAATTATCTTTTTAGTAATAGTTTTGAAATTATACGATCACTCTTCGGTAAGAGAAATTGTATACGAAAAATAAACTGTGTTTTACTATCTCTTGCTATTTCTATAATATATTTACAAAATAAACGAATTTATACATATTCACTAATCAATACATCTCTTACAGTCCTCAACAACGGCTTCGTTATTCCAGATACTCAGTCATGCGGATATAAACCGATATAAAACACATGCTTAATTAATTTAGGAATATCGGAAAATATAGAAAGTAATTTGCAAATGGAATCTATATCTATATATCTTGACTAGTGTAGTATCGATATTATCGAAGCGCGTACATATAGATGCTAGTTAATTAAAATGTATTCATTTATTATTTAAATGTGTTATATGAAACCGATAAATCGTTGAACGATAAATCGTTGAACAATAATAAAGATAGTTTATATGTTTAAAAATTTATACTTATAATATATCGTTAAAAATAATATAAAATTGCAATTTGAATAATATAATTGTAAAGAATAGTGAAGTATTTAATATGAATACTTCGGGCGAAAAACATATAAGGTGTTTTAGAAAAGGTAAGCTAGTTATATGTATTTACACATATAAGGCGCTTTAGGAAAGTAAGCCAATTATGTGTATTCTTTTTATGAAGACAAACAAAAAAGTTTTTGTTTTAGTTAAAAAGTTAATGTCGAACCGAGATTAAAAAGATTAATTTCGATGTTAATATATCACAGACAATAATATTTATTTAAATGAATAAAATTGAACAAAAAGACAAAAACTGATTTAGTAATTTAGATAAATATTATTGATTATATATTACGTATGGTATGTTGTATGTTAACATCGAAATTAATTTTTTTAATCCTGACTTTAACTTTTTAACTAAGCGTTTTAGACGCTGTGTTTATAGGAATTTTGTTTGTTTGTCTTGATAAGAAAAATATAACTACCAGCGCACCTTTTTAGAAACACCTCGTATTAAAATTTTAACAAAATTTTTATTTTAACAAAATTTTTATTTTAACAAAAATTTTAACAAAAAGATGTATCTGTAATTTCTATTAAGATCTATTAAGATAAAATTTTGTAATAAATGCACGCATTCGTTCACCGGCATTGTAATTTTTTTCGTACTTTCACGTAAATTATCTTGCTGGTACTTATCGTTTGTAGTGATTGTAAACCAATACTTTGATAGATGGATGGGTGGGTATTTTGATAGATCTACCAAATACGCCCACCCGTAGACGCAGGCACTTGCGTTGCCGATGCGCAGATCAGTCTGTCGTGACCTGTCCTTTTGGTAGGATTTTCTCGAAAGTTCAACACGGCATGTCGGGATAATATTTAGTTTACTGAGTTTCAAATCGCCGCTGGCATGGCTTCTACATCAAAATGGTTCTTGTTATTATACCTCGGTTTCTGCACGGCATGGATGGACGAAAGGTATGTTTCTTAATAAGAGGCAATAAATCATGCACTCAATCTTGTATATCATTATTCGCATTTCCGTGACCAAATTTTCTACCAAATATGTTTTGAAACACCCAGTCAAATCAATAATTATCATTATTGATTTGTGCACCGTCTTTTTCCAATTAATATATATTCGCTACATACATATATGACGCGACAATTTTTTACGAAAAATCGGCATCGGTGTGTGTTAGAAAAATATATGTTGGAGAAATTTTATTTCTATCTTCATCATTAAATTTGTTTTAATCATGTCAAAAAAAAAAAAATACAAAATAATTTGTGAGAAAAGTTGTCAAATAAATTCTGATAACGGACGTGTTAAAAATAATATTTTTGACGAATGTATTTGAAGTGTAAAGCACACAGATGTTAACATAAAAAATAGTCTAATAGGACTGCTCTACTTTTAATTTCCACTCCACTTGCGCAAGCTTCTTTTCCAATTGCAACAAATGTATGCGAATAATATATAAATAATGCGCGACTTAGGCCTGTTCTGGAGTCTCGAGACGGACATCTCATAATCTCCAGCTCGAAGGACAGAAACATCACTCTGAAGATAATAGGAAGCGGTTACGTGAATGTCAATGAGATTAATCTACTTCACGTGGCATCGGCGGTAATGAACATACGTCTATATGTACTGCGTGACAATCAAGGTGCAATTGGTTGATGCACGAGTTTCGATCCCTTTTAGGCGCAAAATGCGACGCGGGTCATCGACAGGTGGCGGATGGGATACTTGGCTGAGATGGAGAGCTCTCTTCAGCAACTAACAACTATAGTGACAGGCTCTACAGGTCTACAGAGGAGAGTAGCTCTGCTCGAGAGAAACATCGATACGAATATTACGAATCGTATAGGAAACAGGACGCGGATAATAGTAAGAACACGCAAATAAGCAATATTAGATTAGCAGTTTGTGAAAACATATTTTTCTACATATTCGCAGCCATTTAAACTAATACGATGACAGAAAAAAAAAATAATTTCTGTACGATAACATCCACGGGCAAATAATACGATGATTATACAAACTGCTCTGATTATACTTACGCGATATATTAAATTATTTATCTTGAAAATTTAAATATCTATTTTGATTTGAAGAGAAGCGATATAAATTATGTCATCACTGACCTCATAATGACTACTGACTGCAGAATAACGTGTAATTTTCAGCCGAGTACTACAATTAACAGAAATAATCTCCGCCGTATCAACATGCGAGTACGTATCACTTGTCTATCTATTCATTATGAGCTATATACAGGTTGCGTGAAAAGTTCGCGGAGCGGCATCTATAAGTAAACGGTAGAATTATAAATTGTAGTCGGTTATATAGAATCACTCTTCACATGAACCTAGGTTAGGTTTCATTTGCATCTGTCAATTCTTTCTGTGTTTACAAGCCAATTGTAGTTGACGTGTCAGTATATTTGTTTGCAATGGAAAATTTGAAACAGCGTGCAGTGATTGAGTTCTTTGTTAAAAAAGGTTTAAAGGCAATGGAAGTTCATTCCGAGATGGAAAATGTGTTAGGGGAATCTGCTCTTTCAAAAACAATGGTTTATAAATGGGCACTTGAGTTTCAACGTGGTCGTACAAGCATTGAAGATGATCCACGCAGTAGAAAAAGGTAAAACAATTAACTCTGAATATTATTGTAACCTTTTGGATCAATTGGACGCAAAAATTCGTGAGAAAAGACCTGGTTTGCAGCACAAACAAATCATTTTTCACCAAGACAACGCACCTGCTCACACAAGTGTTTTGTTAATGTCTAAATTCAATGAATTGAAATACAAATTGCTTGATCATTCACCGTATTCGCCAGATTTGGCACCCAGCGACTTCTATCTGTTCCGAAACCTGAAACAATTTCTCCGTGAAAAGCATTTTTTGTCGAATGAAAAAGCTATAGCAGCCGAAGAGGCATATTTCGCAGACCTTCCAGAAACACACTTCCGCGATGGAATAAAATTATTGGAGAGCCATTGGGCCAAGTGTATCGAAGTTAATGGAGACTATATTGAAGAATAAAATCATTTTTAGAATTTGGTATTCTTTATTTCAGTTTCGCTCCGCGAACTTTTCACGCAACCTGTATATGAATAATATCCCACGCGGTCGTAATTACGAATGTAAATATGTTTTCCTTTTTCAGCTTAAAGAGTTGGAAGACTCATTGAGAGCTATGCAAAGGCTTCTCCGAGAGAACGAGTGCCAGAGTAATCCGTGTCAAAACGGCGGTACGTGCGAGGACCTCTATGACGCCTATCAATGTCATTGTCCATCAAATTGGGAGGTATGTATGACAGTCCTGCGTAAAAAAAGAGAGAGCACACCGATATTTCACGAGAGAATAATTTATGGCGATTTCAGGGCCCGAACTGTATGACAGATGTTAACGAATGCGCGAGATTTCTTGGCACGGATCTCGGATGTCAGAACGGAGCAACGTGCCGTAATCTACCAGGATCTTATCGGTGAGCGACAATTAATTATATTTCTTCCACCAAATAGAGTAACATCAAGAAATTCGCGCTATGCTCTCGTATGTCTATGGATATCTGGTACAATCTAAAATCCGCTGTCTCTGCAAAAGAAAGAACTGTACAGAGGTGTGTTTTTTTTTTAATGCGAGTATCAAGTTTGCCGTATCAATTCGTCCCAAAAGAGTAACTCCGCGAAGTTTGACATCTGGCGACCGCGGTTTAGCGGACGTACAATTTCTGGGATACATTATACGGAATATGCTTGTATACATAATATCGGTTCTACATCAGATGCGATTGCTTGCCGGGATGGTTTGGCCTGCACTGCACGCAGAAAACATCGATTTGCAATACAGAGAACTCCGAGGCGCTTTGCGGCGAGCACGGTGTCTGCGTAGCGAAGAGCAGCTCTCCACAGGGATACGCTTGTATCTGCGATCAAGTATGATTTCCCATCTTCCATTGTAAATGCCGGTTTCTCGAAAATCGTAAAGTTGTCGGTGGAATATCAGACGGAATTTGCGTTCGTAAACCGCCCCTCGACGCGGCATTACCGATCCTTATATTTATCGTATCCTCAGGGATGGGAGAGCGACGGTACAAGCCCGGCTTGCACCAAGGATGTAGATGAATGTGCAGCAGACCACCCACCCTGCTCCGTAAATCCGCCGGTACCGTGTCGCAATACGCGTGGCTCATTCACTTGCGGCGCCTGCCCACACGGTTATAGCGGAAATGGCTATTATTGCACCGACATTGACGAGTGTCTGATTAACAACGGCGGCTGCAGTATCTCACCTTATGTGTCCTGCATGAACACGATGGTAAATATATATGTGCGCTTACATACGCGTCACATATGTCACATATGTCGCATATAATATTAGCTAAAAGATATGGTTTTGTTCGAGAAGCGTGCTAGGCAATGTGTTCAAGTCCGCCGCTTGTCTACCGTAAAATCTTCCATCATGGATATTATTCGCTGTTTCCTCGTGATCGCGAGTATTTCTGAGAGCTTTCGTACAAATATCCTTCAGTAGTGGAATATGTAGACAATATCGTTCAAGTGACTTGATCAAATGGCAAACGGGTCGTACGATCTGCCGCAATAAGCATGTAATTCCACTAATTCCTCTGATTGCTTATAGGGTTCGAGGGTATGCGGATCTTGTCCGATCGGATATCGAGGCGACGGTGTCAGTTGCATCTTTGTCGGCGGTTGCTCCATCAACAACGGCGGATGCCACCTACTGGCGACCTGCACCGAAAACCCGTCACTTACGAGTTCTTACGTGCTGTGCCGTTGCCCAGCGGGTTACGTCGGTAATGGAATGGGACCAAACGGCTGTCAATTAGCTGATGTATCGGTCAATACAGCGTGTTCGAGCAACCCTTGCGTTCATGGCACATGCGTGCCAAACGGTGCAAATGGCTTCACTTGCACGTGCAGTCCGGGATATTCAGGTATATATTAACGATGTAGGAATGGATGTGAACCGGGGCGAGAGAGGGGAGGCAAATGCGTCCCACGAACCCACTCGTAAACCGTAACGCTCTGTTTCTCACACGTGACCGAATAGGGGGTGGGGTGTGGAATTAATTCGCATTTAGCGGGCACACGTAAGACCATAAAGTATCGCAGTTGCGAATTATGAAGTGAGAAACATCAGCCGCAACGCGAGGGTCTTCATTTTATTCAGTGGGAAACAAAAAGGGAAAAAAGCGAAGAAAAACGAGGGAAACGAAAAGTACACGCAACATACATCTTTCGCATTGTACTATATTTTTGTACTTCTTGTCGGTACTTTTAGGAGTTACGTGTAACACGCCAGCTGATCCGTGCATGCCAAATCCCTGCCGGAACAACGGTGTCTGCGTCGTTTTGAACGGACAAGCGACGTGCGAATGTACATCCACTTTCACTGGAAGCAGATGCGAAACACAACGGCAGGCATGCGGTGGCGTGTCGCGAAATCCAGTAGGAGTGCTTCAATTCCCGATCGGCGGCAGTACTTATCAGCATAGATTGAGCTGCGCTTGGGTGTTGATCACGGAGCCCACAAAGGTCTTGAACATCACCTTCACGGCTTTTCACCTCGAGCAGTCTACAGATTGCAAGTTCGACTTCCTGCAGGTGCGATGTTCTTCCGGCAGCCAAGGGAGTCTTAGTAGTACTTTTACCCCTGAAGTAACTGTGTTTGTCGTAAGGCTGTGAGTTTGGCGAGCTCTCGAAGGTATCTATCATTGAATAGTACTCGAGTCCTCGTAAGCACAAGATACGGTTAGTTAGGAAAGTTTCTTCAGGGACTTCGGGGTAAACTGTTTAATCTCGTTCTAAGTAGTTTCTGGCATCGTCGACTATCTTCGATGCTGCGTTTAGGTCTTTACGTTCTCATGCATTAGACATTACGACGTAAAGATCGGGAAAACCCAGGTAACTCACAACATCCGACGCGATGTTTCAGATCCACGATGGGAAGAACGCCGGTGGTCAAATGATCAACAGATTCTGCGGCGAAACGCTGCCCAATGGAAACGGAAACATTGTCTCGTCCCATAATTCTCTCTACCTATGGTTCCACTCGGACGGCAGTATATCTCACGACGGGTTCACTTTTCATTGGAATAGTATCGATCCTATTTGCGGGGGTATTTTAGAAAATGACTATGGCACAATCACGTCGCCGGGCTCACCAGGCAGATATCCTCCGAACAGGGATTGTTTCTGGAGAATCTTCGTGCCAGAGTCGAAGAGGATTCAATTCCATTTCGGTCAATTGATGCTCGAGGAACATCCAACTTGCCAAAATGACTACTTAGAGGTAAATGTGCTTCGTAAATTAATCCTACCGTAAGTGGTACTACGAGAATCTCTCTCTTTGAATGTATTTCTTGCATACATAATTTTTGATATTGCTAATCTGATCGTACCTGATTTCTCATAACATTATTAAGTATTTCGAATTAAATGTTGAAACGGTACTACCGTATTTAAGATCACTGTCTTGTCAACAATTTCTTGTCAACTTTGATTCTGTGTTCAATGTTACGTAGATTACCGGCATAGAAGACGAACGTTTAGGGCTTTACTGCAATCATACACACCCACCGCCTCTCATTACACCGACTTCCGAAGCGAAAGTTCATTTTCATTCTGATGGTGCCGGTCAAGACGTTGGTTTTCAAATCCATTACACGATGGTCGAAGGTATCGGCAAAAGCACTTGATTTGCATTTCGAACCTAAATACATTACAGTTAGTTAGCGGCATTTACTTAAAAGGTCTGATATTTTTTGACAATTTTATTGTCGGAAAATTCAACAGAGAATATTCTTGATACTTAGGTATACCAGGTTGTGGTGGAACTTACACGACTGCCTCCGGTACGATTAGCTCACCTGGTCACTCGTCAACTTATCTTCCAAACATGCAGTGTGAATGGAAAATACAGCTACCACCAGGAGAGCGAATTAGAGCAATGTGGTTGCGATTCGATCTCGAGGAATCTCTCAGTTGTCATTTTGACTACGTCGAGGTGATCTCTTGAACATCATCATATTTTTAATGTAAGGTGTCAAAACATTTAAGTTAATCTTATTTCTTCTGCCAGGTCTACGACGGACCACACACGTCTTCGGAATTAATCGGTAGATATTGCGGATCGGAATTGCCGTCAGCGATTAAGTCGACTACGAATACTTTAGTCGTAGTATTTAGCTCCGATTGGTCTTTCGAGTCAGAGGGTTTTGCTATTTCCTACGAAACATTTTGCGGCGGCGAGTTCCGCGACGAAACAGGAATCATCCATTCACCCTTTTATCCAAACAACTATCCTGGCTCAAAGACATGTATTTACGAAATTATACAACCGGTCAACCAGGGAATCGTATTAAACATATTAGATATGGACATCGAAGGTCTGTCAACGGATTGCTTCTACGATTACATCGAGATTCACGACGGTGATAATGAGAATGCAACGAAACTCGCCACATTGTGCGGCAATGAATATCACATACCGCCTACTCCTTTCATTTCGACACATAATTATATGTTTATTAAGTTCACTACTGATAACAGCTTGGAAGGCCGAGGTTTCAAGGCCAACTACACGACCATTGATCGCAGTAAGTCGACCTATACTGCAATATACAATTAATCTAATGTTAAGCTGAAACTAACAAACTATAAAACACATGTAGAGAGCGATTACAACATTTGCATGTAAGAATTCGATAGCAAAGGTAACAGAATAATCACTGTTATTTTCCTTAAGGATGTGGCGGACTGCTGAAAACATCAGGAGAAATAATTAAGCCTCCCACTGAAGATGGACATTATTTGAATGACGAGGATTGTATTTGGACTATCCAAGCGCCGCCGGGATATGGTGTGCAACTCAACTGGTTGTCTTTCAACTTGGAAATGCACCGTCGATGTGTCCTTGATTACGTTAATATTTACGAGAATTACACTTCACCTTCAGAAAACATAATAGCCACGTACGTTAGTATATTAAAAAATGTCAGAAACAGCATTAATGAGTAATAATACTATACAGTGATATTGTTGCCATTATACATAAATTTTTCTGTATGTTACGACCCTTTCATTACGTAACATATTTTAGATACTGCGGTAACAAAGTACCACTCGGCTTTACGACACAAAGTTCCACGGTTACCATACTTTTCCACTCTAATACGTATGGCACAAGCGATGGATTTGTCGCCACGTATCTTTTTGTCGACTTGACGAAGATCTGCGGAGGTCATTATATGAAGTCGACCGGCGTTATCAGATCGCCAGGTTATCCTGATGATTATGAGAATCGAAAGGAATGCGTTTGGACTATCGAAGCACAGGCCAGACACAGGATCATACTTACGGTGAATCACTTTGAGCTGGAAGATCATTCGTCATGCATATTTGATTACCTAGAAATTAGGTAGATAATCAGCTTAAAATGTAAACGCTATTGCTTACAAATCGCTATTTTATATCTCTTGTGTTTCAGAAACGGTGGTTATGAAACTTCACCGCTGATCGGCAGATTCTGCGGCGAAGAAATACCAACTGAAATACCAAGTCAAGCCAGTCAGTTGTATATTAAATTTGTTTCGGATTTCTCAAGAAGGCAAAAAGGCTTTGAGATACAATGGGATAGCACAACGGAGGGTAAGAACACACAAGGAAATTCCGATGAATTCTATTGTGTTCCAATTTCTTTCAGTCCTAGCAGCTTTTACATGTGACATGATTTTAGGATGTGGTGGTACGATGAACGCAGTTACCGGAGACATAATATCTCCAAATTATCCTGAACCTTACTTGCACAATGCAGAGTGCTACTGGAAGATCGCTGTGGCGGCGGGTAGCTTGGTGCAAATTACAATAGTTGATCTCGAGCTCGAGCACAACGAGAGGTGTCGATTTGACTTTATCGAGATATTCGAAGGCATCAGTCACCGCGTGCGCAAAGGACGTTATTGTGGCGCGTCATACCCGAAGATTATTCAATCCGCAACTAACGAAATGACCATTCGATTCCGCAGCGATTTTACCAATTCCGCCCGAGGTTTCCACCTGAAGTACGAAACGCGTAAGTGTAGATTTTTTCAATCAAATAGCATGTGACTTTAATTATTCGATATTGTTTGGCACTGAAAAAATGCTAAAGTGCAATTTCTAGTTCTTTTTCTAAAGATATGAAAATATTTATGTCAATAAGATTGAAATAGTCTTGAATTTCTATATTTTTGTTCGTACAACATTGTATTAGTATATTTAATTCTTGCACATGTACAGACAACTTATCGATATTATTAAGTAATTATTGAACGTCTCAACGATAATTGTAAAACTTTCATTTTTGTCGCAGAATGTCACAACAGATTACACGGCTTCTACGGTGTGATAGAGTCACCGAATTTCCCCAACAAATACGAACACGCGATGAATTGTAGTTGGATCATTGAGGCGCCGATTGGGAACAAGATTAATTTAACTTTCTCGCATTTTGATCTTGAAGGACGCGGCGATTCTGATAACATTTGCCAGTTCGACTATCTTGAAATCAAGGAAGGCGAAGGTGACACTCCTAATTCCGAGTTAGGTCGCTTCTGCGGTTCCGTCAATTTGCCGCTGAAAATAAGTTCAACGCAAAATCAAATTTTCATAAATTTTGTTACGGATTCTTTCATCGCCTTTAATGGTTTCCGACTCGAGTGGCTGACTCACGGTTGCGGTGGAATTTTGTCTAAACCTGTCGACAATTTTACGTCACCCGGATATCCTTCTGGTTATCCGACAAACATCGTTTGCGAATGGCTGATCGATGTGGATTACGCGCACAGCATCGAACTCACTTTCCACGAGGTGGGTAAATCCGAAGAAGAGTTCTTCAAATATTTTACGGATTTCGATACAGCGATGTTAAGTCAGACCAGCGTTGTCGCGACTTCTCACAAGCAGAAACTTCTACCTTTCAGGTGAACACTGAGAAGCACAAAAACTGTTACTACGACAAAATCCAAATCTATGCCGGCCAAGACGCAGACGCGCCAAAATTGACTGAGCTTTGTCATACGGAAAAACCAGTAGTCTACACCAGCCCCGGGAACAAAATGTTCGTGAAATTTCAATCGGACATATCGTACGCCGGTCGTGGCTTCAGAGCTAGCTACAGGACCGTTCCTATCAAGTGCGGCGGTAAATTTACAACATCATCGGGCATCATTCACTCGGCCAATTACCCGCAGAATTATCCGCACAGTCAGAATTGCGAGTGGCTGATAGAAGTCGACAATAGTCACGTCGTAAACGTTACGTTTCTGGATTTCGATATTGAGAACAGCAGGAATTGCACCGATGATTACGTGAAAGTATGCTTTAACTGTCAAAATAAGTTGCGTATAAAAAATGTAGAAATACTTTTATACAATTACTCCTCATTTTAAATTTTCTTCCTTTGATCTAGTAGTAAGTGCGTGAGAGCGTATTTGTAAATTTTCTTGTTCCACATTTTTATAGATCTTTGACGGACCAACGAAAGACGATGCGTTACTGGGAACGCATTGTCGCAATCAACTGCCACCGTCCTATATTTCGACTGGTAATCAAATGTTAGTAGTTATGCGGACCGACAGTATCATCTCAGCGAAAGGCTTCAAAGCTCAATACTCTCGAGCCTGCGGTGCTCGCATAACTGTGAAGGATCACGGTTCCTTTACATATCCGAATGATAATGGCGATAACGGTAACTGCACTTGGATCTTGACAGCTGAAAATCCAGGTAAATCTCGATCTGGTTTGAACTCACACTTCTAATTGCGAAAGCTCACGCCATCTTTCACTAATTCACCCCTCCAACGCAGCCGACCATGTGACTTTAACTTTTACGCACATGGAGGTCGACCCTGCTGATTTCAGTAGAATATGGAATGATAGCTGCTATTTATCCTACATCGAAGCGTTTGAAGGTGATAGCACCGACGGCCCGTCTTTGGGGAAGTGGTGCAACAACGTCGCTCCACCGCCGGTTACAAGTACCGGAAGTTCTCTTACGTTGCACCTGTTCATACGTTATGATTTCCACGGCCATTTCGCCGCAACTTATTCCGTCCTAAATACAGGTACATCAAGTTAGGATATGTGCAACGTACGCGAGCTCATTAGCTCGTCTCCTTAACTTCTGTCTTTTAGCTTGCGGCGGAAACTATACATCCGAACAAGGCATGATCACTTCGCCGAGTTACCCGAACAGCTATCCTTTGAACTCCGAATGCGTCTGGATTTTGAATACCTCCCCCGGTAACAGGATTAGTCTTACGTTCACTGAGTTTGACGTCGAAACGAGCGAAAACTGCGATCTAGACTACGTCGAAGTGCGGGAGAATAGCGGAATCGGGAAGCTGATTAACGTCCTTTGCGGCAAAGACGCCGCGCCGATTACGTCCTCCAGCAAACTGTGGCTCAAGTTTAAAAGTGACGATTCAGGCACCGCCAAAGGTTTCGTGGCTGAGTATAGTTTCATCGGAGGTAACGAACTTCAAGGACCTCTAGGACGTATTACCTCGCCATTATATCCGAAACCTTATAGACGGACAGCCAATTTCTCGTGGCGTATCACGGTTGATATGGAATCAATCATACAAATCCAATTTAGAGATATTAAAATCGAGAACATTGTCGATACCTGCATTTTTACCAGCGTTACCGTAAGTATTCTTATCCAACATGATAAAAAACGCTGAGAATAGTGGAATTCCGATGAAAAAACAATTATATAGAATTATAAAGGAATTATATATAATTATATGTAAATTTTATATTATGTACAATTTATGTCCACAAAAAAACGCTGTTAAGTGAAGAAAAGAAGAAATTATTTTGTTCAATTATATATCGATATCATGGGCTACTGTAAACATACATAATTGCTTTAATTTCATTAAAGCTTTAATTGCATTAATTGCTTTAATTGCTTTAATTGCTTTAATTGCATTTGTCATCATTTCTTTCAGTGTGTGGACTCACATAATTGTGTGCATTTATATATGGCTATGTAAAATATGTAGCAAAATTTATATATGATCATATATAATTATTTCTTGTTGTAAATGTATATATATATATATAATGTATATCAATTATTTTAAACGTAATATATCTGGAACTACATGTAGAAAGGTATTGTTATGTATTATCGTGTATCAACAGCTTTAATTTCAATCGTTCTAATTAATAGAATTAATTTCGAATAAACATGTATAACTTGAAGGATTAGAAGTGCTGTTAGAGCTTAATCTGTTTCTCACCAGGTATATGACGGATATGACGACGAAGCGCCGATTCTAATACAAGCATGCGGCTTCAGTGTACCGGATCCGGTAGAATCATCCAGCAATATAGTTTACATCACGATGACGAGTGATTATATCAGGCAGGGGAACTGGTTCGACCTGACGTGGCTAGAAATACCGAAGGACGTCCCCAGTGCTCAGGACACCAAAGAAATTAAGCGTAAGATGTTTGTCTCGCGTGTGTACGCGCAATTACTCTACTTTGTCGTAAATGCCGGGATACATATGTAATGTAATAAACATTAACGTTTCTGAGTGACCGGCTAGATTAACACGAGATTCACGCGTACGGCAGCAACACTTTCGCTTCGCTTTACCTCTCCACAGTGTCAGAGTGCAACAAGGAAGTAGCTCTAATGGGTGAACACAACTACACGTACTCCTTCAGCTCTCCCGGTTGGCCGATCGGTTACGCACATAATCTGCGTTGCAACTGGGTCTTCACCTCGCCACCTGGAACGCATTTAGTCCTGAGAATATTATCTATGAATTTGGAAGAGACGATGAACTGCATAGCCGACTCCGTATCTGTTTATTCGGGATTAGCACTGATATCGACCAGCGACGCTCATCTGAAGAGTAAACTGTGTCTGGCGAACTCCACCATGACCTCGATCAGAACGACTAATGTGATGACGGTGAAATTCGAGACAGATTCAAGCGTCAATAAAACCGGTTTCAACGCATATGTGTATCGAGGTCAATGATTTAATTTTTCGTTCAATCAAATTAACTTTTTGCGGAAACTTGACGCTTTTCTGTTGATATTCAGATTGCGGAGGTAATTTGACTGGCCCTAATGGCATAATTGAGCACGACAATTCTTCGTCGAGAAGTACGTGGCATTACACATGCGACTGGACTGTCGAGGTGAAGCCTGGTAAAACTATCAAAGTAGATATTATAGATATGTCGATATCGCAAACAGCCGATCATACCTGCAACGATAATTACCTGTTGGTTAGTAATAAACGTTATATTATTAGCTCATCGTTAGTTATGAACGAGAAAGGTCAACAAGAACACATCGCACCTTTTCTAAAAAAATAATCTGTGTAATTGCAGTTGAAGAATGGAGGCGATATGTTTTCGCCTCTGTTAGGCAACGGAAAGTATTGCGGCGAGGTGCTGCCTGCGGAACTACAAACCATCGGAAATCTCCTTTTCGTCAGAGCTGTTCGCAATGGGCCTCATCTTCGCTTCAAATTAACCTACAGGTTTGTTAATTAGGCAATTTATTTGCTATATTCACGAATGACATACGTGTGCATAAATTTGAAAAGTCTGTTGTTACATTTGAACGTTCTTGTGATAAACGTGTTTTCATCATGTAAAATCATGTAAATCATCATGTAAAAAAATCACTCGAACAAAAGATTCACTTTATCCCTGATTTCATTTTGCTTGTTTTGCCGTGTTTTATTTATATTTTAGGGAAGTAAGCATGAGCTGCGGCGGTGAGTTTATCTTGACGAACAAACAGAAAAAATGGGAAATAACTACCCCCAATTATCCAAACATTCCGCCAACATACGCCGAATGTACTTGGAAGGCTATCGCTTCAGCTGGCGAAAGACTTTCTATCCATTTTCCAGAAAGATTCGATTTGAGCTATAGTACAGAGTGAGTTTTTCTAATTAAAGAGAAGCCAAGAGTAAAAACCGCTCGGCTAAGATTTTCGCTTGAAGACGGCCATTTTATCTTTTTCAGCTGCGAAAGAGAATACGTCGAGATAAGGGACGGTGGTACTGACACTTCAAGATCTTTGGGAAAATTCTGTAAGGACGTCGCACCCAATAGTAAGACTACCACTGGCAACATGATGTACATTCATTTCTACACAGACCTGCCGGAGCCGAAGAATGGCTTCAAAGCTGTGATCACATCCGGAGGTAAGAGAAGAAAGGAATACAAATATATATCTAAAATATATTCGTAAGTTGCAATACAGCAAAGTAAAACGCAGTCAAAATTGAAGACGGAACTAAAGGTCAAGGTAAATCGTGGAAATGAAAAGCAGTACTTCTGCGCTCTGTGGGAACTTTACGCGCGAAATACACCGCGGATTCTCTTGATAAAATATTCACGTCGCACATTCTCACATAGACGTCTGCGGTGGAATTTTGCGCGGTGTCAGTGGCGTCATCGAATCGCCGCATTATCCACATTTCTATCCTACAAACCAGTCGTGTTGGTGGTGGATAATAGGACCGACGGATCACACCTTAAAATTGCAATTCCGCGATATACACCTGCCTGGTTACCGCATATGCAATGCAACCGATCACGTTGAAATCGGCGAGAAGACTGTGGAAACTGATAAACGTGAGTAATTATGCAAAAAAATTACATAAATTTAAGTGTATACCAATTGTATTGCAACACCGTGACGCTACGTTTCGATGAAACTGTATCTCTTCGCAGCCTCATCAATCGGATCCTACTGCGGTCTTCTAAAACCGGATGTGATCGAGACATCGTCAAACGAAGCGTACGTCATGTTCGTAAGCGACAACAGGGATTACATAAATTACAGAGGCTTCAGTATAAACTTCACGGCTACCCAAGAAAGTTAGTAGCCGCAAAACAAATTGCGTCCAGCAATTCCTAATTTTACGTTTCATGAGCTCCGCTCCACATGTTACTTGCGCAATTTTGAATTTTACACGTTACGCGCGAATTTTGTTACTTCATGTGTGTTATACTACCTGCTTGCAGCGTGCGGCGGTTCATTAACCGCAATGAGTGGAATAATTAAGTCACCCGGATATCCGAATCCACGTACACGACCCAGGTAAATTTCCCTCAGAGGGCTAGCATCCCTTGCATCATAATGCCAGCGCGTAATGCAAAATACATGATCGCTCAAAAAAGCCCGTTGAATAGAAATTAATTTGCACATATATTTCACACTGCAAACTTTGTAAAATCGCATAATGGTGTCATTAAATTATGAACAGGAACAATTGTTTGATCAAATCATGTCGCGAGTTAACGAGCGGCTATCAGCCGAATCAGTAATTTACGCGTTCTAAAATAGTAACAAAAATTAACACGCTATAATTTATATAATGCCTATAGAAATTAACATGAATTATGTGCGATGTATCGCAGATATTGTGACTGGCGGATTGAACTGCCGCAAGGTTACCAGGTTGTGGTGAATATTCTGGACTTGGATATCGTCAGCTTATCTGGACCGACGCACGTCGGCTACTCACTTTCGGTAAATGGCGTAACGCCAGCGGAACGTAGGAAGCATTATTTTGAGAAAGAAACGGATGAATGCGCTAAACTTTTTCTTCTATTCTCTCTTTACAGTTCTACAACGATTTCCGCTATAAATCAAAGATTAAAACTCTGGGACGCATTTCACACGACAGCACGGAGGAAATAAGTAGTTCTAGCAATACCATGATTATCGGCTATTGGTCCTCCGCCGGGCATCGAGGTTTTAAACTTCGTTACTATTCCCGGGTACCAGCTCGTAAGTTTCGAAAGCTTATCGGCGATAATTTATTCATCACGTGTTTTGACGACGCGTTCCAATACATATCAACGTGTCGCCTAATCGCGTTGCTCTCGTCGTTATGCAAAATATAAAAGGAGAAACGTTAACATGCGATCAACTTCTGTGAATGCGCTGCTTGCAGCCTGCGGTGGAAGACTGTCGGGACGTGAAGGCAACATCACGGGCCCAACAACTCGACCTTTCAATGAATCCTCATACATATGCAACTGGAAACTGGTGTCGCCCTTATATAGGTTCATCCCTGGCAACCTTGCCCACTTCACCAACATCGCCAACACCGCCAACAACAATTTTACATTGACGATAAAAGTGGTCGGTGACTTGGGCGAATTCGAGATAAGTCCCAGAGGAAAATGCATCTACCCTGAATACATCGAACTTCACGGTAAGATAAAAGACTACTTGAATTCTCATTACCGCTCATCGGCAGTAGTTGTCGAAAAACGTGTAAATATAGATCGGAGATGCTATTACCAGAGAATGAAAGGAGAATATTATACATTGCAGGTGTCGGAGTATTGTGTGGAAATATAACACAGCCGAGGTACTTGAGAAGCCCAAAACCAGTGAACGAGTTGACGGTAATTTATCAGTATATGATAATCTATTTTCCATTTCCGGCATATATCAATCAAAGTCACTTTAGTGCGAATTTTAGTGCGAACGGGGATATAAGGGGTGGTCAATTTTAACTTCCATTATTCGCATACAGGTAATGAATGGTACTTTTGGGAAACATATGTCTTATAACATACAATACCAATGGCAGCCTTGTGGTGGCATTTTACAAGGCCCATCGCATACTGTCACATCACCGAGGAACATATCCTACCCAATAAATTGCGTTTGGCATGTGAATTATCCTAGCAATAGTGAAACGATCAGCCTCACTTTCGCTAGATTTAATCTTGGCAGTTGCGAGCAAGGTTACATCATCATTAGGTACATTATTTTAGAGTTGTTCTTTTGTGAAATAATTTCCGATTTACAATTTGCATATAACGTGTGTCTCTTCAGAAATGGCGGTTCCACGTCACCGGAAATTGGAAAGTTCTGCGGTAATATAAAGCCTTACAACATCACCAGTGCATCAAATCAGCTGTGGATAGAATATTTCGCGGCGGACGAGCCGAATGATTTCGAGTTTAATCTGAATGTTGCCAGCGTGGGCTGCGGCGGGACGTTACGCGGTCTCAGCCGCGAAATTTTGTCGCCGGAGTAATTATCGCTCAATCTAAGAACTAACGGAAGTGTTCAACGAAACGCGGGATTTGAGAGCAGAGGAATCGCTCAACACTACTTTTCTACTCGTAGATACCCGAGACAATATCCGAACAACAGCGAGTGCACGTGGGAGATCATGGGCGACAATGGATACCATTTAGGCTTAACGTTCATCGAGAGGTTCAGTTTGGAGACTAGTCCCAATTGCGAGAAAGATTACGTGCAGGTCTGCTTGTGTAATATCACCTTTCCTTGTCGGACTAACGTTAAATATTCATTGACGTTAGTCGTTCCATTCCCGCGACCAATTCCGTTCGTTCGCCATATAACAGCGAATATTTTCGCCGCGATATTAGGGAATCACGATTTCACCCGCGGTAAAACGTACTATGTTACTCAGATATTTGATTGGATCAACGGGGAGGAAAGCAGCAACAGCGAATGGAAGAGTCTCGGCAAGGTTTGCGGCAGGAACACACCTGCGCCCTTTAACTCGACATCGAATCGCATGAAGGTGACTTTCCATTCGAACGAGGCGGTACAGTCGGACGGTTTCCGCGCCGTCTGGAACGAGAATTGCGGCGGTGTTTTCCAGGCGACCAAAAACATTAAGATGATCCAATCACCATCGTACCCGTACTCTTATCCACCCAACGCGTTTTGCAATTATACCATCGTTGCGCCAAACGAAGATATTATCGTTGAGTTTACTGATTTCCATCTGGAACGCGGTGAGTTACGAATGTCTGCTTGTTATGAGTGCCTGATGACACGCGACGGAAATTTGCAATAAATACTGACTTCTCGAGAATGTTTGGATGTTTGAAACAGGAAAGGAGTTCTTTTCTCTAAGCTGAGGCACGAAAAGTGCAAAATTGAGCTAAATTAAATTTCATTCGCAGGTCATAATTGTCGCTTCGATAACATCACAGTTATCACAGGAGATTTGTATGAACTGCAGACAGTGGATACTTACTGTGGCAACAACAAACCAGCAATTGCGAGATCTATCTCGCGCATAGAAATTATTTTCATGACAGACAAATTTGTGCAGCGAAGTGGCTTCCAATTTAAATACTTCCTCAATCGTAAGTTATTCACAAATACACATACACACGACCATTGCCTGTTATTCGGTAAACAATGATCTATAGCTGCTAGAATATGATCAATATGGAACATGAAATTCAACGTCTAAGTTAATTTTTCATCTGGCGACGAAGAAGAAAAGAAACTTACAAGATTGTTACGGTAAGACCGGAGAAATAATGAGACCGTTGTGATTAATAGAATGTGGCGGCATAATTACAAAACCGTCCGAACTCAAGCCTTTGATGCACGGAGAGGAATACTTCGGACGCATGAATTGCACTTGGGTCATTAAAGCTCCGCAAGGGAAGAGCGTACTCGTACGGTTCGAGAAGTTTATCCTCGAGTTTAGCACGGGGTGTGTTTCTGGCGAATCTGTCTGACTGCTTATTCCCGAATTATATCGCCCATCTAACCGATTGTTATCGTCAATTTGCAGTTGTTACTTCGACAATGTCGCCATTTATGAGGGTGATTTGGTGGAGAAAGACAGACGAATAGCTCTGATCTGCGGTAATTTAACCGAGAATTTGCCCACTTTCAAGTCCGAATTCAATTCCATGGTCGTCAACTTTAATGCCGATAGCTCGAGGCATTTCGAAGGTTTCACGGCCAAGGTACAATCTGTTAACAGTTATGCTATTATTTTATTGATCTTCGAAAGTGAACTATCTCGCGATTTGTCAATCGATTCAAGTATCGCTCTTAAGTATATTATATTATTACCGTTATTTAATGTTAAATCTCCTCGTTTGATCTCAAACGAGGGGTAATGTATTAACAATAGTGAACTGTGTTAACAACAGTAAGTTGCAGGTATTATTCACGACAAGTCCGGCCGAAGGCTGCGGACAGATTATCAATATGACTTCGACCCAATCGAAATCATTTAGGACTCAGCAGGCGGCAACTTATCAGGCGTTCGAGGAATGTCACTGGACTGTAATGACATCGCCGGGAAAAAATATTAGATTTACCATTAACAGCATAGATATCAAGAATTCGACTAATAGCACAGGCAATACAAACAAATGCACTGGCGATTTTCTTGAAGTAAGTTTAAATCTCGTCAATCTGATATTTCATGGAAGTACACTAGAACAACAAGATTGTAGCATTATGTACTAATAATGCAATAAACACGATATCGTACATAATATTAAATATGATTATAAGAAATTGTTTTTATCAATTAACCGCGCAATAAATAGTTTCTCAAAGATGTCCAACGCGATATCGGTTGAATAAGTCTAGAAATATTGTTGAAGATCAAAAAGAATATATCGCGGGGACGCTAGTTTGATGATATTTTTATCACGACCTCATTAATTCGTCGATGTCGTTTTATTATTCTCAGGTGCGGGATGGCGCCGGATCTTATGGCGACCTTTTGGGTCAATATTGCGGGAACGTACAGCCACCTCCGATATTATCTACCTTGAATATGTTGTGGATTAGACTATATACAGACGGTACAGCTGAAGGTGCCGGTGTAACAGCCACCTTGGAAGTTATCGATTGTAAGAAATTTTAAATTTACTTTAGCTATTTAATAATATCGCGACAATTATGCGATACAAAAAATACAGTGATAGTAATTCGTTTCTTCTTGGTGAATACATTGTTATTTATAAACTTATATATTCACATGATATTCTCTCTATTAGAAAAGATGCGCTCAGTTTTAGTGCGCTTGTTTCTACCAGAAAGTGATGTACACTCTCGCGTCTTTCAGACAAATTCGTGTCTACTTTGATTATTATTAATCGTTACGACGTCATTTTCTCTTTATTCAATGTTTTCGCTCCAGCAACATGCGGTCTAAGCAGTCGAACAATAAATGAGACAAGGCAGGTTCTCACCTCGCCGGGTTACCCAAATACATATACACCTGGGCTTCGATGTCGCTGGATTTTACGACACCCCGACACATACAGTGATAGAATGCGAATTCAATTTATAGATTTTGATATGGAAGATTCCAGCAACTGTGAAAACGAATATTTAGAAATTTCTGAGGAGATGGTGAGTACGTTTGAATAATAATATCTTTACATTGTGTATTGGCGTGTGTGTATATATGTATGTATGTGTGTATCTAGTATTTATCGCATAGTATCCACATCGGCAAAATACAATTTTTTGATAGTGAGTAATAAACCCATTATTCTTCCGTAATTAGTCAATAAAATAAAACTGTCATTTTCTCTTTAATAACCATTAGAAGTACATAAACGAAGGCTTCGGAAAGAACTTTATTTACAATGGAGTGCAGAAACATCCAATTACTATCGAAATAGTAAGATACTTTTCATTATTGTTAACGTGCGTTTCGCCTTACGGATGATCATTTACTCAATCTCACTTTCCGCTTTATTTTTCAGGGTAGCCGGTTCCCTTATTCCACATACAAATATTGTGGTGGACAACTACCGCATGATTATTACAGGTACTTAAGTTAAAGTTGTTTGTCAGCTCATCACGACTCGACATATTAGTCGGAACAACGGCATTATTCCAAATTGAATATTTTTCTTGCAGTTACAGCAACAGCATCCAAGTGGTCTTTAAATCAATTTTCAACGGTCATAAAGGCTTCAAACTGGAGTACAGCATGGCAAGCTGCGATCGGAATTACACGAGTGAGCAAGGACGGATCATTCATCAAGGATTCACGAACTGTTTGATTACGATCACAGTCCCGGAAAACCGCACTATTTCTTTATATTTCAATCAATTCAGCATTTACGACTCTGAACACTGCACACATTACGCGCTACAAGTATGTTATTCTTTATATCTCTAGTGGAAAAATATGACAAGCCAACGGTCGTTGCAATCGTTTCCGAGTCAGCAAGCTGAGTGAGAGGGAATTGAGGGTTTACTTAGATACGAAGATTTGTTACAAATCTAAGTTTTCGTATAAATTTGTATATTTTGTAGGTTCATGATGGTGATTCGAGTGGGCCGCTTCTAACCACGCTATGTAGTGGAGCGTTACCAAGCCCGATTTTCAGCACTGGTAACAAGCTCACCTTACGTTCCTGGGCTGAGAACACTAACTCTTATCAAAGTTACGATATCATTTACACGACCACGGACGCAGGTACGATGCGCTCGCATAGCAGTGCAGCACAAATTCTCTCGTTGCACCCGATTAATGCAAGCCACCAGATGCAGGGAAATTATAGCGCGAGCGCATACGCAATGATTTACGATGCCGCGGCGCCTCAGAGATACGCGCTCGTGAAATGTGGCGCTTTATTTTCGTGCGGCCGCGCAAATACGATTGCGATCTCGCGACGCGTTCGCTTTAAATGTCAGGCGCATTACAGCATAACGGACGTATAGATCGAGGTCCGGCGTAATTTTATAAAACGAAAGCTGAAAAACAAAATGTGCGCAGGTCGGGGTTGCGGCGGTCGTATATTCAATTACGGCGGCAGATTCACCTCGCCATTGTATCCCAATATATACCGCAACAATACCGTATGTACTTGGGACGTGAGTGTGCCGCGCGGCTTCAAGGTCATCCTCGAGTTCGCTGTATTCGACATTGGAACGAGGAAGAACTGTGAAAACAATAATCTCAAGATTTACGACGCCGTCCCTAGCGGAGAACTCTTAAGCAACACTTATTGCGGCGGGGTAAGTTCGCTCCGGCGAATGATACACCGTTGAGGACTGCTAACGAATTCTACAACTAACTAACGAGCCAACTAATTGTCTAAAATCTAAAAAAAAGTGTCTAAAAAAAAGATATCTATTTGACGAGAATCAAAATAAAACAGATCATTGAATTGAAATCGGATTCTGAACAATTTCTTCAAAATTTTCTCAATATTATGTCACGCACCACGAAAATAGATATTTTGTCTTTCTTCTGCACAGGATGATCCAGCAAGATTTGAAGCTGCGAGCGATCGAATTCTCGTAAGATATACTTCAACAGTGAACAACATTGGAACTGGATGGGTTATCACGTTCATGGCGCAGTCGACTAGTAAGACACTCATCTTTGCAATAAGATATTTTAATTTTTTCCTTTACGGATATTTATAAAAATAGACAAATCGTGCAAATGTATATATTAAGAGATAATAATTGCGAAATAATCTTTTCAGCAAAACCCATCGATATAGTGAACAATTAGTACGTCAAGTTTATAAAAGGCGATATATGTAAATAAGAAACTCAACAGCAAACATTCTGAAGTTTAAATATAATTTACTGTAGAGAGGTATATAGACGAAAATAATAAATAAAACGGTTTAGACGTCTAACGCGTTATTATTTAATTTTAAAAGTTTAAAAATAACACCAATAAGACACGGCTATCTATAGTCGTAATATATCGCTGAGCATTCTTCAAATGTGTTTGAAATTGTGTAATTTAATATTAATGTGTAAAATATCACTATACAGTACATTCATTTGAGTCTGTTAAACAATTTCCTTTAATTGCACTATCTTTATCTTCAGCTTCCACTTGTTCTTTATCCTGCTGACCCATAACTTCAGCTGCATCTTCTTCCTCTTCGACGGGTTTTTCTGATTCTTTCTTTTTAGGTTCCTCCTTCTTTTGCGCTACCTCGCGTGTCTTCCTGCTTTTATTATCCTGTTTCTGTATTTTCTGAGCTTTCTGCTTATTATTTGCAGTCTCCGACGCGTTTTCTTCCTGAGCCGAATCTTCAGATGTCACATCAGCTTCGACCAATTCTTCATCATTATCTTTAGAGGCTTTGGAATCTGTGTTTTCAGTCATTTCTTGCTTCTTCTTGTTCTTGTCATATTTGGTTTTCTTACTCTTCTTGTTCTCGACATTCTGCGTATTTTCAATAGATTCCGACTTGGACTTGTTTGACTTTTTCTTATTCTTCACGCTAATATTCTCGTCTTCGTTGATTACTTCGTCCACATTTTTCGATTTCTTTTTGTTCTTTCCTTCCTTCGGACTTTTCTTCGATTTTTGGCTTTGTGATTCCTGAGAAGCTTCGGGATGTTTGTCAGATTCCTTCGATTGTTGTTTAATGTTTTTATCTTTCTTATTTTGTGTGTCCGTCTTTGTTTTATCTTTCAAGTTCATTGCTTTATTTTCGATATTTCCATCTTTTTCGTTGTCTACTCGTTCGACGCGTTCCTCTTGTTTACTCTTCTTGTTCTTTGATTTTTGCTCCGATTTTTGAGAATTTTTCGTTTCTGAATATTTTTCGGAAGGTTTCTCCGTACCATGTTCCAACGACTCACTACTTCTCCTCTTCCTCGACTTTTCTTCTTTCATATATTTTTCTTTTCCTTTTTTTTCCGACCTTTCGGATTGATATTTATCCCTTCAAAAAGTAAATTTCAATTTATAAATATGATACATAAGTACAAATTCAAATTACCTTACATATAATAATCAACACATTTCTCTCTATATTGTAATTAAATTATAAAACATATCCGTTAAAGCATACAATTTTAACAAATAATTTTCCTTTAGATAGCTTTATTCAGTTTTTTCTATTTATTTATTAATCATAAACCACTTCCTCATTAGCCGTATAACAATATGCTGCAACGTACGTCGTATATCATAACTTTAAAGATAGTGGTTTCTATTCCTGTTGACTCATGTAGAGTTAAATATAGTCGTTCACAATAGTAAGCTTCATTAGTTCAGCACTGATATTTACTTTAGATGTGATATTCTTTATATTTTTTAATATATTGATTTAGCTTATTGTGTTATTGTACTTACTTTGAGTTACGTTCGACCTGGACTTTATCTTGCTTCTCATTTTTATTTTTATATTCCACATCCTTCTTGGATTTCTTTGCCAATGCTTCCGATGCGAATATTGTGACTACTAAGAGCACACAAAACCATACCCACAGCCTAAAAGAATTCGAATTTTATCATTTCCACTTCTATTTGTATCTCAAACATGCATGGAAAGAAATTATACATTAATATAAATAGCGCGCAAATCACCTACGTAACGATAAAGTAAATTTCTGTAAGTCAATTTAATCAACAAACGATTATGTAATTTGTGGTATACGCATTTGTTAAGATTTTATAGAAGCTAGTAATGAAAGATAATAAAGCTAGATAAAAACATATGTTCTTAAGAAAATGTGACTTAACGAAAATTTATTATTTATCACAGCTCTTAAATCTACAATGTGTAAGTAAATTTTGAGAAATGTTCTTTTCCCGGACTAAATTTCTATTTTACATATATCTCCGAATCTTTTTCATAATGTTAATCTTATCTTACCTCATTGCGCTAATTCGTGAATCCGGCTTGTAACGTCTCGATTCACTTCGTACGTTTAATCACGGAGCTAGCCTCGTTTAACACTGTCACTCTTTAGGCGTTGCTTGTCTCTTATATCTCGTGTGTTGTCTCCAAAGATATCTCGATAAATACACCGCGCTTCTCGCATATATTCGTCAGTGCTTTATGAAGTCAATATCACGAGTGCTATCTTCTTTCAATCTGTGGGAATGACACGTTGATACGTTAATGCCTAAGACCATGCTTAAAATATGAGATTTAAATACGAATACAACTCCGTATTATATCTGTGTAGTCGTAAATATGATTTGAAGCGCATGGAAAGACGGCACCGAAAAATCGTAAGTGCAATGTTTTTCCAATAATTTTTTCTATGTTTTTCTATGGTTGTGTTAAATTAACTTTCTCCTTCCATCTTATTAACGTCATGCAATTTTCCACCCGAGGGACTGAACTGACGTGGTCCAATTGGCGAGGATATCTTATTACGGATATCTAATCTAATATCAATAGCGATTGTCCACAACAATCTACGTACTTTCACGCTTTGACGTTAATAACCACTCAAATGATAGTGTACGCGCGTAATAAACAACCACAGTCATGTATTTTTTGAAAAATGTGATTTACAATGTAATCAAAGATGTTGGCCAAAGATTAAAAGTCCCCTGTGACGTCTATGAAAAGATTTGCACCGATAAACTTTAGAGATATTTTTAATATCTTCTTGGCACAGAGATCGTACGTATTCTGATACGCTCTATAATCTTCTCAATGTTCAATTTAATATAAGACACGAATATAGTCTCAAGATCTATTCTTACCGAGACTTAACTGCACCTTTTTTTAATTAAGTGCGTCACGCTGTTTCGATTAAATTAAATCAATATGCAAACTGCTGCTCTTCTTTATATATAATTCATAATTTGTATAAATAATTCTTGCATATACGAGTGAATTTCTATTTTTATAGATCATTTGTTGATATTTGGAACTATTATATTTGCTAAATATATTCGACTCCAACACATTTCTGCATAATACTACATATTCGTAATTCATTCGTAATCGCTTTGTTAATATCTCCACAATATCTCGAAAAATCTAAATGGAATACGCAATTGCATGAAATGTCTATGTATGCAGAATTATATATTCGCTCTTATCATATCTGTGAGGTCATCGTACCATTTATCGTTCTTTAACGCTATTCGTTTAAAGGAAATCGTGCCATTCTAGATTCTGGAAATTTGCATGTGTAATATCTATTTATAATACAAATTCAAAATTTTCTTTAAGTTGGCACCTCAGAAGTAAGGGAAATGGTGGTTTCATGTACATAATAAAAATATTTCACTGTTAATAAAACTATATATATGTTCATATATTTTGAATTAAATTGTGTATCTGTATTATATAATAAACCATTTGTTTGGTCTCTAAGTAACTCTTTTCAGTAACACATTTGATGTAACATAATACAGTCTCTACCATTATCTGTTGATACTCCTGATCCGTGACTTTACAATTGAGTTTAAATATAATGATGGTAATTACGGATGTATTAAGATAAACCGATATATCCGTTATTGTTAGCATTTTTGTGTTTCACATCACAAAAATTGCCTTAATAAATACATCTTCCAGATATATTTGCCGTATAATGAATTACATTCGTGATTATATATGACACGTGAGACTAACAATAATCAACCGAACATATTAAAGAATTTAACGAGACTTCATTTTCTATATTTATCATAAATCTACCCATTTTTAGCATGCTACGTTTTCTACGTAATTCTTTTTGCAATGTTCGAAACCCTTGTCCGACGAATTTCATTCTCCGAAAAAAGATACATTTTTCCCCATAAGAAAATAACTTCTTTTAAGATTTTCTCTACGCTATAATTCTAATGTTAATAAAAATACATGATAGCATTTTCTTCCATATCTAAAGTTAATAAATTGATTTTTACAAGTATCCTATGTATACGACAGAAGATTGTAATTACAATACGCGCGACACCAAATGAAAAGACAATTTGATGAACGCACATATCTTACATGTCTATACATACCGACGTACTTAAGTCGTTAAAGTATAAAGTACATTGTCCGCAAGTAAAGAGATATTATAAATTGTCAAAATTAAAAAGAAAGATTAATACAATAATATATAATTTGATGTGAAAACTATGTGAAATTTACAATACTTACATTATCTACTACAAATGTGTACATAACGGAATCATTAAGGTCATTCTACAATACGTGTCGTAAGTTGTAAGCCGTAAAAATTGGCGAATTACAGTCGATTATTACAAAAATAATCGGCTATAATTGGTCAATTCTTACGGCTTATAACACATACTGTAGAATGACCTTTACAGTATACATCTGTCTAGCATGAGTATCATAACCTTAAAAGAAAGAGGGATATTCTTTCGCTTTTGTCGCAAGGTAGTGGCAGGTTTGTAGTATTAATTTACAGTCGTGAACATTTTGTCAAGTATTTCCTATGCGACTATGATAATTTATAAAAATTAATAAATTACTAGATGTGTATATAAGAGAGCGCCCCATCAGAGCATACCAATTTGAAAATCTATACGCACCATAAGGCACTGATTGTAAAATGTAAGTACTAATGTAAGTACTAGTAAAAGTACTCTCAACTCTGATTTCACTTAGATTTCGCTAATTCATAACGATTACACCTGTGTAATCCTATTTCAAAAATTGAAGGAACAAAAATTCTCTTTAGCGAATTTACACTTTAAGTATCTCTTTAAAGTTACATAAGTAGTATTTCTCTAGTATTTTCGTATGCTTTGTTTAAGTATACACGAGAGCTTATTATAAGCATTATGTTTTCATAAGAGACAATACTTGGAACCAAAATATTGTAAAGATCAACATAATTGTTCAATATATTTACGCATGAGATTGATCAACTACGTGCACAAATTATATTTGACAAGTACAAAAGAAAATATATTCTATAAATATGAAAGAGCAAACATATAAGTAATTAATAAACTAAGAATTTTTTACCTGTGAATTTTTTAGATTAGCGTAGATAAAATAAGTAACGTGGTTTGGTACAATTATGAGATCCATATATATGTTTTACGAATAAATTATTAAACGATAATTTCTTGTATATTATTCTTGTATATTAGATAGTACGTATGAACGAATAATCATAATTAACTTATCACCGATTAGTTTTTCGAAGATTTGTGCATTTTCCCTCGTATAATTTGCGTTGAAAATCAATTGGAACATTTTGATATACCTGAGAATCGCTTAATAAAAATATCATCTCGTCACTATGATATATAATACCCTGACGTCTATAGCATTTCTTCTACATTAACAATCGGATCTATTTACAGAAATTGAACAGTATTGAAAATAGGTATTTTTCGTACACATACATTGAGCTACGTTTATGCGAATCACTTTTCTTGTTCTGTTAAAGGAGCTAAAGATTCAACACAAGGAATGACGACAGTGAAAGATAGGAAGTTGATCCGTGACTTGTGTGTAAGTCATAACTTGTGTAAAGTGTGTCGAAAGAAAGGTATATTACGCTTGTTCCGTGTGATTCGCTTGGCTTGGAATAATCCTGCTCTTCTCGCGGGGAGATTCGTTTAAAGGCTGAGAGTCCTCTTGAACGGATTGAGGATACTTTTTATCAGGATAATTCCACGCTTGTATATCCGCTGAGCCGAATATCTGATAAGCAATATACGTGATGCAAGACACACCCGCTGTGACCGCAAACACATTCCTCCACGCGTCAAGGGATTGCTGTTTGAAACATTACGTTGCGGTAAAGATTTACAATTTAAATAAGCTAGAGGAAAAACTGAAAAGAGACAAACACGATACTTACGCTTTCCTGTGTGAGCAGACCAGCTGCTATTGGGGACAGGAAACTCGCTGTCATGTGAATTGTCTGTGCAAACGCCAATACTGGTCCTGAAATGTCACATCGACTTATAAATATCGGAATCTCGAGCGAGTAAAGCGTTTTCGTCAAAACGAGAACACTCACCGGCGAAATTAGGCGCGATATCGACAATATTAGCCATTGCGCCAGCGTACCCAGCTGTTATGAGAGTAACAGCTATAAACCAAACAATTAAAACGAAGATAACATCGCAGCCCAAGTATCCAATTAGGACTACGAGGATTCCAGGAACCACTTGCGCTATAAGGAAAGAAAAAAGAGATAAACGATTTTTTACAATTCAATTTCCGAGTATTTGTTAGATAAGGAAAACGACGGACGGACTTACACAGCGCGGTAAATATTTTGCGCACAGTCAACAGAGTCATGATTTGCCGGGCAACGAGGAGATCTGCGACGTAGCAGAATACAACGGAACTCAAGTAGCTACATATAAATGGCGCGCCCGACAGGATGCCGTTCTGCAAAATCAGTTTCTTACTTCGACGAACATAATATCGACTATATTGAGAAGAATATTTCTCGATAAATACGTACTGCTTGTATGCTGAATCCTAATACCGTCTTCATGTACATCGGGCCGGGAATGATAAAAACGTAATGCACCCATATTCTGCCGAAGGTTGTGATACCGATGGACCATGCTGGCCAAGACGTGAGTATGGATTTCCAAGGAACAGGCAGATCCTTCAAGTACAATTGCATAGTTAGCACAGAGAAAACTAAAATAGAACTCGTAAAATAGAAAAAGGCTCAGTCGTCTCGTACACCAGACGACATACGCATTACTGGATCAATACTCATACGATCAACACATGTCTTACCTCGTTCGACCCGAGAACTTGGTTTCTAACACCTTCCTGAATGTAACGTAGCTCCGGCTGAGATATTCTGGGATGCGAGGCAGGAGTGTCGAAAGCGCAAAGGTACCAGAAGATGCACCAGATGAGACCGATACTGCCAGTCGTGTAGAACACTGCCCTCCATCCGAAGTAGGCGATGATAAATGCACACAACGGGTAGGTCAAGCCGATGCCGATGCTGAACCCTGAATATAGATAACCTGGATGTTAGGAGTAGCTCACCCTACGAGCCGGAACGAAGCTGAAACATGATGCTTGTCGAACGGCCTCGTCTTGATTTGTTACGACTCATGCGTGGTGATGATCGCTCTTCAGAGTCGCAGCGTACGTATCTCATCCTGTAAAGCGATTCAAGTAGAGACTTAGTACGCAGGAACGAAGGATGATGGGTCATGATGAAGCTGTTATAGTGGGACAATGAAACTTCTATGTCTGCAAATAATAAGAGCGTAAACTCGTTCTACCTGGAAAATGAGTGTCACTCTTCTTACGCAGAGATCGGAATCACAAAGAGATATATCGCGTGGGGAGATGAGAAGAGAACCTGATGTGACGAGCAACGCATTAATAAAACAATATATGTGTATGGCAAATCGAAAGTAAGCAAAAATCTATAATGTGTTACACATAATGTGTGTGAAGTAACTTTTGCCGCTATATCACAAAAAATAAGGCGAGAGAGGGAGCGATTTGAGAAAGAATGTCTCTGATATCTAGAGATCCGTAAAGTCGCACAACAAGCAAGCCGAGCGACATCTGCTCAACAGCTATAAGTCGATAAATAACGTCTGAGTAATCTATAGTGTTAGCAACGCGAATTCAATCTAGTTTCACCGGGCAATTTGACAGTAAGCAAATAGGAGAGTCGTACAATGAGTACAAAAGAAAACTTGTGGTCCCGTCTCTGGGAAAGTTTGAGTGAGAAGAATGATTACATAATCTCGTACCGTAGACAAGTGTGGATACAGTCAGAAAACAGAATTGATAGATGAAAGAGACAAATATATATAATATACATGTTCGACGAGCCTGGCTGATTCTACCAGCTGGAAGTATACTCGGCCTTTCTCATGCTCTTGAGCGGTCGCTGTTGAGTATACCCCTCGTTCCGGCGAATGCAACCTCGTGGAGATGAACTATTCTCGGAGTCATTAGCGAATGACAAAATTCGCAGATTGATGCGCGACATTGATCCCGACAAACCGTTCGCATTTTAGCGACTCAAACGATTTTCCCGATCCGGAATTTTGACTGAAACAATAATATGTAGCAGAATAAATTGCTTCTCATTCGAACTTCCTCTATTCCACTCTGAAAGAAGCGTGCATTAGTATCACGAGAACACAATCAAAGAGACGTAGTACGCAATTTTATTTTGCTGCATTACACATTGCGGAGAGTACGACGGAATATGACGGAACGCGTAGCTTTGGCCTAATTATGGATTTCGAAGTTTCACTGTAACACACAAAAACTTCTGTTAGCGGCCGACACCTGACAACGTACCTTGGAAGGAAGACATGAAGCGTGATCGTTCCACGGGCGGAATCCAATGTCCGATTACGGCGTACATCGCCGGCCATGTGAGTCCCTGTTTTCACAAGAAAATACATAAATTAATCTTCATCGTTCGTTTGTATTCGCTATTCAGAATAATACTGAAATCCAAAATGCATCATTTAGAAGGTAGACAAGGAACATTTCCAAAATGTCAACCTTTAGCTTTTTTTAGCTACCTTTATGACATCCTCTGACACGTTTGTGTCATCAGAGAATCAGAGAAGTAAAGTGAATCGCAAAGTCTATTTTGTGATTGCTTGAAGACTTACACTTGCAATACCCTGTATGCTGCGCAACGCTATCATGGCCCCATAATGAAGTTCCGCAGCGGATGGCATAAGCAGACTGCAGACAGCAGTGACGACCTGAGATCCGCCGAATATGGTTTTGGTGCCAAAATATTGAGTTAGAACACCGCCGATCATTTGCGAAAGTATGTAGCACCAATAAAAGGAGCTGAGAATGGCAGACTGAATGGCTGGGCTCCATGTAAACTCGCCAGCTTCCTAATCATAAGAATGGAACAAACTTAACTCATCAGAATCAACCTGTGTTATAAGTTTGCGCTTAAATACTAAGTATATAGTATTTGAATATATAGTATATGAATAAATATAGTAAATGAATAAATTAGCCTTTCATTAAGTTAAGAAGATAAATAAAGCTTATATTTGGTAAAAAGCATCCGACGATTTTTCTCGATTCTTACAAGACTGTTATTGCTTTTCCTTAAAGGTTAAATAGAAAGATATATTTTATATAAGCATCTTTACATAGTTTTTCGGAAAGAATAAATAAAGGATATTGTCAATGCTGATTATATTTCCGTTGATTATTTTTTTCATGGTCATATAAGATGTATTCTTTTTAGTTGAATTATGTTATACTTTTTACTTTTTTAGAATGAAATAAGTATATAGTCTAACATTCAAAGCAAAAGGAGCGAAATACAAGTGCAACATTATTTTAGTTTAAAATAAACAGGCTTATAACTTACAAAATATTTTAGCATTTTAATTAAAAGTTAGATATCACTGAAAGAGGCATTGTTAGATATTCGCCAGTTGATGATATCATTAGCTTTGCATGTCGTAATTTTCAGATGACGAATAGGACAAATATTATCATCGTTCATTATCTGGTCAAATGCACGAATCGATATAAATTCATCTTTCATCAATGAATCATATCTTCAGACTACACATCGTGATAACAAAGCATGAGTGTAGGATAAATTTCGCGGAGATATTCTGATTCATCGCGTATAAGAATTTTTAACATGTAGAAAAGTAATGTTTTCGACGAAATGAGCACTTATGCCCACTTTATTACGCTAAATATTTTTATATTATTGACAAAACGCGCGTTTCTCATCAAAGTTCACATAATTGATACTTCATATATTTTGTTAAATTTTATATGTTGATGCACACGCGCCGAGTGCATCAACATGTAGAGTGCATTCAGTCTATACTATGATTACATTGGATAACGATAATGATGGTATCCACGATGCATTAATCGCGTTCCAGCATAGGTAGTCGTTTGGTGACATTGAACGGTACCAATTACCACATGACAGGACAGGATATTCCGATCTGACTGCGACTGAACAAATACGTGACGTAATAAGCGGCATATTTTTTATTTAAGTTTTTTTCATTTCGACGCAAGTTGACAATAGCATTCGACACTTGCAGACAAGAAACAGGTCATTTCTCATTGACAATGGAAGATTCTTTCTTCCTTTACGTCAAAGGGAAAAAACTTAATATCTTGTTCCGAGAATTGAATATAACTAGTGGTACACGTATAGAGAAAAAATCACATGCGACATGATTCATCGCAAACGTACCTCTGGTCTGATTATAGTGGTGTTCTCCGCATGCGACGCATTCGTTATTGTGTAACAGTGTGATGTTACCGCGATATTGCTGTCTGATGTTGAAGGCAGCTTCGCCATGGCCACCATAGCGATGTTAATGTCCGTCCTCATCATGAAAGATACGAGGAATCCGGAAAACGAGAGTAGGTACAATACTACCCGTGCGGGAATCATGTCTGCAATCAAGAGGCTCAATTAGCAAAACTGGTATGGTTTGTATCGGCGATTCTATACTGCCAAGTATAGCAGTGGTTCTATCGATATTGATAATGATGTATATTACCTCCTAATTTTCGTAATCTGCAAGGTGGCTTTTTTTTATACATATCGGATTCCTCATACCTATAAAATAAAATTATTGTAAGATACATGTTCTAATATACAAATACACATTGAACTGCATTGGAGCAAGCGAATAGTTCGATGCTTGATTATCATGTTGCTTAGTCATTCAGTATTTGTTTCTTATATTTACATTTAACTTTAATATTCATAAACAATAAAATAATAAAAAAGCCATTAATGTTTCATATCTCAGAAGACATATGCTGGTATTAAATACTACTTTACTGAAAACATTTATACTAATAAATAAAACATTATGACATAAAAAATAAATAAAACATATATTACACAAGAAAACGTACGTTATTACCATGTAATAAAAATGCAAGCGATAGATTATACAACAGAGTGCAAGCAAAAGTAAAAATATATATATCAAGTTCTTCTTCTTTACCCTTGAAATTCTTCCATTTTAGTACAGAGGTATCGATATAACAGATTACAAAAGCGGATTTCTTGCAGAGGATGAAAGAACGAAGATCACCTTGGATTCTGCAAAATAAAGAGAAAGAAAGAGTTGAGTTATTTTTACAGCCATTATTTCATAAAATTGTTTAAATTCTGCTGCGTCATTTAATTTTAACGAGGTTTCGCGATAACCAGTGTAATATATACCAATACGGTATCTTGATAAATGCGTAAAGTATTCGAGGTATTGCATCGAGGTCATGACTTATGAGAACGGGATGAAATTCCAACATGAAACTCATATCGACATTCTTAAGCCTGCTAGTGGAAGCCTTTGAAAAAAATTTATTTATGAGAATCGAACGTTATACGCCTAAAATGCGGAAGAAATTAATTTAATCGTTGAAAAAAATTATTCTCGGAGCACACAGCCTTTCATCTATCATTTTTTAGTTGCTAAGAATACTGCGAATACTGTAGTTTCGTGCAATCATGAATGAAGTTGCGTCTAGTTGTAAGGAATCTTTAATATTTAACTCCTAATAGTTATAGGGCACTTTGACATGAGCAACCTATTGATCGAAATTAATTTGAGGTGACAAATACGAGTGCGACGGTGTGAAAAAGAAATAACAATCGATAAGTTTACAGATGCTTATGCAATACTTATACAATATACATATAATATACATATAATATACATATAATATATACATATAATATAGTTATTTATATAATATATAAATATATATATATAAATGTCAAGGCTCCTCTAGTAAAAATATCATTACTGTCTTTCTCACATTATTTTGTATCCCACAGGAGGTAAAATTATATTTTTCTCGTGCCATGTTAATAGACATTTGCTGCGCAAACCGTGCGAAGCCCAGTTTACTACCAGGATAGTACATGTGCTTTGTTGAGCGAAGTTCACATTATAATTACAAAGATAAAGCTTTTTGCTCATAGTTCTTATGTACTTTATAGCTCTTGTAAAAATCTTTATATTTTATGGAATACCCATCATACCTAACTTTATTGTATTGTTATGTCTGCGTCCTTTTCGCCATGCAATCGATTTGACAAAAAATGATGATAGTAAGCGGCGGCATGGTCAGCAGTTGTCTGGGTGGTTGTTTATAACAACAAGAATTGAGAATCGCGCTTGAGCCGCGACGAGCCTTTATGACGTGTGGTAAACGAATCTTTTTATTTTGCTTTTATATAAATTATATATATATATAAATTATATTTATATAAATTATTGTATACGTATATTAAATTGCTTTTATAAAAATTGCTTTTATATAAATTATTGTATACGTATTTCCCCGAGTGTGCGCGTAGCGCAACAGTATTATTTAACATATAAAACTTAACTATATATATATATATATATATATATTCTCTTCGCTTATCAAGTTATGATAATTCACTGTTGACTATACGTTGCATTACAAAGTTATCTTGTTTCCTTCCTATCCGGTAAAGCGACATGAAACTTATCAAATTACTTGTAATAAAAAAAATAGAAATAAAAAAAAGTAATTAAAAGGAGACTATTATACTAGAATACCCCGTACAATCACTTAAATTGAGCGTAAAGAAGCATCATTTATAGCGTTAGAAGCCTTTTGAACAGTGCATTTAGCGTGAGCAACATATTTGCAACGTAATTTGCATGTTTCTCTCTGTTTTTTTATTTGCAATATTCAAATAAGTCACCTAATTATATCTTCAGTCATTTATAAGTGAGGCAGCGAGGATTAGAATCGTATGATATTAGACTTACGTAAGAGAAATTAATTATCAAATAAAGCAATCATTTACACGTGGTATGAACGGAATCGATTAATGACGAAGATCAACCTTGAAGATATAGAATGACTGTGCAAAAATAATTACTACGCGACGGAGGAAACAGCAATTGAAATTAGAAAATATTCTTTCATAATGAAATGTAATGCGTATGTATATAATAAAAAAATATTCATAGGATATGCAAGTTTTTATTTATACAATTTTTATTTTTATTTTGTCGAAGTATAACATTTGCAAAATTATATAATTGATTTTGTGCAACACAGCAATAATCGTGAGTTCTTAATAATAATTTACTCAATTAAATGAAGTAAATTTAGATTTGGATATTTGGAATAATAACTATAAAAAGCAAAATAATGTTCAGGCAACTTCTGGCTTATAAAAACTCAAGTCTAACATTCAGGAAGCTGCACAAAAGTATACTTCTGAGAATTTATATATAAGTAAATATCTCTTCTCGTTTCATACATTATAATTCACATAAATTTAGTGTCTCTCTGTAAATTTAATTAGGTACGCTATGATTGTATAAGTACTACGAGCGTGACATTAAGACAAACGTCGTCATCAACAATCGTTGTCTTTTACCTTCTTTGTGCTTAGTATCTCAAGATAAATCGCTGTATACTCGTCGCTATATAATCGCTGATATTCAAACAATCACGATAATGAATACGCAGAAAATCGAAATATTATAATTGCAAATGATATATAATTTTTACGTGCGAAAAGAACAATCGTAAGAGTATCGGTCTATATGCGTAAGTTCGCTTATTATAAATAAAGTGTTTAATAAGCAAAAGCACTTTTTCGCTTGCAACATATAAAATTTGCAATATTACCGATATACCCCATTTTATATAAAAAATGAAATAATCTAAAAGGAAAAGTGACGAGTCAATTTATGGAGACGTGATGCAATAGATGCGAATTAATACTCTCCTGTTTTGAAGACTCGCGTTAAAGGTAAAACCTTAACAAGATATAAGAGAGTAGAACTCTATTATATAATTTTACAAATTTTCAACATACCTATATTTGTAAATTTATATTGTTAAGATCTCTTGTAAAATAATATCTTGCGAGTTTTACTATCTCTTTGTACTTAAGAATTAGGTTAAAGATAATTCACAATAATGATAAGGTTTGCGCTAGAAGTATTTCAAGAAATTGATCAACTAATCGAGATTAATAAATTTGAAGCACATGATAATGTTCAGACGTAAAATCATCTTCATTCCCAAAGAGATTTCGTAAATGACGCAAGCTCGATGTGAAAAATGACAGCACTCCGTTATGATAACGATCTGCACGATTTAGTGAATGTGAACCCTCTTCACGATGAATAAAAAAGAAAATCCTAATCGGTCAACATTGACTTCGACCTCTGAGAGTCATGTCAATCGAATTCAGTGCGTAACAACTGATAACGAAGCGTTGATGTTATTTAATGAGTGTTTGTGGCGAATGAGAAAAATCGTGATATCAACGTTAGCCTCGTTTTCGAAGAGTGACTTACATCAAATGACGAAGGAGCCTAGGGAAGCGCGGAGAAGAGTAGCTGTATACCGATTACGATTGTACGAAGCTCAACAGGCACGACTTGAAGTACGTGGTGAACGGAAGAAGTCGCAATGCAATCAACACCGTCGTAGACGGAACGAAGTGCTGACACTGAAAGGCGAGACCGAACCACGAGGCGTTGACTGTCTTGGTGACCCCACCATCGCGTCGGTTTTCGATCGTGCATTTCGTATAGTGTGGAGGCGAAGATGAGAAGGAATTCCGCACCTGTTATGGACAAAACCCAATGCGACTGGGTCTCTTTAGCGTTCGGACGTTAAAAGTTATGTATTAAACCGGAATTATAAAACCAACGATTCATCTGATGTATACGTCACGTTACACGTGAAAAGAAATGTCATTGCGTGTCGTAAATAATTAGCCGAAGTAAAAAATTATTCGCGAGCAACTGAGATTTGCTTTCATAGATATTGAGTAAAATAGATTGTGCGGTCTTTTAATAGAAAAAAGTGTGACACGCTTGATTAATCTTCTAACTGGCAGTTTTATTACGGCATGATAAATGAGAATGGAGAAGTAAAGAGATAATCATTAAATCGTAGCTTATCGAATTATAGCTATCCATCATGGATTATATGAAAAGCCGCTCATACTTTGAAGTCCGTAAGACGTAAGACTAAATTAATAACATATCTAGCCAAGTACACACAAGAGAATAATTGTCAGATTATTATTTCATATAAGAATGGAATATTAAGCGGAGGCGTCAGAAGTGTGCCTCATCGTTGACGAATAGTTGGACTAATGTGAGATATGTTTGACAGTTTTCAATCGAATTTATATGTTCTAATATTGTTCCTCTTTGATAATTTAGTTATTCATAAGCAAATTTTATACATTTGTATTTGGTTTTTACTTATTGAAGATAAGATTCTGACGATCGTGTTCATATTCAATTCATATGATATTCATGATATTCAATTCAAGAAAAAAGGACAGAACTATATCATTTACCTATGTAAACCGGTATTTCCGTGCGAGTCACGAGAAATTAAATCATTATTTCTTCTACATGTAGAGCATACGCTTGTTGATATACATATACGCATTACGTATACCTGTCATAAATTATTCCCCGATCTTGAAAAACTTTTAAATATATAGCGCGATAAGACATGTCTTATCGCCACTTCTTAATCGATCGGTATCGATCGATTCAAGTTCATATCGCATAACAAAGCGAATGAAAATGAGTTTTACAGATTTCATCGAATTCTTGACGCGTACAATTTAATTTTTTTAATATTGCATGAATTAATGAAACCTGTCTAATAATGATAATATTGCGCAATAGTTAAAGTAAATTATGTTTGATGACTTCATGCAGATAGCGTATTCCTCAACTTTTCATCAAGCATCTAAATGAAGAAACTTCACCCTGTTCATATAATATTAGGCTTAATTATTTCACAGTTGACCTTATTAAGTAGACAATCAAGATGGGTCACGCAATTCGGCCAGTGGAATTATACTCGTAGCGAACATGAGATAGCACAAGGGAGTCACAATAATTATATATGCAATACGTTCATCGAATGTACAGTTTAATTTCTAAGAAGCGATGCCTGCAAAATTATTGTCATTCCAATTCACTCTATTTCGTTTCAGCTATCGTTAAATTATTGGACAAATGTTGCAAACGTATTATGCAATTATCAATAAAAATATCAGAACATCAAAGAAAATTAGAAACATCTAATAATATATTTTTGTTCAGTTAAGATAGCGCGAGTAACATGCGCTACAGTACATTCATAGTTTATAGCATTTTACAACGTTTCTTGTTACGTGTAACAAATTCCAAGGCAAATTCTGACTTTTATTTTCGCTCGGCCGTTTCCTAATTGCATAATATGATTCAAGGAAATTCTGTATAATCGTGAGATTAAAATTATTTGGAAAAAAAATGTAAACGCCATTTACTTTTCGGAATATCAATATCTGATTTTGATAGCAATAAGAAATAAGAAATCATTAAGTTTGTAATGACGAGAGGTTATTTAACAAAGTGATTTTTTCATTTTATCCCTATATATACGGTGACATAACTGAGAAACAATGGTCGATCTTTGAAGAATTTATTATCCTAGTTACATAAGTAGTTTTGCAAAATCGAGGCTCATATATGCATCACACGTATTCGTACATATACAATCTATCATTTTAATTGGAAATTTGTAGTTTTACCAATATTGTGACATATAAAGTAAGCAAATAAAAAATGCAAAATACGCTGAAAAATCTAGTTTATATAACTTTATAGACTCAAATTTTAACGAACGTTTATATGAAACTTATCGTTCTTTAAGCATTTGAGCATTTTGAAATTTTTCCTTTGAATGCAAATTGATTTTGCTAATACAGGTAGAATATACACAAGGGAAATTTCTGTAATGCTGATAAAGATCATGGTCACGCCATTCAATCATACAGTTACTAGTTTTACGGCACTTTTATATTAATCTGTGTTGCATGTGTAATATAAATATTTATTAGAAAAAATTAAAGCACTTTTCGAGCAAAAAGAGCAGAAGGATCGTCCATGGATTCGATGTAAGTAAAAGATAATAGTCTTTTAATAGAAATTATGGATGTACCAAGTGCAATGCAGAGGAATTATATTAATGCATATGCATGCAGCGTTTTATACGTATTCACATGTCAGGCATTAACCATAGAATGTGAAATATTTAAGCCGTGCATTCACTATAGATACAACGTATAACGAACATTCATTTAGCGTGCACACACTGCGCAATGTGTCGCACTTGGAATATTCGTCTGCTGTGCATCGCAATATGATCACACGGTATAATAAAATATTTCCCTGCTATCTCGCCGTTGGAATTAGCAACGTGCAGTCATCGGTCTCGTGACTTTCTCGATAGTAAAAGTATGTTAGGTATGAAAGCAACAAAGCTGCTGTTAAAAGGACACCATAAGCGACAATGCTCATGGAAAACCTCTGCAATCATTTGTGTGTGCCATCATCGATTCATCTTTAATTCGGTCTTCCCATCTTAATTGTCGTAAGGCAAACCCACGAGTTTTCACATGCAATATACAACAATGGACGGTCGTAAGTCTATGGGCAATGACTCCCAAGGCTTGTAGAAGGAACGACAGTATCGTCAGTATCAGTCATCGTAGTGAAGTCAAGTAATACATTAAGGTCGCCGCATAAATATCGAGCTCTTGAACACTATGTTACATATCGCCTTCGTCCATTTCCGACCTGCGACTCGAGCCGCTGACGGACGATGCGTCAGCGAGTGTCGGCAAAAGTTGATATGCGGTCGCATAAGTTGCCCGATGAAGGACACTGTTTGTTCGGAGGAGGTTAAGCACTCGAACCTCCGCGGCTACGATGCACCACGTGGCCCGTCAGCCGCTCTCGAGGGCAGCGGGTCGCGAAAACCGCAGCGAATCGAAGGACAGCCGAACGGGACTCACCTTGGTGCAGCCGTTTCTGCGTCCAGCGAATGCCTCGTGAAGCGTGAACGTTCTCTTGCGCGACATTTTCGTCCACGCGGCGGCGGCGAGCACACGCGCTACTTATCCGGCGCCGCGCGTTCACCTGCGAGGGTGAGCTAGAATGTGAGACGTTGCCTCGCAAGAATGTGGACCGAGTGGACCGGGCCGTGGACAAGTGGAGAGCTGGAGCGAAGCGAGACGAACGACAAGGTGAACGTCGCCGTTGGAACGCCGCACTGCAACACACCATATGACGCACGACTGTTGAGGCTACGTAATCGCTCGCTTGTCGGTTCCTTTGATGACGAATGCGTCTGTTTGTCGGCGAAGGATCACGTGACCCGAGCACAGGCGACGTGCCGCGATCGATGAAAGAACTGCGCCGACGCGTAATGTTGCGAAAGTCTGCGCGTCACCAGCGAAACTTTCACCGGGGCTTGCGAAGTTCCATCACGAAATATTTGTTCTGTATCGGCGAATATATTTGGGGCGATTAGAATTGGAGCAACTGGAATTTTTTTCGATATCATGTTAAGAAGCTTGGCGTATTTTGTAATTACGAGTCACCAGATTGCGGAGGAATTATAATTTTTATTAGGACACTTGACTTTAATCAATCAACCTCCTTGATGAAAAATTCATGAGCGAATGATTTCAAAGTTTTACGTGCATCCGATTCATAACTTGAATTTAGAAAATAGTGTTGAGAAGTTGGGTCATATGTGTGTGTGTGTGTGTGTACACATCTGGAAAGAAGAGGAAAATTTTGAAGTTTGTACTTTCCCGCCTTTTCTCCTTCCACTGTAGAGGAGTGACACGTAGCTTTTCTTCGACGCAGAACGTTTAGGCTGGCTCCCCATGAAACTTAAAATACGTATGCGTAACTTGCGTCAGCCAATCAATTGTCTCAGCTGTTATACGCAATCATAGCTCTGATGAATGATTGGCTGTCGCAAGTTACGCGTACGCATTTTACGCTCCATAGGGAGTCAGCCTTAGTGTCAGTTCTTTCAGGAGTTCTAAGTCTTTTGTGTATCATTTAAAAGAGCACAAAGTGAATCAAAACGTTTGGTTCCGCCATATTTACTGACGCTTGCGTTTTGAGTCGAACTTAAAACTGGTTATTGATATTTGTGTACAAACAATTACTATTAAGGATATATTATTGTAACTCTTGTATTTTCGTTTGAATTCAAATTTATGACTTTTATGATCTTTTCTTTTTGTCTGGAATGTTTTTATGTGTGTACGGGTTGTTGATACAGCTGCATCTTGTCAAATAAATTTATCGTATAAAAATAACGTTTCAAGTATTCAATTTTGGCATAAATATACATGAAAGAAATCTTTTTGATTTGTTAAAAATATGACAAAGAATTTGTAAGTGGTTTGGAAAAAATTAAATCTCTCTCACCAAAACTAATTTGCGATTAATTCCTTTTATTTATATCTAAAGATATCAAATGTTAATTATAAATATTAATTAAAATTAATCAAAGTTTAAATTATTTTCCATCTGTCTTTAGTTTTATGTTTAAAAAAAGTAGAACGTCAGTTTAATTTCGATAATCTTAATTTTAACTAAAGTTTATAGAAATGCTTCAAAAGAATATTCTGTGATAAATATAACGATAAATAATAATAATATATAAATATATCTGCAATCATTACGTTTAACGTTACGCAGTTTGCGTCTTCAAATTAATGTTTCACCTATTCAACGCTCTTATTTCTTATTCTTCACGATTCAAATACTCTCGCGCATAGCCTTTTATATTGTAATTTATAGATCAAAGTCGATCCAATGTCTCACCTAGTTTAAAGACCTTGTCCTCACTCTCACCACATATTTTAAGATTAGGATCAAAGATTTTTTTTTATATCCTTAATTAGGACGAGGACTTAAGACTTATTTGTAATAAATCATAAAGTAAAACACATTTATTATATGTACGTGTTCCATGTAATTTATGTATATATTGTAAATATATATAAAATATTATGTGTATGTACACAGAAAATATAAACAAAAGTTCTTTCTACCATCACGTGTTGAATGACAAATAGTCGTTACTTTCCGTGTATATTGCATTTACCTAAATCGATTTTTCTCTCTGATTGCGCATGTTGCAGATACAACTTCGGACGAGTAACTGGGGTTTTCGGCGACATAAGAAAATTCATGTGAATGCTGTCAGGTCCGTCAATCAATGCCATCGTCTATAATGAGTCAAGGAAATCTTCCGATTCAACCGAAGAACAAATATCCAAGAAATTCCTTTCTGTCGCGTGACAACAATTGCAAGTAGGTTAAATTTACATGTGTCATGGTTATAGCGATAGGCAAATATGAACTTTGCTGACAATTTTATAACGTATCATTCGTTAAGGGAAAATAATGTAACATTTTGCTAAAAATTGAAAAGATTGAAAACCTTGCCATCATGCGCGTCGGATATTACAACGGGAAATTCTCAAAATGGCAAAACAAATACGTCGGAAGACGGCAAGCTCATGTCCAATTTAAGCAAATCATCGAATCTGATTAGTAAAACGGTTAGTTTTATGATACATTTTATGCATAAAAATTACCAAATTGGATATCATTAATACGCTTGGTGTCAGGTTTCCAACGCGAATCTTTCCGCAAGAAAATTGTGGAATAATACTGCCAAAGCTTCCAGAAATTCTATTCATATTCCTGCAGATAATGTAATAGAAGAAGGTAATTCTATCTTGAGCTTATTCATGCTCTTAAGTTGTAACAAAGAGAACATTGTTGCGAAGAATCGACTTTTGTTTAAAACTGTACAAGAAATTTGTCAATGATTCTTAGATCCAAGATAGTTTCGTGTTCCCTATGAGATTAAATCTCTAGTATTTCTTCTACATTTTGCTTGAGATTGCACATTATTATTGCATTTTATCGTAGAATATACTGATTTTAGAGAGCGAAGTCATAAGCGTGCTGACGAAACAGTTGTGTCTGGCGGAGTCTCAAATGCGAAAAATACAATCCACCATGTCGAAAGCTGAGGAAGGATTACGAACCAAAGATCAGGAAATCGCACGCTTAAAGCGGAAGGTTCTCTGTACGATTTTCTTATTTTAAAAATGCGGTACAACTCATAAGTTTGTACGGCCGGCATGGTAAATAATTATAGGCACAGACTATGAGCCGTGTAATTGTGCTTCACGGATTTATTAACTTTATTTACAAATTATTATATAATTTTATCTTTTTCCTTATGTTTTATTGTATATGGTTGTATTGTGTATTGTTGTATTGTGTTCATATATTCGTGATTTGAAATCAACGCCGGGCAACGTCATTTCTTTTATATTCCAAATCATATTATATCTTGTACGTTTTTTTGGAATAATGTAAAACGTTATTTTGTCACAGGTAAAAGAATGGGAAAATAAACACAAAAGTCAAGAGCTGTTGCATAAGAAAGAGCAACGAATTCAGGCTAGCAATTCCGAGTATTTCTATCAACGATGTCTTACGCTGGAACACAAGATCTTCGAGATGGAGGTTAAATCTATTTTTTAGATATTCTTGGTTGACGATAACAATAAATGTTTGTGTGACTTATCTATAATACAGAAATTCTTGGCTGATTACGGTCTGGTATGGGTGGGCAATAAAAAAGATCAGATGGATACCGATAATGTTAGCAAGTAATTGGAACAAGCATTATATCGACTTGATGCGGAAGTAATCCACCGATTTAATTGTCAGTAAACCTGTTGCAGTAATTATATCGACATTTGTTACGATCAGCTGGTTGCTAATATCGATCAGCTAAACCTGACCGCGCGAAAGGGCGAAGTTCACATTCAACATAATGAGAAAGGAGGAGGGGCAACTTTCAAAGTAACGTTTTGCAGTTTTCTAATACTTGCACATCTGTGAAATTGCATACAATACATTTTAATACGATATTTGAAATATAAGACATATTTGAAATATAAAAATATAATATATTTGAAATATAAGACATATTTAAAATATAAAAATATAATATATTTGAAATATAAGACGTAAAATATCTTATTAATGATATGAATTATACAAATATTATCATATAAATATTTTTATACATTCCATTATATTATTATTATTATTAATTACATATATGTGGTTGATTGTTGAAATATTTCTTAATTAGCGATTTCTCTCACTGCTAATTATCAACCGGCATTTTTTCTTGTATATTTTGACCAAAGACTTCTTCTACCTGCATGGCATTAAAATTTTACAAAAATGGTATGACTGTCCAAGGAAGTTCGTTACGATCTTATAACAATCCGACTACAAGAGCGTTCGTTCGCGATATTTTGGATGGCTATTTTCCATCTGAATTGCAACAAGAATATCCTGACGGTGTTCCCTTCACGGTAAATCATCAAATGAAATTCTAGAATATATGAATAATGCTACAGTTTTTGCACTTTTTCTTTCTTTGATCAGAGTGAAGTCGATTCTTTCTCAACGGAAATTTGATTAGTTGATTAGTTCTTTGTAACTTCCTAACTTTTAAACGAAAGTATCTTTTTGAGTATTCAAATATATTCTGCATTTTTATTTATTTTTGTAGATAGAAGATCATAGACGGGAACTATATTCAGCTTACCCAATTGGATTTCCTGGACAGGGATATCGATTGGGCAAACAACCACCAGTAGATAACTTGTTATCGACGTGTTCACGTAAGCTGAGTAACATTTCTCAGAGATCCGATTGTGTCGGTTCTTCGACAAAAGATAATTCCTGGAGTGCACAGAACATACCGCTTTTATCACTTCCAACAAGCCGGTATTATCACATGTTTCATAGTGGAATTAATAAATATTCAAATGCTCAATTACAAAGAAAAGATTATGCGTTGTTATAAATTCAAGTACTGAGAGAATGAATAAATTTATTTATATTTCTTCTTTTGTATAATTATATATGCAAAGTGATTTTTAATTTATGAATTTATAATGTATCCTTTGCACTACTTTCGTTAGTTTTTCAAAGTCCAAAGAGGGAATGTCGTCTGTTAATTTGCCTTCTCTAAGATCTCACATTTTGGCTTCACACAACAACGTTTGCTCCGATTCTCACATACAGTCTCACATTAACGCTGAATTAGTGCGAAGGAGCCGACGAGAAAAGGTAAAGCTTTTATCGATTTCTGAATTCGTGCGCAATTAATTTATCTTTATTGAGACTTGTTCTCTTTGAAATATTACACATATTACAATTCTAAAAAAGAGAGAATTGTCTGCAAAAAATATCGAATATGGCATGTCGTCGAGAGAACATTCAAAGTCAAGAGACGTTTCGAGGTCTTTAAGTAGGACAAGATATCATAGCTCCACCGACAGATCATCTATCAAGTTCTCTCCCAAGTAATAAATAAGTTTTATATTTATTACTCTTTCTTGAAAATTAACAATATGTTATTGCTATTTGATATCGATATGATTATATAGACAAACATTTATTTTTAACTCATTTTACTGCATCTCTTAATATGATTATTTCAGTTGTATTATTATTTTAATTACCAGTTTTGAAAGTCACCTTAATTGTTTCTTTCTTTATCACGAAAATAGAAAATAGACAATAAATTGATATTCACTCTGTCTTAAGACAAATTGTATCATTTATTTACTTAAGTTGATTTTTTGCAGTCGGCCTAGATCCATCGGGAATCGTCTTCGACCACGTCCGAGATCTGCTAGTTTGTCTGGAAGACAAATTATCGGCATGCAATCATCACGGACAAAAACTTTGAGCACAGCGGAGATCAATAACTGTGAACTAAGTATCGCCAATTTTATCGTTGAATCTTCTGTGAAACGTCCTCGTGTCACGAAATCGGCTACTTATGCGAGGAAAAATTCGGTGAGAAATTTATCAAACAAACAGTCGTAGGAATTTAGACTAACTATATTTAGTCAAGTTACATAATCCCCTAAAAAAAAAAAACTAAGAATTTACTATTCCAGCCTCCGCTGTTGCATCAGATCAACGAAGCAACTGGTAAACCTGACGAATTGCGATTAAAAATTAGGTCATTGACTGGTAGCACTGTGTACTTGGTGCACATTTCCACTGACGAATCGTTGGTAAAACTGTACGAATTACTCGATAAAGCCATAAAAATGTCAGGTTACAAAGGATATAAAGTGCTATTATGCGGGTAAAGAACAGTGTATTTAATTTTTTACTTATATTTATATTTCGAATTCCAATATTCTTTTCATAGTTGATTTAATTACTTACAGATATTCGCCGAAGAAGTTGGAACGTGTGGACGCATCCTTAAAAGAATGCGGAATTAACAGGGATTGCGTTCTTCATCTTGTAAATGATTGAGTGCTTCGGATCTCATAAGAGGTTTTATGTTAAATTAGGACAGTGTATATTACAATTAAGCAAGTATTGTAACTAATTAAACTATTAATTAAACAAGTGTATACTACAAAATTGTAAGTTCCCAATTTGCAATTTAAATATATAACACAAATATATGTGGGTAATAACCGTAATGTTTATGACACTTATTATGTTTCTTATTCTTACGTTTTCTCTTCGTAAATATATATATTTCCTGGTGAAAATTAATTTCATTATTATGTTACATTAAATATCAGGGTTGTAACGAATATTCGCTTTCGCATATGCGAAAGCGAGACTTTCGCATCATTTTAGACTCTCGCTTTCGCTTTCGCTATCGCAACTAATTATACGAAAGTTTTAGCGAAAGGTTTTGTCCAGCCCGCGGGATTTGCAACTTTGCTGGGGACATTGGATGGCGGGGGTGTGCAATTTATGTTTCATTCATTAATTTGCCGGTCTAGAGACACTTTGGACTTTAGAGTTTAAAAAAAGTATTTATTGAAAACAAATGAGTGCAAGTAAACTGCTGTGTGATATAAATTATAATAATTAAATAACTAAGTGTGATAAGTGATAATAATAACAATGAAACCAAAGTCCAGTTTTATTTGGTATTTTTATGCTGAAGCAAACATGTGTGAAGTTGGCCTTACACTTTTCAAATTTTGTATTTTTTCGAATTGTGCCGTATTGTGCTGCAATCCGCAACACTGTAACTCGAAGTGTACTCAAGAAAATTAAGAAAAACTAAATTTTTGGTAGCCCCGCTCTTTTCGAATTTTAAATTTTTCTTTGTTGTGCTGTATTGTGCTATGTTTGTGCTGATTTGTGCCGCAAATGCGAGACGAATGGAATTTAAGATGTCACAGTATAAAACATCTTTAAAACAACTTAAAGACGTCTTAAAGATGTCTTATGTCCCGATTTTGGACATTGTGTTGTCTGGGAAGTTACTAATTTACTCATTTGCATCATTCAGTAGAAAGAAACAAGATCTTTCGCTTTCGCATTCGCTTTTGTTATAACCACTTTCGTTACAACCCTATTAAATATTAATTGACCTATTTTAATGTATTCTAAAACGATATTCAATTCAATTATTGTTTGTGCCATATTTTATATCTTATTTGTTTGAACTACATATCTAATTACGTTTTACGACTCTGAATAACATTAATAACTTATAATATTCCAGATAACATAATTTTTATTTTAATATGATCATGCAATAATACTATATTAATAATCATGTATTAAATTGTTTAGGAGATATCGAAGGTTAAAGTTTTCCAAGCTTTCTCCGTTCATATCTCCGCTTTTACTGGGAGTAGAGAGTCGTCAATGTAGTCGAAAATGTAGGGTTTTGAGAGGACTTTAATTTGGTGCCAGAACCAGGCTTGTATCTCTAACCGTTTAGGAGATCGAAGGTTAAAGTTTTCCAAGCTTTCTCCGTTGATATCTCCGCTTCTACTGGGAGTAGAGAGTCGTCAATGTAGTCGAAAATGTAGGGTTTTGAGAGGACTTTAATTTGGTGCCAGAACCAGGCCTGTATCTCTAACCGTTTAGGAGATATCGAAGGTTAAAGTTGATGAATGAATCCTTCAAAAAATTATAACTAGTTTGAAAATTTATTTTGTTGCTTCTTCATTCATGTAATAACGACTATATATATATATATATATATAGTCGTTATTACATACATGAAGAAGCAACAAAATAAATTTTCAAACTAGTTATAATTTATATATATATATATACAGTCAATTAACAATAATATTTCAAACATCGCGTTAAACATCGCGTTTCCGGCAAAAGTTTTATTGCATAAATTCACGAAATGTGAATATGAATTTATGACAGAGGATTGGTAAACTCAAAGCTAAATACGTATATTGACACGTATGTCAAATGCATATATTTTCGCAAATTCATGCTACATATGGCGAACTAAGTAATACAGTAGCTTACCTGATGCTGTTTCATTCGCATACATACCTGTATTAGGAAAATTATGGAATTTCTCATCATCATCGACAAACTATGCCATGATAGGTGCAAGCTCTATCAATCAACAGGATGGAACTCGCGCGATTTATCTATCTAAACCGTGGGTCTCTGCCAATGGACCTGTCAACGGAAGCTTTTCGATCAGATGTCGAGGCGGGACGGTTAATAAGAGGTCGTGTTTGTCAATCGATATCCAAATTGGCTCGCATTCCCTCGGGAAATTCCTGGCGCGCTCATAAATTTCGTAAATATTGAGCGAACCGGGCACCACTAAGCGGCATAATTATTGAAAATAAAAAAGAAGACGCAATCGATTTAATTGGACGCTGGCTGTCATAAAACGAAAAATAATTAAACAAATAGAAGAGATCAGTGCTACCTGTTAGCAGGCCTTTCGTGTTATTTTCTCGTTTATTGAAGTAAGGACCGATTGATTGAATATCAATTAATTGAAAATTGAATAGGGTTTTCAACGGCAGATTGTGCAACGATAAAAAATGCATGCAAATATTCAACATGTTGTAGTGAATATGCCTGATAAAAAATGCAAGATACAACAGCAGTATTGTTATGAATTTTGTTTTCCTTAAGAACTATTTTGCAAAATCACAACGATAAGTAAATTTTATAATTTCAATTCGGTAAAGGATTGCATTGTGTTCTCGTGTCAACAGTTTATCGCTTATTCTCGAATATTTTTATCTAGCCAAAATATCGAGAAATATATATTCACAGTTATTTATAGTAATCTTTCTAAGTGAAAATAATTACGAAAACGGGCGATTGAAAAAGCTGCAAACATTTTATTATGGAAGATTTTACACATAGCATTACGTCGTTGACTGATGAAATATCATTAGCTAAACTCACTGTTATAACGAGGTCATCGGTTCTTACTTTTTCCTGCAATTGATAAAACTATGGTCTTTAGCTGCACGTGGTAGCGCATTCTTGCCTAACCTTGCCGAATGAATGAATATTAAGATATTACATGGAAAATGGTCTCTATAAATAATATATGAGCACGCTTACACACGCATACGTATGGGAACACTAGATAGGCGATAAATGCGATAAATCACCGGCGTAGATCTATCTGTAAAAAATAACGCACCTGTCCCTGATTATGAAAATATGACAACCGAAGATTAAATTTATTCTGCGGAGGAGGACTTCGTCGCATTGTTCATCTGCAGCAGTCTTGTCTGCTCTTCGCGATTTCTCATCGTTTCTTCGTACATCGTTATTTTCACAGATGAGAAGAAACGTATGCATAATTGATCGCGAGAAAAATAACCGAGATATATAGAGAAATATACAGAAGGAGATATATACAGAGAAATATACGGACAAAAAGTTAAAACTGAGAGTTAGTCCACTAGAACGATGAATATTTAAAAATTGCAAATGTCCAGTCAATAATTTTATTATTTGTTTACCACTATTTTTTGAAATATACACATTGTTTAGTTGATTTTAGTTGGTGCCGAAACAAAATTGGCGCTAAAACACAATTATACGCATACGTTGAATAATATGCAATTCATTGAATTCAAAATTACTGCTAGTATGATACTTCGGTATATTTTAATTTGAAGGAACAATAATGTGTTACGGCATAGTATTAAATTTCTTCTAACAATCCATAGTTTTGACTCAGTTTTACTTTCGTTAGCGGACGGGTTGCAGTGGATCTCGTTTTTATTGCATATAATTCGCCAAGGAATCGATTAACCGGCAAAGAGGAATGTAATAGTATTGAAGCGAAGAAAAGCAAGGGGCTATTGGCGACATCTGCTTTAAAGCATTGAGGCATTAATGGATCTCTCAATTGGTTTCAGCACGTCGGTAGACAAAAAAAGTGTAAAAAAGGTAAGAAGAAGAAAAAGGTGTCGAGACGAGAGGATTGTTTGTTCCAGGGTCTCGTTAAGCAATATTGAAAAATTTTTCCGCTTCTCTCGAGTCTCTTTCCTGTATTACCCAAGTCGTTCATTTACCCCGGCGCTATTTTGTACTAACTTCAATGTACAATAGGAATTTAAAGGCGCAATGTGAACGCCAGCATAATAGCCGACAGTTAACAATAAAAATTAAGAATCGGGAAGTAGATTCAGCAAGAGAGAAAAAACAGGTACAACAAATACGACAATTTTTCAAGATGTGCTTTATCGATAGTCTGAATTTAATTTATCGATCTTACTCTCAGGGCATACAGTGAAGGATATTTCAAGATAAGCAGCACAACATAGGATGTAAATGGTAATGGTTAGCTGCTCCTAGAAGCTATCAGAGCTTCGCGCTGCGGATAATTGCGTTCCATGTACCTTCCCCTCATTTTTCTCTCGGTCTCAAATGTCGGGAAATGACCTGGATTTTAACGTACTCTCTTTGAAACGACACGACTAAACGAATGCAATTTTCAATATGGAGTGGCACTTCGAGACGACGATTTAGTTTTTTTCTAACAATTTGACGCTGCTTCGTTTCGATGGGACGAAGTGTAAACGATAGAGACGCGCGATTAATAGTATGGCATTGCATTCTGTAATAGTATCTGCGTAATATTTGTGGTATCAACGTGGAATAAGGGTAATGTGCTGCGTCAATAGTCGTCGCAATTCTTAATTAACAATACTCGCGATAACGATAACGCGGAAAACAATACTCGCGATAACGATAACCGTAAATTTATGCGATCTTATGAATATAATCGCAAAATACATGTTTCATCGGCTGCTCTCTACAACGATATTTTTGAATAATTAACATATTGGCTAACATCACAAATGAATAATTTGCAAAAGTAAAGATCAACAATAACTTGTTAGCTGAATTACCAAATTTATTAATTAGAGTTTTAAAAATTAGTTAAAAAGTATATAATATTGTTAGTTCCCCTAGCTGTAAATATTAAGATATTTAGTATTTAGTAGTGTCATTGCTATTCGAGCTATCTTGTTTTATTTACAAAAAGCGTGCCTCTGACACAATTGGGGGATTTGAGAGCTATATAGCCATCCAATCATACACATTTCATCAAAAGACTGCTTTATCTGTTTTGTTCTTCGGATATCGGATTATATACGATTGTAAATTTGTGATGAAACAATTTTCTCAAAATCCATCGAATATATAAAATCGCTTTCCGCAACGTGAATTGTTGAAATCGATTGAATGTGCCAACGAAATAACCCGCCAACAGATTTGTTCGAGATTTGACCATACAATGAGATTGGGTATAAATCATATAACGGTGATTTTAGATAGATAGTTGAAAGTATGGATGCTCTGACATATCTCTAAAGAAATTAGTTACGATTGATGTAGCACTATATTGACATTTTATCTTGTCTATAAAGTGCTGCGCTAACAGAATTTGTTATGACAGAAAAGGACAGCTGCAGAATATTCCATAAAAGGAAAAATTAATCGCTTTGTCCATAAGAGAACTGAGAAGATCGATATTATTAACGAATGGTGCAGTAGGATGTTAGATACAAGCGTCTATAAGAGCGTCTATAAAATTAAACGTTATTGAGAAACAACATAAAAAGTAAAGCTTATGGAAACTACAGGCTATAAAATATATATGCTTTGTAACTGCGTTTCTAAAAATATTAAACGTTAAATCTTCCAGGCAACTCTTTAAATATACAATTGTTATTTTATATTTTCTCACTTTTATTTCCTGAAAAATTATTTAATAAGGGAAAGAAAAGAAGCTTTCTTTAACTATGCATAGGTTGTTTTGTATGAGCATCGGAAATGTTTATTTCCTGCAATATTAAATACTGTACAATAGATATTCAAATCTTTTATTTCGATGTAGAGAAAGTATCCAGGTGTTTATCGTCCTCGTGTGCTGTTTATAGACATTCATAGACACTTTTCTTACAGGTAGCCTCCGATTACCAGCACGCCGATAAGTTACCATCGTCTCACTCTCTAGATTGAGCTGCTTTAAATTAATTTCTCGGTTTCGGCGCAATAAAGAAATATAAAGCTACGCGACACAATGTGCCTTAACACAATTCGATCGCTCTTAGAAATACCAGACGCACGCACAAAAGTGTGAAGCCTACAGAAAGATTTCTCATGCACTGGAAATAACCCGCGTCGTGATTTCTCTCTTTCCCTCTCTCTCTCTCTCTCTCTCTCTCTCTCTCTCTCTCTCTCTCTCTCTCTTTCTCCCCTTTATTCGCATATACTTACGATATCGGTTTCATTCGAGTGGAAAATTTATGCATCTCTCGTATCTCAGATATAGACATAGAGCCATCATATTCGCCGATAAATTTCGTAACGAGCCTTGTAGTGTAAGTGATGTGTACGACTGGCATGAGTTAATATCAGCTTTTTAATCATGTTATTATCGGCTGCAATGCGAAGTACGCGTTGTAGCCGTAAAATTGGCAAACGTACCGAATTAAAAACACATCGTATATCGGCTTATCGCACACAGTGGCAGTATGGATAACTCATTTTCGAGCACATATATAACTTGTGGTGTATTCCTTTATCTCATCTCTTTTTTCATTTGTTTTCATCTTCCTCCACCTCTTTTTTTGTAGAGAACAAAAATTTCGTCGATAGATAATTCGCACATACACATACTTATATACTCACTCTCACTGTCCGACGGCTAATAATGCATTTAACAAACTCACTGTACGACGTAATCTTCTCAACAAACAGCGGTATACGCGTATAATAATGTATTCACAATACGAAACGCCGTGGTGTGTACAGCTAAAAACTGTCGAATAGTTTGTAATCGGCTTATCCCTACTTGCTTTCTTTCTTTTTGTGAAAAACACTCGCTGTACGTACATCAGTGATAATAAACTATTCGATCGTGTCAAAATATGACCAAGTCTTTTGGCACGTTCGCACGCCGCACAGACTTTGTCGTCTGTGCCGCGCGCACACAATATATGTACGTGTAATATGTACATACGCTTACGTATACATACATATACATATTTATACATATATATTTACGTTTCTTAAGTGCATTTATAAATCACACATATATTTATACAAAAGATTTATAAACCACTTTTCAACAATTAGTATACCATCTTGCATATAATACAACGATTAGACGTTATCAGGTGACCGTACTCTCTTCTCCATTATCGATTTTCGAAGTATCTTACGACTCAATTTTTTCGACTGATATATCCCAGTTGGAAATTATATAATATATTTGTAAAAGAGCTTACTTTCATCAAATCACTAATTGTTGGAGCATTGAAAGAGAAAGAGGCAACGTTATGCTTAAATTTAACGCAGAAACTGAACATGGAAATGTCTGAACGAAAAAAGTTCTCGATAACAATATTATTTCAATGAAAATTCGTACGTCACTTCTTTCATCTGTTGCGGCTTCAACTTCAAATTTCTTACTTTTCTAATCAAATAATAATAAGTCTTCTCTCGACTAATGCCAAAATTAAGAACTCTCTTTTTCAGCTTTAAATGTTATATTTTATCCGACATATTGCAGCATGAAATTAGCAACAACGTCGAGTTGTTAGCTCTACAAATTTTTCATAACAAGCACCGTTTGTATCTATTTCTCATAGATCGACTTTTACACCTACCTGTCTCTGCTCGAAATGATTGGACGCTTCGACATTTGTTTAGGCTAAATCTGGCAGTGATCACTAATTCGATTTTGGTCCGAGTCATATGATACAGCCGTCGATGTTCCTTTTTTTTCCGTCTTTGTTTGCTATTCGGCGCGCTACACCTGTTCGCGTGTAAAAATTCTATTTAGCCGTTTGTAACTTACGATCATTTACTTGTCTATTGGTTCCATCTATCTCGCAACTCTTCGATCGGGATCGAGAATTCGCAAGAGGTAAAATATTCACCTGATTTTATTAGATTCTCACTCGTCTCGTGAGCATTACAGTTGTTGTCGCGGCAAAATCGCGAACCGAAATTATTGTCACTGGAAACTGCATTCCAATAGACTTTGTCATCGCGTTCGCATGCGACCTCGTCAGCGATCTTGCGATCAACTTGGCGCCGGCGTTCACATATAGAACTGCTCACAGAACAGCAGCGCAGTGTGCGCCGACCGTATCATGACTGCGAATGCTCCCTTCTGAGAGGTAATCACGTATCACTATCGATCAGTCAACGGATAATTATCGAGCCCTCGTGATTGGTGACGAATGGCTCGATGTTTCAACAACCCGTTGTTCAACAACCCGTTGTTGTTTGTCTCAGGACGCAGTTCCTAACGTACGCAACGCAGCTAGAGAACAATCCTATACATGACGGTCGGCCTTCAACAAACTCCACCGAGTTTCTAAATCCGCTTCGATATGTTTCACTTGAAATTCGGCTCCGGTATCGGCTCGCGCTGCGCCGATACGTGTCGCGTCACCGTGGTCGATTCTGGTCAGTTTGGACACCTCGAACGAACGTAAGCTGTTCGCGGCCTTCCACTCAATTTCGCCGGTGCCCTGGGAAATTTCGTGACACGGGCAGTCCCCGTTCTTGTGTCTGCTGTTGCGCACGGAATTCTATTTTCCATGCGGCGCCTATTGCCCCGATTGATCCGTGACATCGCCCGCACCCCGGCACCTTTCAATTTCATCCCACCCGGTCAGACGTGTATAATCACTGGCAGTTAGCGAGGAACACGCTTCGCTCTTCGAATAGCGTCCCATTGTCTTCGTAAACCGGCGAACGTCTGTTCCATTATGACTCCGGGGCTCACTCGGTCGTGACTTTTATCAACAGAAGCACCCGGCCTTGCCGCACAGTCTCCATTATCCCGATTACGTTCTTGCGTCGGCACCGGTTCGATCGATACTTTCACAGTTACGCGCGGAATCATACACGCGCCGACGTGCAAGCCCGGCTCGCTAAATTCGTCGAGTGTCATGCCACTTGACCCGCGTTGTATTTCATAGTTTCCATCGGCACAAAAATGGGAACGCGTCACGGGAATATATTACATGCGGCACTATGTACGTAAAATCTCCGTTATAGAACTGTCTTCGTCTAATCAGTTGTTCCGCGTTTACACAATATCGATCGATGGTGCCACGTCGTCATCATCGTCGGCGCGGGATGGCCCTCGTTGCGGTTTACCAGCTCGCCCCGGCGACTATATGTGTTATAAGCAGGTCTCCTTCTGATCAACCACGTTGATGACCACTGAGGCCTGCGTGGGCAGTTCCTTTTGAGTAGGCACACCTGTCGGCACCTCTTCGAGTATTGGTCAAAGGGTGGTGGTCCTCGAGACTGTCGCCGACGGCGGCGGCGGCGGGGGAGGCGGGGAGATCACTACGTCCGGTTCACCCGCTAGGTCGCAGTCAAATTTCCAGAGAATACTCTCAGGATGGTCACCTCCTAGTATGACACAATTAATAATATACGTTGCAGCGGAGCTATTGATACCGATGTATAATCATCTGTGATTCTCTCTGGTCGATATCTTTATAAAATTAATATTTCAATTTTCTTGAACGTATATGTGTGTGCTTAAAGTACGTTTTCGTTGCGTTTAGCTAAATGCATCGCGTGAAAAGTCCTTGATATCAATGTAAACGATATATAGTACGCTTCATGTTGACGCAAATAGCTCGGACAACTGAATGTGTAAATTTAAGTTATAGTAAGGAAGGAAATCGATAAGAAACGAAGAAAGGCGATGGAGCTTTGAGGACTTTCCAATGCTCGCAGGATGACGTTACTTTCAGCAAACGCGATAAAATCATATTCGCGACTGTAAATTTGGCCAAATATGTCACGATCTCATAGATTTGTTTTCTTAAATTTACAGACATGGAATTAACGGGAACTTGAGCGTAACAGTCAAGGATAAGATTACCGGCGCTGCAAGATCGATAGGGACGATCGTACCTTGACCCAAGATGATGTCCGAAGAGCCCCGTCTCTGTCTCGGCGGAGGTGCTTGGTGTTTGTGCGCATGGCTGTGAATGTGTGAATGTGAGTGGCAGTGTGTGTGACGCGTGTGCGTGGGGGTGGCTTTGCACGGTGGCGGTTGCTGTTGTGATTGCTGTTGCTGCTGCTGCTGCTGCTGCTGTTGCTGCTGCTGAGGGTGAAGATGAGGATGAGGCCTGTGCTAGGTGTTCCCGCCATGGGACGCCGTCACTTGATCGAAGCTCAATGATTTCTTCATCACCGTCATCGACAACGCACCACCCTCCTGCTGAGAAAAGTAAGCGCGAGTGTTAGCTGTATCGGCGCGACCACGGATGAGCCATTCCGAGACGGCGCACAGCGCTGAACAAGCAAGTTATTAAAAGTTACGTTAGGTTGTTAAAAGTTATTAAAGACCCGCAAAAGGAGGCTATCACCGGGGCGCGATAGTGTTGATAACTACGTCTTTAGAGTTGTCTGTTTGAAACGAGCGGCACGTGCTTTGCGATGAGACTTTTTGCCCGGAATTCTGCGATAGAGCAGAGCCGATATAGGTTTCTGATCACGTTTTTACAATGGAACGAGGCGAGCGTGGCGGATATATTGCGGGTTAGATGACTATTATGAAGATGGAAGCTCGGGCGGTTAGTGCACATTGGTACAAACGATGAAATACTAATACTGTTTAATATTCGATTATCACATTGCCGATATGAACAATATGATCAACGCATTTCATACGAACGAGGGAAATTAAATTTTGTCTGCAACATTTATGCTGTAACTATGTGCAATATTACCGGAAAGTAAAGAAACGCAAGCAGTTTGTTAAAGCCGATTTGTCTCAAATCGGCTTTAACAAACGAGAAATGTAATATGTGAGATTAAATAAATCTCGTATTTGAGGGCCGATTGATCGAATCGTAAAGTCGATGAGCTGTCAACAATTGTTCGTCGTCTTTAAACTTTATATATAAACTTATAAACTTTTTATTTATAAATATTTATTAAATTTGAATTATGAAGTATGAATGCGTTATTTGTTGAGAAAGCAAGTTATTCAGCCGGCTGAATTTTTTATGCTCGTAAAATATTAAGAATATTTTCGTATTTATATTAATTTATTTTGTATTGCGGCCCAAACGAGCGTAAAAGCAATGATTTCATGCGCACCGACGCGATAATGCAACAGAGGATATTTGAAACTGACGGAGACGGAGTAATGCGGTCGAGGTGGTTTATTGGGATTCAGAACGTGCCGTCTTCTCTCGAATACAATTACATTTTCTCGACAATGTGTATGTCGCTATTCACCGTGTGTATCAACGACAAATGGCGCACAAGTATGGGTTAATTACTGTCAAATAGTTAAACCGCATTACATATTACAGCACAATACGTTCGGCTCCGCGGTTACGCTTCATGGATTTTCGATTGTGCGCGCAAAATACGCGGCACGCGCTAAGTGGCTTTTCACGATAATTATTCTTTCCCGCGCTAAAAGGGAAGCAATAACGACCGGGAAAGTAAGCGCACTTGGCCGCGACTACTTCGCTGGTAATTCCGCAGTAAAAGTAGATGACATAATGCGCCGTGAGAGATGAATATCTGCTCTAGAATAGTCACTGAAATCAGGGGTGACAGCCAGATTTAGACATACGCGTACTTTCGGATGGATTTGTCGATGGAATTTGATTCAGTCACTGACTCTACCCCGACACGATCGTAATTAAACTTTAAGCGGGACGAGAAGAAGAGACACGATGTCAGAGCGGAAAGAGATAATGGGGATGAGAGAGAGTGAGATACGTTATCGCTCTTGTCACACGGGAATTTGCTCCGAAGCGCGTCGACATTTCACGAAGCTGCCTCTGCTAATGAAAGTCATTGCCCATCTTAGTTTCCACCACTCAGGCATTATACAGCAAGGCAGATAAATTAAGCGCCTGCTTCTCGACCGAACATGCGTGAATCCTTTCAAATGGCGTCCCAATAAATGTTTGATGCTGTTCGAATTAACTGCTTCTTCTTTCACAATAAGGAATAATAAAGAAGAAGAAATAAGAATCATATTTAAAGAAGGAATTGGCAAATTCTCTTTGTAATTTCTATTCTAACGACGCCACAGAAATTTAATATTATTGTTAACTGTAAGAATTATCTGCCAGAATTATCGAGGAAAATTTATTCTTACTAAAAAAAAAGTATTTAACACCTTTAAATCAAATAATTACGCTATAAAGAGAGTGCATTGTAACAGAGGAGATACAGCGAGAGCACATCTTAAACGTTTCTCCCCCTCTTTCGTTTTCCACTTCAGGAACTCGGCAAAATACTTTGTGCTTTGAACGCGAGAGTAAAGGCGATGATGTCTAAAAGCGCCCGAACTAACGTAGCCCGAAAAAAATCAGTTTCGCACCACGAGCCTTCGCATGAAATTTCAAGGGTGAGGGACCGTTTAGGCTACAATATTTTGTCGCGTACCTCCCGAAGCAGCTATTTAATTTTCGAGAATAGGGCGAATGTTAAAGTGTACCTTACGAGTTTTCGTACGGGGTATCCCTGATAAGTTTGCATCAAAAGATAACATCGTATCGAAAAGTAATATATTTCACCCGAGTTTTCAAGAATAACACCATCGATCGGCTTGCAACGTCCCACGAAGTATATACGTAGCACATATATTTGACATCAATTCCGCTCGTGTTTATATCGCGTAACGCCTGTATCCCGTGAGACTGAACTATTCCTGATAGAAATTCCGCTAAATCGTGTCGGAGGATACAGCGCGCGATGGAACGCGTTTTGTTATTATTACAAGTTTGCACATGCAATTAGATCTTACGCGTGTGTGATACACTGCAACTGTAAATGCGCGTGGCGTAATCCTGCAACAACCGTCGTTACATACACTGTAGCCAGTTTGCTAACTGCGAGATATGAACGTGCAATAATTAGAAACATCTTGTAATAGAATATGTATATATCGTGTAATGCGTATTGGGAAACTTTGCATTCTAAAGCCCATATAATCGACATATATATATATATATATATATATATATATATATATACATATCGAGGATGTCCTATTTTATTTTTGACAATCAAATATCTCGAAAAATATGGAAGATATGGAAAAATGTTTCAGACAAAAAAGTTATATGGTTTCAAGGGGGATATAAAATAACTGTAACAGTTTGTTTACAGATGGACCCACTTTCGAAATATTCACTAATCATTACTTTTCTTAAAAGGAAATTCCAAATTTTTATTATACTAACTTTTTCTATCAATTAATTCGAACAACTTTTGTCTGAAACATTTTTTTATTTGCCTAATATCTTTTGAGATATTTCAGAAAAACTTCTCGCTAATCTCGCTAACTGTTTGTCGGAAGAAAAAATAGTACTAAACTTTTTTATTCTACTTTGTCTCAAGAATACATTGTTACAACAGTATCCTAACTTTTGTTAGCTTACCGATTTTTGGAAATTTCAATGTCATCAAATTAACAAAAGTCAGGGCGCTATTGTAACAGCGCTATTGTATTCTTGAGGCAAAGTAGAACAAAAAAGTTTAGTATTATTTTTTCTTCTGACAAACAGTTAGCGAGATATTGTAGGTTAAATATTGAAAAAGTTATCAAATACTTCAAGAAATATTAGGCAAATAAAAAAATATTTCAGACAAAAGTTGTCCAAATTAATTAATAGAAAAAGATGATATAATAGAAAATTGGGGTTTCTATTTAAAAAAAACCAATGATAAGTGAATATTTCGAAAGTGGCGCCATCTGTAAACATACTGTTATAGTTATTTTATGTCCCCCTTGAAACGATAGAGTTTTTGTCTGAAACATTTTTCCATATTTTTCCACATCCTCCATATTTTTCGAGATATTTGACTGTCAAAAATAAAATGGGACACCATGTATGTATATGTATATACACACACACACACACACACACACACACACACACACGCACACATGTATATATTTTTTTTCAAAACACATCGCCATAACAATGTACAGAGAAACGTAGAAACACAGTAACGGTGCGATCCGTTTTGGAAGAAAATTGACACTTGCAATACTCCCTTGTCAGGTGACATGTTGGATCTGATATTCCTCGCACCTCCGTGATTTCTCTGATTTCAAGCTCCCTTTTAGCATAAACAGCAACAAGAAACATATTTAGGCTCCATGGAAGCTATACTCTCTGCACGGTAATACGAATCGAGCGCGTGACGTTGATATGGACGTCCGATTGACATAGCAGCGCATGCATATCATACTTGGGAAGACTTCGCTAACATAAAGGATAGGAGAGATTCTAAGCCGGTAATTGGCTCCTCTCGATGGAGTCGAATTACCGTGAAACGAGTATCGCTCCGCGACCAACACAATCGGCTCTCCTCGGGAAGCTCCTGTAATCCGTCGCGTTTGTATCTCTTCCGATTGTTTCGGCACTTTCCTCCACGGATACGTATACACCATCGGCAACCATTTGTTCGATCGAGAAAATACGACGGAAAGCGTCGACTCAGAAGACACAGCGAGCACGACGGGAAACGTCGCTGGAAATTTAATTAAAGCGCCAGAGACGCGACTATAAACGCGTGTGAAATTCAATTCTTTCGGATTCTCCGGCCAAAAGGAAACAAAACAGAGCGTTGTCTTCGGAGACGCCAATCGGGGCTGAGTCGCGAGCCGGTCGTGCGGGACAAGACTTACACCATTTAATCGCGGGATCTCGATGTTCGGTATGTAGGTGGTCTCCTCGTGTTCCGTGGAGGAGCAGAGGCGGGCCCTTCTCCTGGAGGACCGCGGGCTGCAACGGCCGCACAATTCGGCGGCCGCGGAATTGCGCGACTTCGCGGCGGGCCGCTGTCGGGAGCCGCAACGTACGGCGAATCGCAATTCCGAGGCCATCTCCGCGCAGAGGGACTGTCGAGTGGTATAAACGGTCGTTGCGCAGGTGCACGTGTGCGTTTACCGTCCAAGGGGTAATCGACGAGACGTAGCAGCAGGGTGGCCGCCGGCACGACAGGTACGACATACACCAAGAGACAATACACAAGACGATCATACGAGACCGAACGCATGCAAGGCTGATTTCTCCGTAGCGCGAGGTCGTTTGTCACTCGTTTGAACATTGTTCTATCGATCGCTGGCCGCGGTAATGTGGCTTGCTGCGTCGCCGCGTGGACCAATTGCGTTTGGTTGGTGCGAACGGAACGTTAATACGTGACTTCGACATTAACGATGAGCAGCGGTGAGACGGAAGGAAAAGCGCATGCCTATGCTGAAAATACTTCGAGTTCATCACGGAACAGCCATAAAACAGGTTCGTCCTTAGATGGTTGCGAATTATCCAACGTGTTCTCTCTTTGATTTCATTATTGCCAGAAACAAAAGGTTCAATCATCGTATTTTATATGCATGATCAGTAACATCGCAAAATTTCGTCATCTAGTAAAATGATGTAGAACAGACGTAAGAATAAACGTGAGATATGCAAGTAATAACTCAGGAAGTTGTTAAAGTATCAAGAACTGCGAGAGAGGAATGAACTTTGTATCAAGAGAATCAAACGACTTCGGTCAATCAAGAGAAAGTACAACTCATGCAGCACGTTCACATGAAGCGGAAAATGATTCTACACCGTCCTGACGGCGATTCGTTCAGCTTACCCTGTCCGATTGAGTGTTCTTCTTGGAGTTCCAGCAGAATTCGAGGATCGCCACCAAGATTGCAAGTACCAGGCCGCAAAGAAGTACGACGAAGACGCCGCCTGGAATGACAAGACCGGAAGTTCATTATTTTAATGCCGGCGGGCCTCTCTCTCTCTCTCTCTCTCTCTCTTTCTTTCTCTCTCTCTCTCTCTCCCTCTCCCTCTACCTCTTCCTCTCCCTCTTCCTTTCCCTCTCTTTCACTCTTCATTCTCCGCTAATTTCACCAAACGAGACGCGCGACGTTGGCGGCCACGAAATACGATGGGGCGTGTTTGTCCTCCATCTCGCGCGGACTCCCCTTCCTCCTCATCCCTCCCCCTTATGCACCTTTGTAGCTAGTTTTTGTTGCTAGTTTGTCGGAGAGAGCAAAGAGAAGAATAAAAGTATGGAGGAAAGAAAAAAGTTTGCACAGCGGGGCGGCCGTGGAAAAATCGTGCGCGCAATATCTAAGCGAAGCTTGCACTCAGATCGATCGCGCCACACTTTTTGGTCTGTTTCATGGGAAAACTTCGCGATGGAGTATTCGCGAGCAACGACTGCGAATCGAGCGTGCGTGGAAACGTATATACTGATAAATGGCGGGGTGTTTGTATTTATTGCGATGCGAGAGTCGTGCGAAAACAGTGAACTCGGAAGCGGTATTTACGCTAGCCGCGCAAAGTTCAGCTCGTGTCCGATACGCGCGAAAAACGGAGCGATAGCGAGGTACGTGGACGTTTGCGGACGCATTGCATTGAAAATTAGCGATAGTTTGTAGAAGGATCCGCGTGATTAATCATGATGCCGGCATATTTCAGGGCAGAGCCATAGCTTGGCGCACGTCAAGTGTTTGCGCGCACGTACGCCCTCTCTTTTTTCTGTTTTTCTTTTTTTAATTTTTTGTTAGGTAACATTACACTCGTGTGCAGAATACTTCAGAAATACCTCGCTCGAAATAATAACTCATGAAATTCCTAAAAAAGTTTAGCAGAATGTTCAGTAGAGCGGTCACGAGAGGATATTGCATTTTAATTCGTCATGATGAATTTAGCCAGAATAAACGGTAAGTAAAATATGATATTAAGTTTATAAAGTTCAAATATGGACGAACATCATGTTTGTAAACACTCCAATTTTATCGAAAGTTGTCGATACACATTTTCACACGATCGGAGGTGAATTTTCACTTCGCTGGCCGAAAGCGTGGCGAGCAAAGTTCGCTCTCGCAGTCAACATGTTCGTCTTTTCCGGACGAACTTTCCAATTTCATTCGTGTAAATTCCGTGATGAGTTACTATGAGTGATTAGACACGTACTAACAGAGTTTTCTAGCTATATTTTGACTTTTTGCAACGTTTTTGCGCAAACGTTGCCTACGACATTATAATATCCACCGATTCGTTTTTCCACACATTTGAAATCTTTGAAAAATTTAAATCACTTTCCCAATTAATTGCACGCACATAAAATATTGCTAATTTGTATAAAATATGAATTGATCGTGATAATCGAGCTAAGCGAGAGAAAAATTCCCGAGATAAATTCGCCTATATCAGGGAGCACTTTTATTCCTGCGGGAAACTTTCGGTTGTACATTTCCAGGAAAGGAAGGATAGGGAATAAAGTATGTGGAGCACTAGGCGCTTTTGAGCGGACTAAAAAGTGTCCACTTATCGTTGACGGCGAGACAACCGAGGCAGTATCCAAGCAGGAATGCGAGGTAGATTTGCATAACTACACCGTCGTGATTTATGGTGACATCCCGGACGTCTCGCCGGAAGGACGAAAGTTTCGCACATGGACGCAAAGGTATCGCGCCGTGGCTTCGCGCCTATTCCGCGAAGCGGTATCAAGAGCCAAGACCAGGTAAGTCGCTGTATTGTCGTGCTATAGGCTGATTCAAGTTTCGCGGGAGTAGGAAGTTCTGGTCGCCGAGATATACGTTCAAGTTCCCCGTAGGATGGCAGGCCTTCGCGAAACACTTGGCACGAACTAAGAATTATCCGGAACTCGTCGTTCTCGAGGAGACTCTCGCTAACCCGGAAATTCTCGGAGTTAGCGGTGTTCAGTGACAAACGAGCAAAGTGAATGCAAGGTCGCGGAATGTAGACACTCCTTAAGTAGATTTCGGTAAATCTCTGATATTGTTATTTCGTGGTCCCACACCATGACACATGTTTCAGATTGTCGGCTGACTTAGCTCGTACTTTATCAAGTCTTTTATTTATTTTTGTTCTCTGCTCTTAGAAAAGAATACGAAGAATTTACGGTCTAACGTAGAGTTTTCATTTCTTTTTAGTTCCACTTTTAGGAAGATGTAGTGAAAACTGGAGTTGAAGTTAGTCAACGTTGATAAAACTTTGCAGTGCCCTATATTATCCCTGTATTATCCTCCTCCTCTTGTAACTAGCTTTTTGCTTCATTTTTTTTTTTATTATTACCAGCGTCGAAATTAACGATCAACAACTGGCTATTATTCTTTACACGTAATATATCATTATGTTTAAGTAAAATTAACATTAATAAAACAATGTTAGCCAAATAAAAATAATAATAGTTTAGACGCATGAAAAAAAAAATTATATAAATGATATCAGCTTGAGAAAGCTACAAGGTTTCTAGACGATTCACGGTTCTGCAGAAAGATTTACTGCGACGTTTTTAAAGTTCCAGAAGAACAGATATAGGCAATTTATATCTCTTACGTTTCTACCTCCGTTGCATTTTTAAATCACCGAGGAGGCTTTCCTTTGCAGCCGGTTGCAGACTGATTATTCTTATGAAATGGCGCGACAGAAGTCAAATGGCGGAGATTGTTCATTTTCCACGGCAAATAATCAAGGCATTGGAAAGGACAGGAATTAGCCAATCAACTGTAATTTTGCTAGATTTTCGCGCCGGGCCGAGATGGTCCGTTTCTCTTTCTGTCTCGTCGAGTACATTTACACCAGCAAAGTAGGTACTTATCCGAGTTACGGAGGCTACGTGGCGAAGAAACCGTAGGAAGGAGGAGGGAGGCAAAGTAGGTAGGTAGGTGGTCCGAGTTTCCACGAGTGGAGAGAAAAAAATAAGACAAAACGACGGAAGGCAGAGAGAGAGAGAGAGAGAGAGAGAGAGAAAGAAGGAACTTGTTGTGACTTCCATAAAATCCAAAAGCGCTTCCCGGAGAGCCCCAAGAAAAATTTGTCCGCGAACTTTGCGTGAAATTCCACCGCGCTTGAGAGTCTCTTCCCTCTTCTTTCCGATTTAGACTCTGTCCTCTTCGCGCTTGACCACAAATGTCAATATACTTTCGTACATTAACTTTTTCGGTCATTCGGTCGAGACGACTCTAATGTTTGTACACTGTTTCTTGCGTACTTTTTTATACATTTACTTCAATATCAAATCATGATAAACTTGTCGACCTGTTACATTAAATTAAACGTTCGAACAAAAACCAGATGAGTATTTTTCGACAATGGATTTTTAAAAGCTCTATTATATTTAGTCACAATAAAGCTTGAACGACATTTTAAATTGTAATTTTCTTCAAATTCAACATTTTTTAAATAAAATGAAACGAAGTCTTTCCCTTTTACTTTTGTCGTGTTGTTGGCCGTCATTATTTTATCCGTTATTTCTATCCGCCTTTTTCTAGTAATAATTTATTTTCTACGAAGAAGATGATATAATTCGGTGAACTTACCGATATTCTCGACTCCGAGAGCGTTTGCCTTGCTCTCTTTATTCTTGTCGTCTCTGTTGCACACGTCGCCCGTGTTCTTCCACCATTTATCATAGAGTATCTGTATTACGCCTTTCTCCTGCAGCTCCAGAATAGCTAGAGATATTTTATCCCTCCAGGGCGAGCCTGCATATAAAAAGCCTTCGTTAGGCTGGTCAAGGATCTTGCAATTTTTGCTTCAGCAGTATAATCTCGAGTGTAATTTCGCTGTTGCTTCCCACATTGAACACGTCAAATATATCACCAAGCAGCGTATCTTGAATATACAAAATCTCACGCGCAGCAATTCTCCAAATTTCATTTCAAAGGAAAAATATAACTCCTTCGTTTAGTTAGACATTTTAACTAAACGAACGGTATTAAAAGTTACGCGCTTTCCTCGAACTACGTGCTCCGCGACTGCTAATGAAGTCGATATTTCCTAGACGGAAATTTTTAATCGGACATCATCTGTTTCGAAACTCCTTAACTTTCAGTATCGAACCTGTAATTAACTTTCAAATTAAACGTCTATTGGACCCACGTCGCTATCTTTATTCATACATTTACCTTTTGGAGTAGCAATTCCGTATCCTTTGCTATCCAGCAGACCTCCTATCTGCGTCAGATTGCAGTCACGTTGAACCGCATAATCGAGCATGGTTGACTCCATTAAAAACGCGTAGTCGCCTTCCAGAACTCTTTTCACTCCCTCCTCATAAGTTTGAACGAACACGGACGAAGTTCTCGATTCCATAAACCTCCACATCTTCTGATAAATGCCAATTTTCGAGTCCTGCGATTAAGTCGTGAAAATCGAATTCTGTTCTTCCGTATCGCTTTCCAATTTAACTTTGCGTTTCACGAATTAAAGTTTCGATAAGCAGTTAGGGAGACTAAATATTAAATTAACCGCAAAATGAGAGAAAATTTATATTGTATCAAACAAGATTATCGGCTCTCGAATATTAACTCATAAACGGACTCTGTAATAGACGCGTGCTCGCTCTTTGACGTTGTTAAATTTAAAGGTAAATTCTAGAATTTTTCGCTCATTACCGCACCAGTTAATGCTCGCTTCTCTGTTCAAGCTAGTCAGGGAAAACTGGGCTAATAAAAGCCGTAATTTTGTTCAATAAGTATAGCACATAACTCTCCAATAAAATGTCACTATTTATTAATATAACAGTAACATATAATGCTTGCGAAAATACTCCCATATAAAATTGATCGTCCATTAGCGATTTCGGTAAATTTGTTGGCTATGTATATTTGTTGGCTATATATCTTCATATTTCGCATCCGCGGCTGCTGAATGCAATATATATTTACATTGGTATGCATATACAATTTTACTACATCTACCTTCCAACATTTTGGTTTGGTACATCGAATTGCAGGATGCAATTTATGCTTTCATCATCAAGAATTTGACTACAACATTTTTGTTCGTCTGAATCATGTATCATGTAAAATAAAAAATGAGGTTAAAAAATCCTATAGGAAAATGCATTTGCGTTTTAACGTTGAAATCTAACTGCGATATATTATTGACGGCCAAAATGCTATATGTTATACGAAAAAGTTTTCACTACTGCGTTTCTGTACTTACTCTGAAGAAAGTCATCGTGCTTCCACCCTCCAGAGTGCCGTAAGATATTTCGGTTTGTTCCGCGAGATCGGCGGCGTTTTCGATCGGCGTAATCATTCTCTCAACCGTCAGAAAGGCGGCCAAATTCGCGGTGTAAGAGGAGATGATGATCAATGTGAAGAACCACCATATGCCGCCTACTATTCTCGTGCTGGTGGCCTGATAACGAGGATTAATCTCGTCTTCATCACGAATAAACTCCATAAATACTGTTGTATGCTTTCCTCTCTCTCTCTCTTCTCGTTCAGCAATAACACGGATATTTTAATTCGACGATATCGAATTCCGTAGCCGTTCAAAAGCGTATTGAATTTGTTCGATGGACGTTGCGAATTTAATCGCATTTGTTACTAAAATATATAGATTTCAGGAAAAAAAAACTTCAAGAGCAATTTATGAATCCAATGACAGATCAATTTACCGATTTAATCATAGTCTCTTTTCAACATATTCGTCAACAAACGAAAGCTCCTCAACGTTCAAAATTTCGCAACGTTAATAATTTATATCATAATTTCGCGATTGTATGTGCACGAATGAATGATCTAACGACGTCAGTGTGCGCGGTCGTTTGCGGAAAATAAAATGTCGATAGATTGGATGCGTTAAATAATTCACTAATTTCAACCAGAAACGTGGTTGTTTTCAACTCAGATATCAATCAGCACCGAAATCAAACCGTCGTAAACACGTGGAAGGAACATCCGTTTCAAGCTCTATTAAGAAGGATTTTCATGTGTAAATGTTTTTCAATACCACTCCAGCGTGAGGAGAATACTTCCTCACTTCTGTCGCGAAGGACCGCAAGGGGATTTGGAGATCGATCGAAAACGCATCAGGGCGAGTGACGAGGTCGATTTAAGGTGCAGCGAATCGCGATTCCGACGGAGAATACCGCGCCGCAGTCGAAGAATGCAATATGGGGTCTCGTTTAGGATTCGCTGGGATATTTCGGCCCATTAACGGCGAACTCAACGACCGTGGAAAGGATTCTTGGATATAGGACACCCATGAATGGCTCTCTCGTTCCCTTTACACCTCCGGAGCTCGCAGTCGAGCGAACGATTTTAATTCCTCCGCGCGGTAATATAATGCGAAAGAGTTTATACACCGATAATTCGCGCGCGCACACACATACACGATATAGTGTATTCAAGAAGTAGTGTACAGGCATTCAATTCGTTCGTCGAATATAATATATCCATGTTTTCCCTTTCGTGACGCAGTCCATTTAAAAACGACCTGTCTGAACGAAGCGCTACTTGTTTTCCGTATCGACCGGAAAAGTTTCCCGTGCGGAAGTTGTGTGCACGTATACTTTATTTGCAGAACGGTTCGAGCGCTTTTTCTTCAACGTGCTTCAAAACGCAGCCGACGTCCGGTAGAAAAATCCGTTCGTTTTTGAATCATTCTCAGGAGGGGAATTTCTTTTCACAGATATTTCTCCCTCTTGGTGACATCAATTCGGATGCCAAAGCGAGCGTTTCTTCACATCGTGAAAGCCTCAGATGCCAGCAGAAGGTTCTCTCATTGGACGTTTTGGCTACGTTACGAAGCGTATCGAAGGAGACGGGTCCGAACCGTGCTGCTAGCATCCGTTCGCACGTGTGCAAAGAAACTTCAAACAAGAAGCACATTATTATTTGCAATATTACATTCTCTTCCACGAGCGCTTGGCCGCGATTGTTAATGTGATTGATAATGTCGATGTGCCTGGTCATGAAACGCACGCGCTGACACTTGAGACAGTCGCAACGACAACCCCGCATGTACATACGTGCCACCAGAGTCAATTAGCGTCGCATGGTGTATAGATATACCATAAATATCCATGTTTCCGTGCAAGATTCTACTTTCTAATCGCTTCATGTATGCGATTTAATAATTTCCTCGTAGCATTCGGCGGACAAATACTGCAGTCTTTCATACGCGGCGTGTAGCGACCTAAATTTTACTTTCCAAACTTAGGTGTTTACTGACAAGCGCATATAGTGTATAATTAGGCGATGGGAAATGAAGTCGATGAGAGATTTGTAAGCAGACGTAAAAATCGCACGCGTGCCTTTGTCATATTTGGTTGCGTCTTTACCTTTTTACATTTCTCCTTCGTTATGCACGTTGCGTTTTATACAAACTTTCGCAATATTGTTTCGTCTGTTCTGTGAATAGGAATATTGTCAAATTTTCGTGCAATATTACGCTGCGAGCGTGAAACGCAAAAAATCGTGCATCGGGAGAAACGATGCAAATATCCTGTGATTCATAAGTTTAGATGAGTTGGATTTATGTTCTCGCGATTCAGCGGCGTGATAACTGCGTGCGTATATTACAAAATAATGCAGAAATTATTATTCGTGTCAAAGCTTATATTATTCAGTCACATAAATACATTTGTTCTGTCTATGCTATCTTCATATTTATTATGCCGTTCTGCCGTTTTCAACGTATTTAATTAATATGTTTGAAAATTCAGCTTATTTTCACACAAAATGAAATTAAATAAACAATATTTTCAGGTATGATTACGCAATTTAGAAAATGAATTGTCTATTTAATTAAGTGATTATTATCCATGTCATATTATTGTCCCATATTGTATATTAAATTTTGGATGATATATTTCGAGTAATATAGAGCAGTCAAATGTAACGAATGAAATACATAACTGATAGCAATTAGCAGATTTTACGAATATAATTACATAAATACAAATGTGCATCACATAAACATCTATACTATTTTTATTATGTTTATAAGCAATCAATATTTAACTCAGGCTCATACTAAACATAACTCATACTAAACATAATTCAACGTGTCTGTAACATTAATAATGTAGAAAAATAATTCGTAATAATTAGCAAACTGTAGTTTTATAATAATTAATAAAGCGTAAAAATAGATAATTATTATATATTTATATATATATATATATCATGTATTTATGTATTATATAAAATAGTCGAAGCGCTTTCTCTTTACTAGTTTACTAGCTTCGTCTTCTACTAACATATTTCTTTTGTGGCATATAATATAGTAAAGAGTTGAAGAAACTCCATTCAATACCGTGGTCCTTCGAGGAAACGCTTGCAGCAGCCACTCGCGTAAAAGTAAAGAACTGAGCGTCAAATTTACTACCGAACGTATACGCGAAACTGTTCTTATATCGTGCTTCTTTAAATCTTGCATACAAAGTTCACCGTTTCATAATCTATTGTAGCGCCAGATGCAGGTAGCATCAACGAAGAAAAAAAAAGTAAGAGGTCAATGGTGATTCTTACGAGATGTTGTGTGCATGTATCAAGGCTTTTCTAAAGTAATAATATATTTGAGGCAAAATAGTGATTTTAATAGATACAAAAATCGGCATGATATACTGAACAATCATTGCGATGAATATCTTCGTTATCCTACGTTTCAGATGCTAAATTTTCTTGCTATACAACTGTGTTTTAACCAAACAACAATATTTTTTCATATGTAATGGATTGTAGTGGTATGCATGAAAGCAGAGAGATTCTAAAATATGCTGGAAGCTTTTATCACTACACTATATCTAAGCTATTGCAAAATAATATTATATAACGCAAAAAATAATGTTAAGCGCTACAAACAATGAAACGAAGACACATTGTAATAAATATGAAACTACGTTTCAGAATATTTGATATAATAATGAAAATTAATAAAGGAAATGTTATGATTATACACGTGGGACAACTGATACGGCTGTATTGTAAAGCATAGATGCAAGAAATCAAAAGACGATCGACTTATATGTGCATGCAGGGCTGACATGCGTTTCCTTAATTGATCATTCTAATCCTCATCGTCGATTAGAAGAGGAACTTGTAAACAAATATATTTGCGTTGAACACTGTTCTCCATAACAAAAGTGCGAAGTCTAAATGAAATTGAAAATTATCCATCTTGTCGAGATTCGACTAAAATCTACGTGCACCTACCAAAAACTTGAAACCTAAATCGTTTGCATAGTTTTATTTACTACTGCATGTATATGTATAATTAATATATTCTTATACATTTAATTAATATGCTATTAATATTTTAATATGCTTCAGGGTTATTGTAAGTAAATATTCAGCTATTTATAATAAAATTTATAAAAATAAACTCTAAGTAAGCTAGTCGTTCCTGAGATATACACAACAATGTATGCAAATCCGATTTTTTGTCAGAAGCGTGGAAATGTTAGCTTCTCAACGTTTCTCATTTGCAGTCGCTACAACTCTTAGAAATGAAGATATTGGCAATTATGTCGGATTGTACAGTCGGCTACTTCAACAGCAATATAAATATACATAGGTCAATGGTATCGACTGAATGGGGCGCTATGCGGAAACGATAGCGAGTCCGCATTCTATCACATGGCCGTGTTTACGTCACGCGGACCTGTCCCTACTTCCCCGCATGTCGGAGGCTGCGTACGACGTCCGACCGGCGGACCACGCGGTTCGATCATTGACCCTGGTTAGGGTGGGGTAGTACGCGTCGCATCAACTTGCGGTGCATGTTGTGTAACATGTGTTATACTGCTGCCCCCTAGCATTAGCTTTCGGTAATACCACGAATGTATCGAAAGTTGAAAGGGTCGTAACGCGCGAACGAATAAAGGTAGAGACATGAAGCCAAGCGCAATCTTCTTGGCATACGAGATCGTGCATGTTTGTATTGCTCTTTTATCGCCGATTCACGGAACGACTGTTGTAGCCAAACATCGTAACAGAAGTCAGGAATCTTTATGCGCAACGCATCTATTCTTGTTTTCCACAGAGCTGTTTCGGCATATTGGTTCATGAAATATTGTCTTTAAAGGCTTTTTTAATCAACAGTGAAATTAGAAAATATCAAAACATGCTATGAAAATATTAAAATAGTAAGCAATAGAAATTACAGAAAACGAATTCGCAATCGATTGATAAAACAACTACTACTTGAAATAAAGAATAAATGAATCCGAAAAGTGACGCTGTTGCAAATGTAAATGTAAATGTAAAATTAATACGTGGATATTTGTAAATTATTAATTCTCCGAATTCTCTGACATGTACCAGCCGTTTTGCAATATGTGTAATCATACTAACAATATAAATGTAAGTTTAAAAATATCTTGAAAACCATTGATTTTTGCCGAAACTATTTTTGTTAAGACTTCCTCGCTTATTCTCGTGAATAATATCAGTCAGAGTTAAGTCTTTTTGTATAATCCTGAAGCATTTTGCATATCATTTAATATCGATAAGCAATAGTTAGCGAATTTTTTCTTTAATGTAAACGTGCAATTGAAAAGTGTGTCACGGATAATATAAGGCGGAACATTGCAAAAAATGCTTTACATATATAAGTTCCGTCTTTTTTTAATCTTTGTAAGTACGGTATGCACACACACACACACACACACACACACACACTGTGAAGAAACGGTGCAAATAACGAACAGCTCTTTTCACTTCGAATGCTCCCATTGTCCACCCTAGCGGTGTCACCGCCGACCTAGTTTATACTTCATGGATACTTTTCTTGCGATTGACGGAAGTCTATACAATACATACCGGTATTTTTTGACAACTGAAAGCCAATTGCACGCTACTGCACCGTGGGTGCTCCTTGCCATATTCTATTCATCGTATGCACGTATCACATACAGGTATGCACACCTATAGCGTTCAGCGGTGAGCGTATAATAAATGGAAATCAATCTATATGTCGAGGAAATAATAATTTTTTGAAGCGAAACTCTCTTAGGTTGAAAACTATTACATATTTTTTTATACCTCCACAAAATATGTTTTAAGTTCCTCTCGGTCATGCTATATTTCAATTTAGAGAAGAAGTGGATACATTTTTAACATTCGTTTCTTTCACTGTGTCCTGTGTGAACACTGATGTAATTATCTTTTTACAAATGCTAGAAGTGTTTCATGTTTTATGTGCTTGAATTCCTTGTTTCATTTGTTGTTATTTATTCATCTCTGCATGCACTGTTATGCGCGAGGTACTTACATGGCAATTTCATGCCTCTGTTGTGCGCGCATGTGTTTATTTTCCATTTTGAAATACAGAATATTTATGTTAAATTCCGCAGAATTATTTTCATATTATATAAATAACTGAAATTTGCAATATTTTACGAACAATAAGATTAAACTTTGCAGCATAACAAATTCGATAAAAATATAATTGGCGCTCGCTCTTTAAAAATATTATTCCCACAACAAGTAATATTTATCAAAAGGAAATATTAAGTCAGAACGACATAACGTGCATTTTCATAACTAATTTATGTAAAATGTGGATGTAATTATATTTCTAGAACCTTTTCCTCCGACTTTTTGAATTAATCCAAAGTCTATTCGAAGTCTACGATAATTTTGCCTGTATCAATATATCTTTCATTTATAAAGACGTAAATTCGCGTTTATGTTGGATTATATGATAGGCATCAAGACAAATTGTTCTCGACTTTGCCGATTGTCATATCTTTCATTTCCCGCAGGGTATATTCCCGAGATATCGCCGTTAATAAAGTTTCTTCTCTTACTTTCTTCTTCTCAGTGTGCTTCGCACGTGGTTGAACAAAACAAGTAATTTCCAAGCGTATATACCGGCTAGCTATTAAAAGGAAGGAAAACTGCTTCGAGCAAAAATAACCTCGCACGTTGCGAATGTAGACTGGAGAAAGCGAGGGAAAAAACGAATAGGCCGGAAAGAAGACGTGTCGTATCATAATTATTCCTTCCTACTGATACCCTCCATATTCACTACTGAATTTAGAGATCAATTCCCCTTTGATGTTATTAACGCTGTTGACGCTTAATTAGTTAAACCTGCAGAAGTCAGGCGGATAACGATCGCATCATGCTACTTTTGAAGTATAACTGTTAAATTATTAAATCAGTAAATACACCGAATGCATATACATGTCTTATACATAATATATCTCATATTATTCTTGTAATAAATCATCATATGCTTCGCGAATTCCTACCATCCAGTTTACCTACTTTTTCTATTTCACTTATTTTTCAAATTATGGCGAATAATCAAACGTACTTAGGTGCGGTGCAGAACCTTCTATACATTCCCTTAAAAAAGAAAAAAAGAAAAAAATAATGTTTACTGGAATATCGCAAAAACTTCTGGCACTGGCACTTTAGTAGATGTGTATGGAGAAAAGTGCATAATATTATGGTGCATAAATGACTCACGTTTTTCTTTACGCTTTGATCAAAATTTGATCGAGCTGCGGCACAAGTAATTCAGCGCTTTCCGGGCGTGCTTGCTAACGTGTTGCTTAAATAAGCGTCTCGTAAAATTCTCAGGAACGCGCGCGCGCGCGATTTTATAAGCGCTTAAATTCCCGCGCGGTTCTTCTTAATTAACGTCTTATAAACCACGTGAAAAGTCGGCCTTTGACGCGAGGATTTTTGTAAATGTCACGGAAACTCGTGGAATTTCGTCGACGAGGCTAAGTTTCACGCGCAACTATGCGCACGTTCGTTAGCGGAAACGTTATTTCTCGGGGCTCTTTTGACTCTGTGGTGGCACGTTTACCTTAGGGTTGAGATCGCTGCCCTGTTGCATAAGTGTGCCAACGGCAAACCAAAAGCTGTTGGCCAGGCTGAACTCGTTGACAGTGCTCAGCAGCGGAATGTCGTCGCTGTCCGGGTCCAAGGCGCTCACGTGACTACCCTGATGACAGCGTGACCCCCGCCGAGCGGTGCAAAGTTTAAAGGACAATTACACTAGTTGCACTCGATTAGCGCATGACTCGACACAAAATCTCATATCTTTTTAATTAATTTTAAACGTTCAATCATGTTGTGCAGAAGGCGCAAAGCACAAACGTCAAATACACACCGAATACTTCTTGTGTTTTGAGTTGCGAGTGAGATACGCGCAATTTCTGCAGAAGATAATTTTTCTGCTTTTTAATCGTATTTATCATCTCTTCCTCTCCCTCCCCTCCATCCCTCCCTCTCTCTCTCTCTCTCTCTCTCTCTCTCTTTCTCTTCCTCCCTTCCACTCTTTTTTTTCGCGATGGATGCTGCATCGAGAAACGCGCGTTGCTGTAGGTATTATTAATTGGCCGTTCTTTACTCTTTACTCTCTTGAATATTACATCCTGCGATATGAAACCGAGGCTAATGTACACGATAAAATTGTGAAAATTATGAAGCGGTTGACACGGCGCTCTTAAATTAACCGGCAGAGAATTCAGCCGCGCGTTTTAGCGCTGCAGATATACGTATCTTTCAACGTTTCAATGAAGTCGTAACACTCGAGAGGACGTACATATGCGTAATTCTCTAATCGATCGATTGTTGTTTCGCACCGCTCGGCGAGAGCCTACCTGCAAGGGACATTTACAGCTCGGACAGGGCGACGGCTCCACCCATTCGTAGGGTGACAATCTTGCCACTATCCATATCGCCAAGGATACCATTACGTAAGTGCCCAGCAAGGATAGCCAGATCTCCACGGCGAGGGGATTCATGAACGAGAAGAGCCGCGACGACGTTCGTTTGGAAACCTGAAGCAATGACATTTGTTTTCGCGTTACTAATCCGCCAGAATCGAATGACGGATCGATCCATCCGACGCGGCACGAACGACGAACGTCGCGGACGGCGACGCATCGCGAGACGCGAGACGGTGTACTCGTTCATGTCCAATCGTTGCGTCGTGTACTCGGCTGCAAGAGAAAATTCAGAGTCGCGAGCCGCTTATAACTTGCGGCGCTCCTTCACGCAACATCCAGTCTCTCAAATGGCTCGAGAGACGATTCTTTATTTCGATGGAATTACGGGAGCGTATTATTCATCGGGCCGCCGCGGCGGAATACAATGGCAGTGCGCCTTGAGTGTGCAACCGCCGCTAAGTGCTGCTTTATTTTTTAGCGAGATATCGCTGACGCCGTGAAAGGGCGATCGAGATTTCGAATTTTAAAACGCAACAATTTATCGCCACGACAGAACTGACAGCAACGAATTCGGAGTAATTTCATCGCAACATTCCGTTTCCACGGCATAAGAGAGAGAGCTGCGTAGTGTTCTCTTTGCAACAGCGGAAACGCACTTCGATCGCGTGCTGAAGCTTCCTCTTCAGTTCGGGACTTAGATCGCAGAGAGTGGCGTGACGTTCTTCATAACAAGGCGAGGGAAAGTCATTGCGACTTGCATTCGTTCCGCGATCAATTCAGCACGATCGTCTTTGCGATTCACGGCTTCAGCCCTCTGTAATATTGCAAATACATGATCCGCAACATAAACAACATGTGTAAACGAATCGGCGAGCGCCCTGCGCGAACGGACGTTCACTTCTCGCGTCTATTCCGGCGAGATGATGGATTCATGCGCGCGCTCTCTCGCGAATGGAGATCGCGCATACAGTGTATGTACGGGAAACGCGTACGGAAACATAAAGTGGACGAGCGAGGTCTCGTGTGTGAGGTACGCTCGACGGCAGCTCGACGGATGATCGGTGCGCGTAAGAAAAACGGTACAAGTAGTCCAATGGCGGAGCACCTCGTTGAGTGTACCTTGGGGTTGAGCCCGCTGCCCTGCCTGAGGAAGGTGCCGGTGATGAACCAGAAACTGTTGCTGACGCTAAACTGGTTCTCGACCACGTCGCTCTCGGCCAGACACGGATGCGGATTGTTCCACTCGTACGGGCTGAAGCGCGCCATGACGAAGAGGGTGAAGCTCACGAGCATGTAGGCGGCGAGCACGTAGAGCCAGATCTCGACCGCCAGCGGATTCATGAAGGAGAAGAGCCGCGTCGGCTGACCGGACGGCACCTAAATTACGTCACGCTACGATTTTAATTAAAACGGATCCCGTCTCATGGCGCGGCGGGACACGAGCGCGCGGCATAACGCGATGCTGCAAACCGATGCGAGTCAACTTTCACAGCGAGCGCATCCGGCATTGTGCGCATGTTCAAAGAAGCTCTTTGACGGGCCAAACGGGCTGAGAAGGAGGTGGGACACGCAGAAAAAAGAAAGGGAGATATAGGAGTCGACGATCGTGAGACGAGATACCGATAACAGGATGACTTGATCGCTCTTTTTCTCGTATTTACAATAATATTTCGATGTACGTTGATTAAAATATACAGGATATCTCAAAACTGTCGTTTGACAATTTAATCGTACGCATTCCGTAGCTGAGCTGCAAATTCACAATTTTAATTAAGCTTCAGAATATGAGGTCAAAGTACCCAAATCTTCAATACGTCTCGCATGAGTATATTAAAAATCTACGTGCACATCTACATATTACAAATCTATCTATTGTCATTCTGAATATCCAATGACTTCCGATGCGTCGCGATTGATTATAATGATCCTTAATGCCAGTTAGTAAACACGCGAGACGACATCGCTTGTGATTTTTGATTTCACGAATTAATCAGAGCTGAAGCAACGAGAATTTAATGACACGCGGGTCGCGATCAATATATTGAGATCAACGTGAATAGCCGGAGCATGATAAAATTTATGAGATGGCTATTATTCCCGATTTTGATTATATTTTAATGTGAAATACAATCGAATCGTTCGTGTTCTTATTTAATTTAGAACGTGTCGACTCTTCGTACCACTGTAATTAATTAATAATATTACTTTCTTAATTAATTAATATTACTTCCTCTTACTGATTTGATCAATTTCGTCACTGTTCAGCGGATACAGTCGCAAACACAGGCGCAAGATTCGTTTCGTGTTGAACAAAATTGTCTCGAAGGTAATCTTAACAGATCTAACAGATCAACAAATCTAACAGATTTGTTCTCCTTCGTTTAATCTTTTTTGTGAACTTGATAATCTGTGAATTTTAAGATTTTAATAATCAGTAAGGTCTTAGCAAAATTTTAATAAATAGCATCTGCACAGGGTACAGATAAATAGATAGATTATTATAAATACCCCCTTCTTTCCCCCTACCCTGCAGTTAGATATTATATAGTGTAAAATATTGATATCATAATACAGAGAATACACGAATGTAATTTTGAATAATAACACAACAGATTCTTCCTAACCAAAACAATTTGGGCGCGCCTGCGGTCACGTAACCTTGAAGATACATACATAAGTAAGAGAGAGACAACACAAGCCACTACAGTCGCGGACACGAAACCGAACGCTAGGTTACGTCGCACGTTTCGTCCGAAATTCCCGGGTTACTTCCGACGAGCGTGAGCACAATTAATTTACGTGTACGATCATTGTTGTTAGATAGATATTGAGAATAACGGGAGCATGCTGAAACTGCAAGGTATTGACTATTATCTTTCGTTCACTTTCGTTTATTAGATTTTGGAAATAAACGTAGCTCATTTCCGATATTTGCGCGTCGAATTTGTCGGTACTCGATAACTTAACCTAACCTAACCTAACCTGTTATTATACCTAATCCAGAGCCTATTTTTCTCATTTCAGATTTGAAAGATCTTGCGATTCCGTATCGTGAAGGAACTTTTGTAGGGAGTGTAATTCCAGTGAATGCAGATACCGGAGGATCTGGTTCGGGCTAAGCAGAGTCGGCTCGAAGGTAGGTTCACAGATCCCATCTGTTCTTTCATTTAACTTTTTGCGCTTGCAAGTCGAAATATAGTTGTCAGGATAAAAATCAGAATTGCAGTCGCAGAAATTAACCGACTCTGTTCATTCATTCTGTTGAACATTGAAATCTAATCTACAAAACTTTCCTTTTGTTTCAGATCTGAAAGCAGAAAGTGGCTGTCTCTGAGTTCGCGGTATCTGGGTAAGTAAGAAATATATATATATAAAAGCATGCATATGTATACATGTGAAAGATAAAAGATGAAGAAAAAGATTTAAGTTAGTAAGAATTTATAAAACTCGTTCAAATTAATGCGATTTACATTAGATTCTCGCTTCTTACCTATATGTGTGTGTGTGTGTGTGTGTGTGTGTGTGTATCATTGAATAAAATACACTACGCAAAATAATTAGAGGATTCAAATTCAACCATTTAGCGACAAATTTGAAGTATTGTGAACACATTTCTTTCCTTTAAGGCCTAACTTTAATTTTTAGTAAACATATTTCTATACCGGGTGTTTCAGACCACTCGGGTTATCCGATGTTTTCGTTAACGCGACATTTTAGAGAAAAAATTTCAAAATATATCAGACAAAAGTTATAGGGCTTCAAAGGATCTATTTACGCTATGAATTTAACTTGGGATAACATTGAAAAGTTATCCCAAGTTTGTCGGAAGAAAAAGTGGTACTAGACTTTTTTGATATATACATACATATATGTAAATATTTCTATGTTCTATCATTTTATTACTAGTTAAAAATTTTACGAATACTCAATATAATTATTCGACCATGACGATCCCTTAATTATTATTTCCGGCAGTTTATAACGCGCATTGGAATTGCGCCGTCATACGCGAGGTTCACGTTTACTCGTTCGTGTTGATTTGGATTATACGCGATTGTCGCGGTCATTAGTTTTCCATACTTCTCGTATGTGTTTTTGCATGGTAATTATGTTTCGTGAACGGAGATAAATTGCGTTAAATGCAATTCGCCAATATATGGGGGATATAAACTTGGATGAAGTATCACCAGCGTTTCCAAAATACCAAGTTTGATTGTATCGTGGATTCCCCAAACAAATCCACAAGTTACATTCGCCATTCATTTGTCAAATTTGTAGAATTCGCCACGAAATAAATCAAAATTTTTGCTGTTCCCTCGAGGTACACATAAAACGTCGTAAAAATATAAATATTAATCGCGTCGCGAGTAAAGTGAAGTGTGGCGAAGTAAAATATTGTCATGTGTGGGGCGACGAGTGATGGAAACTGACCGCTACGCAGTTCGGGATCCAGTGGGTTTCATTGGCTGATCATTAGCTAGACATGAATAGATCTAGATGGATTTGAATGAATCTAGCTGAACGTTGTCAGTCTTTAACGCAAAATGGTGAATATTGAATTCTAACATACACACAAGTGCATTTTATTTTAGTGCATATATTTTTGTAAATCGCATTGATTTCTAACGATAAGAATAAGGATTGTTTCATATTATTGCTAAGACTGAACATTCAGATAATTTAATATCCGTACTCAGAGTATAATATTTTCATAGCATATTCTCTGAAGGCTATATGAAGTCGGAAATCATAAAACGGAGAAAATATCAAGTCGTAATATTTACGACTATCAATAACATCGCGTAAATTTTACGCGCTCAAACGTGCGATTATGCGTGCACGTGTACTAATCTCTTGTCTGTTATTTAATTTTCAATTTTGATTTTTCGACATTTAATAATGTTTATTAAATTATTTAATATTTTATTGTTATATAAAAACACATTCAACACTGTTTGTGCAGTTAAGTAAATCACATAATTAATACATTATTTGTTGAAGTTAGAAATAATTAAATGCAGATAGGATGTTGAGATAATCAGATGTCTAAATAGTGCCTAAATATCGAGAACAAGACGTTATAGTGCTTGTATAATATTATATATGAAATTCTTTATCGGCCTTCTAGGTTCGAAGGAATTTGCAGGCTTAATATGGAGCCAAAATTTTCACTTTAAGCTCCAGAATGCGCTATTAAAGTATTATACGACAGTTTTAGGACATTCTATATGAACATTATTAGAATAATAAGGCGCATATGTATTTACGCTATGCACCATTTATTATTATTATATTTGCGATTAAACTCTTATGATATGTTATGATATCTTATTATTTTTTATATTAACCACGGGAGTAACCATGAGAATTGTTTATAGCAACAATCTCTATAATTTATATTAACGCAATATACAATGCATAAATTGAAACGCAATCGATAAACGAGTATTAATCATAAACATGTATATCTTAAACGGGGATAAAAATATAATTGTGTGGCGTATGCAGATCTATAAGAAAAACACTACGAACATGATATTAACTCACCTTAAATAAAATTCCAATTCCGAGATTCATAAACGGTTTGGTGAAGTCTATTACACTTTCTCTGGCATAATTAATCGTCATGGAGGCAACCGCTAAATCCGCCCTCTGAAAAATATTACGCGGCATCCGGGAAAATTAGAGAGTAAATTTTCTACGTCAAATTGAAATCGCACAAGACTGAAAAATTTTGCAAGTCTTATCCATATTGAAGAAGAGATAGTTATATCAAATGGAATATTTTCTTCCCGTTTAATGACAGAATTTAATCGCTTATTCAGTGAAAAGTTTTTTTTCTTTTTCTGAGCATACACAAGATTCCATCAATGCATTTCTATTCCCTAAAAATAGTGATGTCGAAAATTTCTAACCAAACACATCATATCTCAATATTCGTGCTTCATAACTATTCAGTGAATCGACAACACAACGCTTTAAAGCTGCTGAGTTGCTGTCATCATAAATGTCAGTTTGACGGCTTTACGTTTCATCTGGTATGGTGCGAAAAATGCAAGCGATGTCGATAGGTTGCTTGGAATGTCCATTGCATATTTTTTATTTTATCATTATTTGAACAAAAAGAGAAAATAATATTTATGCATATCTATCCGAGAACAGCCATATAAGAATAACTGTCAAACTGACATGTATGGTGACAAATCAGTAATTTTGGAGTACCGTTGCCGATTCCCCGAAATTATTAAACATAAATATTCAGACGTGCTTAGTTGAAAATTTTCGACATCATGTTTAAAGGAATGGGAAAGTATTAACAGAGTAGTTTTGTTATATATTTCTGTGTACATATTTTTTGAGTGACAAAAATAATCGAGGTCGTCGTAGGATTCGCGCATATAAACAAATGCATTTCGGGATATAGCGAGACCTGAACGAAAAGGTCTCAAATTACTGATAAATCTTTGGCCTGGGTTTTGCGAGGAAAGGTTTACCTTGCGAGATAGTGGATGCATTCTTTATGAACGGGCGAGTGTCGCGCACAGTGAAGCACCATTCGTATCATCCTCCGTTTCAGAATATTCGCCTACGGTTTCGTAGGTTTCCAGGTTAAGGCAACATCCACTTTCACAAGGGACAGATTGCTCTGCATGTTTTATAAACCGCTGATCTTCGGTATTCAACGCGTATGGCGTATGCCGGAAAGCCGAGTTGCGAATTTTGTGATATGCACGTACACCTCCATTCGGACGTACCGTTTCTCGCGTCCCAAGTTAATGTAGACTGTGCAAGTTTTTCTCTTTTTTTATATATTACTTACTTATATATTGCATATGATTTATATCGGCTCTTGTAAACTGAATTTTGCACTGAACGAGGTGGCGTACTTTCAATAATTAAAAATAAAAAATCTAGTTGGTTTATATATGATATTACGGCCAATAAAATTGGCGATACGGCGTCGAGCTTGCTTTTACAACTCTATAAATGTATACGCGATACAATGTCCAATGTCGTTAGAGTGACAACAACAATAAACGCTTGAGTTATTTATCGAGCATGGCCGAAACTTTGTCGCGGACAGAGGAGTATGTTGCGCGTGTGTGCTTAAATAAATTTAACGAACCATGCGATGATCACATCTGCAACATTTACCATGTGATCTCGCATATGTTATGCAAAAATACGTGTTTTCGGAGAAACATAAATGTCCGAATCATTTCCAAACACAACCACTTAGTCAACGGTTTGAAGTAGCAGTAGAAACTTGTTTCTTTATCTTCGGTTATACATTGATAGATTCGTTTTTACTTTTAATTATGCATTGCAGATGATATATTGTCCGCCTACATATCGACGATTGAATCGGCGAGTTGTCTCAAGTTCGCTGATATTTTCAATATTACGAAGTCATATTCGCTCTTGTGTCAATAATACTTTTTACACAGAGCGACACTGGAGCCGCGCGCGACTTTATTGCTAGTGTAATTTCGTTTTTATGCGCGTGTATATTTGTTGTTCCGTCTCATATGTATATTGCGCTTCCGTGTTTTCATCGATTCAGTGATGGAATCCGGAATCCAATAAGAACTCTTTTCAGGGGTTTCCTCTCTCTGGCGCATTAGCCTTCGTCCGTGATGTTTTCCGTTTTTCGTTGAGGATTCCAAGATATATGCACACTTTCTCTTATTGCTATACAGATGCACTGGCTACACAGATACGTTCGCATCCGCGAGAAAACAGTGAAAATGTAAATCTATTCTCTCGGTAACGGTAACGGAAAGACAACATTTACCTCTCTTCGGATATACGCAAACGCGAAAATGTTAGAATTATAACTAAAATTTCTCGAAAAAAGTGTTACGGATGAAAAACAATTGTGGCAAAAATCAATAAGTGTCAATATGATACTTTCGGTATTATCATTCTTTTTTCAAACGGCCTGTACTAAAAAAAATGAAAATTTCAAACAATGAAAATATTAGATCGATGAAAACATCTAAATAGTAATTGCATTGTCTGTGTACATAAAAAATATGGAGATTTTGCATGTTTCTGTAAATTAAACCGCATATTCTAAAACAAATATCAATAATCGATTTTCATTACAATGAACAAACACGAACTGTTATAGAATAATAATGGGAAGCAAACGTTGGTGATATTTAATAAGAATCAGTATTATTCGCGCGGCATATAAATTGGATTTCCTATTTTATTATCTTGATGAAACGTTTCGGTTCAATCAAACTCTGGACGATTTTTCACGTATCCTTATTTGATCGCTTTTTCGCAGTCATGTCTTTTTATGCGCAATAAAGATTATTGAGCGCTTGGTGATATTTCTCATTCAGATTTGATATCTGAAAGTCATATAAATGTCGAATATAGAATATTCCCACCAAGTCGAATATTCCGCAGTAATCAACGTAGATTCTAATTTGCAGTAAAAGTTGCGCGAACGTCGTGTGTGCACCTACTCGATCATGTAAACAATAATGGACTGGCTACGCAAATTAAATCCGGAAGATGCTCAGATGCGCATACATCAAATTTTGATTTTAATAACTGCGCGACTTTACAATTCAAATGACAGAGACGGCAGCATCTGCTAGCCGATCTATGAATCAAAATATCTGATATGTCATTCGCCCGTAGGAAAAATGGTTAATCCACTTGATTCTTGTATCCGACTACACGCGTAATGAAATTCCTCGCGGGATGGATTTATTGCGACACGCTTGCGGAAATTTACTTTACTTTGCATGTACAATCGGCCTCTTGGGCCGTGTGTTATCATTCTTCCTTCTCGACGTTTTCCCCTAATATACTCTCCCTCTCTCTATACGGCCGTAATTCCCTCAACAATATGAACTTTCCGCACTTTAAATATGCACACTTTATCGAACTCTGCTGTATCGAACATTAGACAAATCATTGATTCCTGTTATTTCGTGACTTATTACTTTGTGACAATTCGGAAATATATAGTTTGTAAACTAGCTACAATCTCTCAGCATTTCGAAAGTTCGAGAAAATAAACTGCTTCGTTGGATTCACCGCGGCACAGAACTGAATACTTAATAAGCCGCGTATATCTCAATTAATCTTCCTCTCGCGACGCTGATTAAATCTTTTTCCGGTCCTGCACGTAACCACGTCGACGGTGTGGCGCCTGAAAACTTTGCTTTAACTCGACGCATGCATATTAACACCGAGCTATTTACATCTCATTTCCCGTCTTGTTGTTCGCTCATTTCATTCGCGCCGTGATATTGAATTATCGTGAGGAAGGGCAACAGGATTTACGTACTCCTCCTTACCTTCTCCATGAGCTCTCGAACAATCCCATTCCATTCCTTCGTCTCTGGATCGTACACCCCGTACATGTGATCAGGCACCAATTTGATCGCATATTGGAAGCCGACCTGGCCAGCGATCCACTTGAGCAAATCGATGCAGAAGCCCTCGAACCTTGCGTTGCCAGTCAAATTCTTGTCTTCTTTTACCATGACGTAGGGTCTTTCCTACGGAAGATTGGATTCCACTGATAGATCGTAGAATTGCGCGCCGTGACAAAGAGGAGGTGAAGGTAACTCTTAAATGTCCTTATTTCCGCGCGAAAAAGTTATATCAAAGCTATTATATATCAAAAGAGCTGGTAGAAGTTACTGTTGATACGTGAATACACGGTATTCCGATCGCTTCTCCTTCAAATGTTTTTTCCTAACGTCACCATGAATTTTTCATTTTTCTGAACGTGCCAACATGACTGCCGATCGACTCAACAGATTAAAATCTATCTTTGATATAGTACATCGCGTGATTTTGCCGCTTCTGATATTTAAATTTTTCTCTTAAATTCTTTGATCATTGTCCATAACGTAAAATGAGATAACGTTGAACCATAAAGTCGTTGCAGGCAGGTTTACAATATTGAGCTTTCCATACATTTGTCGCAGAATACTTTATCGCAGAATAATATAAATGAATAATGACAACTCGTAGTATTTATTTTATTCGGCGTTTATCTTTAGAATTGATAATTGAAATAAAAATTTCGAGAAATATAAATTCAGAATAACTTATCTATTTACGTGTATCATTGGAAACCGTATTTAAATACGGCACATGTGTTTACCGTACCGCCTTTCGTTGAAATGTAAATATTTTACTTTCAGACGATTTGACAAATTTATCCGAGATCGTTTTGTACATAGCTTCCATATTATCACGTAACGAATGTTCGTGCAGTATCGCCGTTAATGATTAATTATAACGCTAGCGCAGAATTGCAAACGCAGCTAATTTGCCTACAAAGTATCGTTACCTCTCTCGTCATCACTACGAGTGTAATATTGGTTGCTGTGGTCTCGTAAAAGGCATCTATGTCTGTAACATTGATGCCAGTGTCGTATTTCCATTCGCCGACTTTGACGAGCTCTTCCTTCTTCAGTTTCAAGAGGTCTAATTTGAAATTGTTCCTTCTTCCTTCGTGGAATGTGATATGTCCGGTTAGTCCGTTTAAGCCTGCCTGCAACAGAAACGCTCGTATTAATCCTAAATCCAAGATTGATTAAATTCGTCGAACTATTTCACGTGATAAATAAGCGATAACAAGAGGAAAAATGCAAAACATATTTTAATATATTATAAATAATGTATTATCTATAATATTATCTATATATATATAAATTATATATCATATATAATTTATTGGTACTGTAATGATATATGATGAGGTAATAACGCATGTTTAATTTCGTTTTTATATTCTATAAATATTTTCTTCAACTATACACAAATTCTCCACAAAATTGCATATTCTTTTTATTTAACCCTTTAACTGCTGAGATATTAAATGACCAGTATGACCCTCTTTGCTGAGTTACATCTACAATTATAAAATATTTTATAATGATAAGAGATGGCACTATATGCCCGCTCAATTCAAATGCTTTTTACAAACTAAATTAAATGGGTATTACACATTGAAAGTCCAAAATCGAGTAAACTCGATCGTAGCAAGGTCATTATTTTTTTCCACACTCGAGTTATCTCGACCGTAGCAGTTAAAGGGTTAAATATACATATAATGTTAGAAATTATATTCTACAAAGTATGTAAACACAGTCTTTTTATCGATAATAATAATAATATTTTGAAGTAATGAAATAAAATATACCGTGAAAATGAATATCGCTCTTGATTTAATGTTAAGTGAAACGTAAAATCGAAATTAGATGTACATAATCAATTACATACGCGATAACAATTTCATGCAGATAGTTATTTTAGTTAGTATTTATAATCGTAACTATTTGATGACAGGGACGACCGGATTCATCGTTCGTTAAATCACGCGTGCGTCTGATGCTCGTTAATTTTATTTTTCTCCTGTGTCGTATAGTAGTTCACGAATGCGTACACATCCGCGCGATTCGCTGCCGGCGGCCTACATTTTCGGATGCATACGCCCGGCGAAATTTTTCGCATGAATTACCGTTTGCGGTCTACCAGCGATATGCGCGCAGTTTATTTGATTTATCTCTCTCTCTCTCTCTCGTTCTCTCTCCTCTCTGTTTTCTTTTTTATGTGTATTTCCTGTATGCCTTTGCCGTGGCTCGTAGGTTATTCGACCAAAATGTGCTTCTTTATAAAGTCTCATCCACTTATCCCTATATAACCAGGACTCAAATGAAACAAATATAAATATTTCTCGACTTCGTGTAGAGATAAATATTTTTCGCGACAACCTCGGTTGCTTAACTATTCCATTACGAAAGCTGTCTTCAATTATTATTACTTTCGAATATTAATACTTTCGAAAGCTTTTATATATTCCCTTTCGTATAATTTTATTACTTTTCTAATAATCAACAGGTATAAATAATAATCGGCTAGCTTGAAATACAACGAACCGTCTTTGTCTATCCACTCCTCATGGTTGAATTATTCGAATGGCCTACAGTGATACGCACATGCTGGCTGATATATGCTTGGTCGTATCACTTTTTAGGTACGCGTCGTGCTATATTCCACTCGTAATCTGGATTCATCTCGATGACGATGGTACGGAATGTGCAAACGCGAGAGGGTTTATTGCAAGAGCTACAAAACAATCGATATTGCATCCACGTGGAGAACTTTGATCAGTTCATGTGGATTTTTGCGCGGTTATTTCGTTCACATATTGCTTAATCCATCGCGCAGCGAGAATAGAGATGAATTCAAAGCGGAACAATTGAATCGTTTTAGTCATAAAGTTCTACGTTTTTCTTAAAAAGAAAAAAAACTGATATATAAAGGAGGAACGCGAAGCCCATTAGCCCATCGTTAGAGTCTTATAAACGTAATTGGTTGATTTTACAGATAATATATGTCTAAAATTTCGCACACGACAGTCTCGTTGTTTAAACCAAACATCTACGGAGAAAAGAATTACGTATCGTTCGTTGTCCTAATTGAATTCATCTCTGCTTCCTTTTATAATCCACACAGGAGATGAGATAGGAATTTAATTTGAATAATATCTATCTTATGCCTCGTTTAAAAAGATCGCTTCTTTTCAAAGTTGCTATGATACTATAAAATATAACGTTTCACTCTCATTTGTGTCTATGACGTTCGGAAAATGTAAGAAACAGTTGAAAACAGAATGCATTAGCTTTCGAAAGTCAATGTATTGATGACTCGCCGATGGCGAGTTTCATTTGAAGTACTCTTGCATTTGAATTCGACTTATTTTCTTGAATTTACGCGAATATAGGCGCACTTGTTAGCAACTTGTTAGTATTTTGACGAAAATCAGAATGCGTGGTAGGCTCGGTGATTTTTTATTGTACTGCGCCATTATTCCCAACGTGTATTTTGTGATCGTAGCAAATAACAAGGTGTCAAATTATTTTGTGAGCTCACGGCAATCGCCTTTCATCAGCCCGGCAGCTAGCGAGAATTTTAACGATGATTCCGCAGTCTGGATTTTTCGACCCATCAACGTAGATACGCGGCCGTCGACTACGTAGATCGATAAATCCCTACCGCGATATCACGTCAGCAGGTCGTTGGCATCGATGAACTGGCTCAAAAATACACCCGAGCTCACGAAACAAATGGTAAGCGTGCCGGAAGTGACCGACCTATTGCATGACTGCGTGTATTTTCACTGCATCGACGTACTTTCGCCCGACGTGAATTCGCCAGTAATGTACGTCTATGCGTGCGCTGCTGGCACAGCACGTTTGTACCATTACGCATGCACACGCGTTTTTATATGCGAATTCGGGCTTCGAAGTATTTCGCAGAAGCACACTGCGGTGTACGGATCCAGTTCTGGGGGAAAAAAATGCCAAACAAATAAATTGGTGCTAACCGGAACCAGCATCCATTACGGACCGATGCGAAATATTGGTATTATCCGGATTGCTCGGTATGATATATCTTTTTTTTTCTACATTTTTACTTTACTTCCATAGTGAATATTCTTCGGATGATGCCATTCGGTAGGTAATAACAATTCATGCGTGCATGAACGAGAAAAAAGTGATTTATTCACGAAGAACGTCAATGTTTTGTCCGCGACAAACGATTTTAAATCAACAGCTCTATTTTGTCAAAGAATTACGTATTATCTAAAAACGGATTGATGAGAACAGAAAAAAGAGGGAGAAAGAGAAAAGAAAGAAGTTGAAGATTTTAATAAAAATATTAACTTATCGTTGCTTTAACTATCGTACGAGTGCGAATTTTTTTATCACGTGTCTTCCTTCGTGCAAACTAGTAATAATCGAATTTACGGCTCGGAAGTATTGACTTGTATTTCCAATTTCTCACGTACGCGTACTTGTACATGTACGTCGACAATGCAGTAAGTTATATTCCCGTCCATACATAAATCCATTTGCAAGCATTTGGTAACAGAGACAACGTCACTGCATTGTTTATACGCTTACTCTCGGCTATTAATCGAAAACATATCAAAGGTAACTATCATCGTTATGTTGAGGTAAGCAGTTTCCATTGTGTCTCCATTCATGAATATATCAAAGATGTCGCAAACTCGACAACTAATATGTAACTTCGTTATGCTCTATCGAAATAACCCGCAATAACACATTCAAGTCTCTTTAGACTATATAAAAATATTTATATAGCAAGCGTTGTGAAATTTATAATCGGTATTATTTTGACATTGTACGCGTATAATTTAGATGTGTAGATTAAATAATTCTCAATAGACATTAAATTCAAATGTATAGGATATTGAAACGCAGTGCGGTTTACATTTATTTAGGTATTATTAATTAACACAAATAAACAGATCATTTAAATTAAAATGGAATAAAACATTATTATTTTATATGTTATATTTATTTATATGTTCGGTAGTTATCATGCGAAAATATCATGAAAATATTTTACCGTAGCAAATAAGAAGAGAGTTTGTATTTCTGAAATATGAATTATTCGTGTTGAAGTCTTTATACGCGTACCTGCATTTTAACTTATTAAACACATGTCATATATGATTTACATATTTTACAATAATAACTCATTAATCACTCGTTACTTTGGGTCGGCTGGTCATTTCTTATTCACACGTACTTGCTTTGCCGGATTTCTCTCCGTGTTTCACGCATGTATTTTCGCACCTTCGAAGCGCTGAAGTGTACCCAGATAGGCTAAAGCCGCAAAAACCTCCTATATTTGCCGAGGTGCATTAATCTTGCCGCTTTTACACTGAGTTTTAGCTTTTAGCACTCGACTTGGCGTGCTCAAGCGGTATAAGATTTGCGAAAGTTCACAAGTATGTACCCTAAACATGTAAAGCTTGTAAAAATTATAACACGTATAATGTCCTGCAAATTAGTATTTCAAGAAGGGACAAGTAGGATATCATCTTTCAATGAAAATAATATTGAGTAAAATCGAGAAAATAGTCGTCGAATGGCGAGGAATTTTTAGACCAACTTATTCCCTTGTGATAAAATCGTTAATCTTACAGCGATGATAACGATGATTCAAAATCTTAAGCTAATTAATTAACCGGCATTAATCGGAAACACATGTACGCGTTGGTAATTCCAGCAGCTCGCCGATTTATTTACGGCGTTATTCTCGAAACTGCAGAAAAACAACGAACGCGATTATTCGTTAATAGGATATGGTCACATCGGAAGCTGCCAATTTCCTGTCGCACAGGATTTAAGCGCGTGCGCGGGATATAACCGCGACTATGTTCTTGGTATATCTTTTTGCGGTGCGCCATTTATTTCGGATTTAACATGAAAGGAACGTCGATAACCGATACTCCGAGTGCAACGGTGCCTCAAAGAGTATCGTAACCATGAGACGAGAGAGCGTTGATATTCACGAACGGATGGATTTCGCGCTACGCGAGAGGTAGATAGACCGACGGAACTTACCGCGAGAACTTTTATAATTTCTGCGTCGAGTTTCTTCCTCTCTCTCTCTCTCTCTCTCTCTCTCTCTCTCTCTCTCTCTCTCTCTCTCTCTCTCTCTCTCTCTCTCTTTTTCCTGTCTCTTCATTTGACACGACAGACATCTTTCTAATGCCTGATAATATTCCACGGAATTTCCTCAAGCGGAATACGGCTCGTCGAGATACTAAAAGGTTTGCCTCGCGGATCGGAATGACGTTCGAGCAACGGCTTGCATATCATCAGCATATAGCACACAGTACGCACATAGCACGTTTCTTAATAGTTACGTAAACTTCGGTAAGACTAGCGTTCTTTAATAGTATCTAGTCTGTGCGGCGAGTAAGTTTCGGAAAATTGTCACGATTCGCCACCGGGACATCTCTTCATTCTTTTTCATTTTTCTTTTTCTTCTTCTACTTTTTCTTCTTTTTCTTCTTCTTCTTCTTCTTCTTCTACTTCTTCTTCTTCTTCTTCTTCTTCTTCTTCTCTTTTTTCGTCTTCCACTTTTTCTTTTCTGTCTTCGCGACATCCTCAATTATTCCGACAACCCGACTAAACTTTTCTACGCGCCGTCGTGCGCATTTCCAATTTTCTTTGCCGTCGCGGAAAAAGAGAAACTTTACAATACCACATAGAAGCGAACGTTGGAATAATTCGCAGGAAGCCGTCATTGTGTAAATTTATAAGTTTCTGTGATACACGAGGCAACGTGTGTGTCGTTATGCTTTCTGTTCCGACACTATAATCTCTTTTCGCATTAAAACTTAACGTTGATTCTTACATATAACACTCGCTGAGGTACTTTACGCAAGGCAATGCTGAGATAAGGAGAGAAAATTTGAAGGCCTTTGTGAGAGAATTCAATGTCACGATGTTAATTCAATCGCATGTTACGTTTAATCACGATTTCAAGTTAATAAAATTTCATTAATAGTAAATATACACCGCTAACGTTGATGGAGTTAGTTTGTCGTCATATAATTCGCTCAAAATATTTATCGCAACTCTTCGTCAAAAGATACTACGATGTACCGTCTCATCGAGACGTGATGTGTACTTTGCATCTAAATTAACGTCGTTAGTGTTTACTCGAGACACAATGCTCCGTATTTATCAGATATCGCTGTAATCGGAATTGGAAAACCGATTTTTCGGCTTTGTTGGAAAAAAATCCAGATTTCGTCTGTCGATAATGAGGAGGAGTCGCGGTCTTCGAAGGTTTAAGCGTCGATTAATTCATCATTGGCGCGTATAATAGGAAAGTCCAATTTCAGTCGTGACACGCGAGTAATAAAGCTTTATGCCCCGGGCGGATCTATTCATGGGTGGCACGTACGCGCAAGTTTACGTACGTGTTTCTCGTGTGACGCCGGTCGTGCATTCGAGATGGTCGCCGCAAACGGGAAACGCGAATGACGCTTCGGAGAGGAGCAAAGGAGAGGAGATGCCCGGGAGAAGTTGAAGCTTCCCGACCTTGTAGCTATTTGCTAAATACGCTGTTCAATTATTCATGTGTCAACGTTGCTTTCCTTCCGTGGGTCTCCATACGTCTGCGGCTTATCGCGGGTCGACTACCAATCCGTGCGGGGCAATGAGGAAGCATTGCTCGCTCCTCGCCGGAATGGTCACAAATTTTTATCTCCTGGATTCCAGCTAGCAGTGCGAGCTCGTGGCCGGGGAGTGTGGCGTACAGTGCGCAATAGATCGAAACGTTAAAATCAATAAACATGGAATATAAAATAAAGGCATGATTTACAATTAAAGATCATAATAAATATACTGTAGAAGAATCAAGTTGAAAAAATTTTTTTTTATTGGTTATGATTATTTCTATTGATATTTCCTTTGTTTTCATTATTCAAATTGATAATTGATAATTTCGAAATTCCAGAATTGCTAATAAAACGTTACTTGTGTTAATCTTTTCTGAGAAATAAAACGTTCAGCTAACTCTACACAATAACACTACATTTCAGTTTCATTATGCTTTTACTGTTAACTACATTTCTTAATTCTACCCATCTGAATACAGTCAGTTTTATCAATTATGCTGTTTAAATAAGTCTCAATTAGAAGCGGTACAAATAAATGCTCCGTAAGTTGCCACAAAAATATAAAGAAATATATCTGGGAATATTCATCTTTAAGCATTTATTTATGACGAATATTTCAAGCAAACGTATCATAGAATAGAATTTGTTATGATTTTGAATTGAAAATTATGACTCTATTTTTTTTAGTCCATAGCCACTGATTTTAACGTTCCTCTACTGTGCAGCGTGATATGTTTAAACACTTTCATGGGCGGGCGAAGTGTTTTAAACCGTAAAAGAGAGAGGGAGGAAAGGGAGAAAGTTCTTTCTTGTGCTATTGTGTGTAAAAGCTCTGTTTCGTTCCGCGCTTGTTTCAAGTACATAGAATATAGTACTGTTGATGTACTGTACACTGTGTATATGTACGATTCATGGAATAATCGGTGCGATAAATTCTCAATAGCTGAAAAATAATGAAATTTCCGAGATTTGTAAAAATTACGAAAGAAACACAGAAAATGACTGATAAGTTTTTTAAGTTACTTTACTAAATAGCTCTAACAGTAACGATAACAGACGGTAAAATATCTTAAAAAATTTTCGAGGAAGAATTAATATGCCTTTAATATTTTAGGGTTTTTACTAGTAAAAGTTGTAATAAAATTTGGTTGTTTAACCTATTAGTCTGTATGCTAAGTTAATACGTAAATATTTTCCTTGCATAAAATAACACTGCATTTGGATGCATGTTTTCGTTAATTTTTAGTTTTCGTAATTATAGTATGGGTAGACAATGGCATTCATTTTCACAATTGACTTAACGTAAAAATGTAGAAAATAAAGGCAATTAATTTTGACATTTATTAAATATATTCTGTATTATTTTGAATTTTAAAAATAAGCTAATGTAAATCAACTATACTGATACCATATAATGATCAAATTTACCTTATTCTGTATTTGTGGATAAATAATATAATAATAATAATAATAATATAATAATAATAATATTAAAAACATTCATGAGTCAAATAAAAAAAATCTTATAAATATTATATTACGGACATTTTACAATAAATAATTCGACCTTGCAAAATTCATATAATATTTCACCAATGGCAATGTTTTCGCGTAGTATATTAGTTAAAATTAAACCTTTTCATAAAATTACAAAAGATTCTCTACCTTACGTTTTAACAGAAAAGAATTTAATTACTAGTTATAATTAGCTCAACAAAAGAAATTTCAGTCGTGGAATAGAACATAATGCAAATCATTTGTTTTCGTTTTAAAAAGTACAAAAAATATTTTCGTAAACATGCGCAAAGTAAAATTTAATTATTCAATTGTAGCAACGTTTAGTTTCTTAAAACGTTATACCTTCACGCGAAATAATAAATGATAGTCGGGAAAAGTTGCTGTATTATTATCGATTTGTATTATTTCTCCGTTTAATAACGACTTCATAAGAGAAACGTATTCGTAGAACGTACGTACGGCATTAATATATTTGTAGAGTGATAAACCATCGTTCCACGGCTCCTCCTTTTCGCAGGACAGATTCGCTGGTCTTAAATCGTAACTGCGATCCAAAGCTGCTAAGCCGTGCACGAAAACTTGCACGCTATCGTACACTAAGGCTGGTTCTGCCTGAAACATACGTTTCCTTTTGATGAGAGTTGTGCTCCGTGTCTTCGCATGGAAAAATCTAAAAGATCGAAAATATTACATCGACAAAGTTTTTGCTATCGTTGGTGTAAACGAGTGTTGAGTCGAATCGTGATTAAATTTTAACGAGACCCGTTTCCAACCCTGTTCCTAACTCAGCAATGGTTCAAGCGATTATTATTCATTCCTGTTACCGGTTGCGTTGAAAGTTTCTCCTCTCATTTCAAAGTCAAAGTGTGTTCTACAAAGTAGAATATTGCAGGCATTTATCGTAAATTCGATACTATTTGAAACCGATTACACATTGATATTTGTCTGCCGTGAAATATAAAATAATAATAAATTAGTCACCACAACATACATAATGTATGTTGAAAGAAATTGAAATATAATGCATTTTATATCAATATTCAAGAGAACTTCGATCAATTAAAAGAGTCGAGTTTGCTATTTCAGCAAACGGCGACCATCTTCCAAGTCCTTGAGAGAGAGAAAGCCTTGGTACGGTCAATTGATCCGAGTTAATGACATTGCGGCGCTGGCCGCAGGCGAAACTCACTTAATTACTGAAAGGCTGACAAAGCTCGAACTGGACACAGACTGTGCTGACCGGTTCGGTTCACCCAAATTTTCAGTCCTCTCTGCTTTTAGTCTTTCATCTATATCTCCTCGTAGCTCTGGCTTTTACCATGATTTGAACCAATGCATAAAATGAATTATTATTGTGGATTTTTACAGAACTACAGAATATTGTGACAATATTATGAAAAACATATTATGAAAACGAAGAAAAATATTTGTTGTCTTGTATACCATGTACAAAATTTCAATAGCAATTTTTCCAACCGATTTGTTTAATTCTTACTTTATAAAATATGTTATACAAGTACAGATATAAATATAAAACATATAATATAAATATATATTATATAAATTTATTATAAATATAAATTTATTTTTTCTTTATAAAAATTACACGCATAGTAAAATTTTCAACAAAACACAGCTTATCTTGAAATTCGGAAGAAAATAATTTGCAGATTAATCCATATTTTTGTAGTATTTTAAAAAATTTATATGAATATCAGGTATTAAAAAATTTATATAAATATCAGGTATTACAGTTTTTCCACATTATTGTCCACATTATCGGATTATTGTCGGTTTTACTGTACATATATTTGGCATACATAAGCATTTGCTTTTTTGTGATTAAAATTGGGAGACTAACGCTCGATATCGTTCACGAAATTACCGGAATAAATTTGATCCTTAAAATCTCATGAAAATTTTTTTTTGGTAGTGCCACATCGCGCTCTCGGGATAACAACAAAGCATAAACTTTGTTTCACGTTGAACATTACTTGAAGTTTTCTCCTACCTGAATGATTCCTGTTTTGTTCAGGATGGCATGCCCAATCGTTGGTTGGAAGCGTTCCATCTGCTTGAGTACTTCGGCAACCTTGGGTTCTTCAAGATCCACCAAGCGAAAGGCTGTCATATTCACACTGTTATATTTGAAATCTTCCAGATCGAACGTTTCTATGTCCTGCGAAAACAAGCGTTATTAAAGTTTAAAAAAGTTCATTTTAAAAGCTATTTGCAACCACTTATAGCTTTTATTCATTCTCATACATAATAGTTGCCATTAATTTGAATGTCTGATAAATTTTTCATAATGTCAAACTTCAATGTCGCAAATAATAAAGCACATCAATTATTAAGAGCTTCAAGCACACGAGAGGGATGAGAAACAACTTCTTCCTCCCCGAAATTAGATTTTAACCTCAGCAAAAGTAGATATGGCTATCGATTTATTCCGTAGCTCCAAATGAAAAGAAATCGAGCAGCCTCGGTCGCGACGATACCTCAGAAAACGCTCGACTAGAGTAAATATCTTTTCGCTCGCGGCATGATTACGAGGAGGCGACTAAATTAAAGAAAAATGAGGCGTTCCCAGCGATTCTGGCATCGTCGTAATTGCGATCGTTATAGCGTAACCAATCCCAGCCAGACCTCCCGCTCCATCTCTCCACCTTCTGTGGCTCTCTCGCTAGAAACCCGAGAGAATATGATTTATAATTATACGGTGATGCATCGCTCAACGCAGATCGTTAAAGTAAATAACGCTTTTCCACAGGGTCATTCACCGACAACTGCGCAGCTGCATAGTAAAGTCGGCCGCCCAGATAAAACTCCCTTTCCGTTCATGAGCGGTTTCTCTTCTTCCGCCTCTTTCGCGCAACTACTTACACCCCTTTCCCTTTAAACTCCGTCACTCTGCTCATCCTGCCTGTCCTCCTGCCAGCCTGCCTGCCTGCCTACCTATTTCTTGAATCGCTGCATCGTTACTGCCCTGGGAGAAAGTTATGTAACATCCTCTAAAAGTGATTTATTCAGAAACGTACGGATATACTCCTCACAAATGAAACGCCGAAAGTATCTAATGGAGATTTGCATCGCGGGAATGCATTAAATCCTTTCACGAAATCTCGCGCCGGAAATCTTACGGGATTAACGTTCTCTAAACGTGCTCTAAAATGCGATAAAGCTTACGATTTGTCTCTTCGTGACAATGTGACAGATTCAAATTTTGTATCGCGTGCGTGGGTGTAGAATCTGATGTATCTGATGAACCGTAGTTATATTCTGCCATCTTAATAGTATGTTTCCATGTTTCATTATTCCATTATTCTGAAGCATTAATTACCTTTAATTGATAGCTACGTCCAACTAGAACACGAGTTGCTTCTCGCTCTTTCGAATACGAGCTCAAACTCGTTTCGTGGGTCACACCGTCACACCTGTACGGACAATTATTAGCCAGAGCTACAACACTACGACGAATTCATGAGATAACTTCATCTAGCCGACAATAATTAATTCAATATCGGCATTCGAGATATATCACTCGTTATACGCGGTTAGTTAGGTTCCCGATAATATAAAGCACCGCTAATCGGCAACCGATTGCGAGTTGAACACTCCATATGTGACCCCACAGCTCCCGGCTCCCGTTCTATAGATACCGTCTCTGTATATCTCCCGCACAATTGTCTAGCGGTACATAGTACAGTCAATATTTGAACGACGACAAACACGTACGATATGAATTTCCGTGCAACAATTATTTCGTTGCCCTCGCGCGCACGTCCAACCCAAGCTGTCTAAATGCTGAAATACGGTAACAGTCGCGCCGATTACACGGCCGCACACGAAGACGTTGCAGCGCGCAATGCCGAACGCGAATGTACCGATGTTTACACGTTTCGTATATTTGATCTTTCCACGTCGGATTACGCGATCAGTCGTGCTCATTAAACCCGCTGAAGTACCCACCCACTAGTGGTATCGGCGTGAGAGCGCTTCTTTTTATGAGATTCAGGATCGATCGGCGGGAGTTTCAATCTGAACCGACATGTTACAAGCGTCATGCCAAGGTGCAACTGTCGTCACGAGTCGCGGGATTAATACTCGTCGTCAATTAATCTGAATATATTGGTGGGGCGGAGCGCGACGTTGCACGAGCGGCTCGGTCCCGCGTACGAGACATCGTTACGCCGCAAAATTCGAGGGATACATATGCGTTAGGCATGTCGCGCGTTTATGCACGGTGCGTTTATACGCATGTATGCGTAAATATCGGCGTAAGGGGGAGCGCACACGGCAAAATAGTGAGCTAAACGCGTTCGTATATCTCTTTCTCTCTCTCTCCCCTCCCTCTCTCTCACTCTCTCCTTCACTCTCACTCTCACTCTCTCTCTCTCTCTCTCTCTCTCTGTCTCTCTCCTCCCCCCCCCCTCTCTCTCTCTCTCTCTCTCTGTCTTTCATGATCGTACCTTTCGTACACGCGCGCATCCGTTTACGCGAGCTCACGTTTGCATGTCATAACTTTGGCTATACTAGCCGCGGGGTTCGCGCACATCGTGCTCCATTTAGGATAGAAGTCTCGGATGGAACGAGAGATTGGAATTCGGGCCGTGTCGTGTCGTGCCATTGCTGTGGCTCGGAAGGCGACGGCGACGATGATATATCAAAGGAGGCGCAGGCCGAATGAGAGGAACGAACTTTCGAGAGCCATATTAGAGAAATTTCTAATATACTGACAGTCTTAGAATAGATAGAAAGGGGAGTCCTGCCGTTACTCGCTCCCCCAGAATTAATGCAACGTAATGTACATAATAAGCCGCACGGTGTATAAAGAGGGACCGGCCGAAGTGTGCGGTACGTCGCTTATGAGCATGATGAATGATACATGTATGACGTGTAGAGGAATCTCACCTACGAGAGCCTCATTCAAGCGAAAGAGGCGTCTCTTTTACTTCTTGAGCGAGATTACAAATGAAATTACGCGAGTAATACCGAATGGGACAAATCCGTCAATATTTAGTAACGAATTGTCAATATTTATTCCTATAAATCATTTATGATTAGCCGAGCTATTAATACTCCGTTACAACACGCGCTTAATTAGATAAATACTATTATATCTCTCTCTATGATGAAATAATGTCCGCGGCTCACGAGTAGACTGTCATAATATATTAATTTAATGCTTATGGTGATACAACCGATGGGATTGAATACCGAATCACAGAATAACTCGACTTATGATTGATGTAACACATTGAAATGCTAATAGAAGATTTTAGTAAGAATATATTGGTAAGAAATAGCAATCCTTTATATCAGCTATTGTTGCAGAATTCGGTATGGAAATCCTGTGAACTTTAGAACTTCCCGGTTTTAGGATAGACTACTCTTGACACAAAAATATAAAGTTGCGCATTTAACAAAGAAAAACTGCGTGTATATCTCAGTCTCTCTATGTTTCTTTTTATTTTTTGATAGAAAAGATTTGGATATACTTCTTTCTTGTTAGATATATTTGATTATCAGATAGATACAAGAACAGCGTACTTACGAAGGTGGTAAACATGTAATGATATCTGTAGTCGTTCATTTGTAACTGCAATATCTGTAACACAGGAGAAGAGGAAATTACATTAGAGGATATTATAACTAATATATTATTTTTTGAAAGTATATCTTAATGTTCTCTTTCATAACAAATCTTTCTCAATGAACATCATAAATTAAAACGTAATTAGCGCTGAAAGGAAGGAGAAATGCTATATCTCACGCTCATATCATATAATATATATAATGACATTCCATTATTATAGATATTATAAATAAACATTCAACTAACTAATTAAATTCGCCGAGGTAATAATAAAAGAAGTCTATATAAACTAGTTTTTGTCGAGATATTAGATCTTTTTTGTTTTGCAAAGTTTTCATACAATTGCATATTTGCATATATTGCTGCAGGTACTGATATTTCGAAGAGAATATTAGCAGTTTCAAAATTCAAACGTTCGTCAAAGATATCAGCTAAAGTACGTTTAAAATAAATATCGTATCAGAAGTATGAAAGACAAAGAGAAAAAGAGAGAGAGAGAGAGAGAGAAATAGAGAGGGAGAGAGAAAGAGAGAGAGGGTCTCACGTTTTCAATGGGTTAAGCTCCTAAAAACGAAGATACCGATGATTATATCGACTCGCCATTATCAAAATAGAGCCTGCGACATCCACTAAGTGCCAGATCCAGATAACACGTGCGTAAGAGCAAGTCCGACCTCTATTCTCGCGCTATATTAGATAATACGGTCGTTGACCTCGTGAACACACGAGTGATATATATGCATCGGTGTTTGTCAATACCGACATCGTGAATATACTGAAATATCGAATGGCTAGACGAATCGTAGAGATATAAAATAAAACCAATTTTCTCGAAGCAAGATTTCGTGCTTGCTAATATCCTAGACTTTTCGAGATATCAGATCTTTTCCACGATATATATAATTATACAAAAGACTTAAAAAATAAAAATAATTAATCACTCGTATTTTGAATATCGCGGATTAAGTCTCTCTTGTTTGTTCGTCTATTTGTTTTTTTCACTATATTCAGTTATAAACAAATCTTTCTCTATTTAAAAAAAATATTTTTGTGCAGTAACGGATATATCATTAATTGATGTGTTTTTCGTTATGGGTAATTTCTGATTCCATTTTCGATAGGTATACGCATAGATATTTTGTACTTATTTCATCAATTCGTTTATTCTATCTCCACATATTTCACGATATGGATATGGACAAGACAAACAGTACACTCCATATTGTTATTCTGTTGCCAAGAATATTGATATTGCACTTTCTTCACGCTTCTATATAATTCGTCGCTTTTCATTTCCTACGGTTATACGTAGGAATGTAGATCTATCGAGCTGCATTTTCGGGATGGCAGCGGGTCAGATAAAAGCGATCCCTCGTGGATCCCGTACAGAAACCACTTCGAAGAAAGGAAAGGCGAGACGGATGCCGGACGTGCTAGGTTAAAAGGATGTAGGAGAGCGGTTGCATAAAAGCATGGACGTTTTTTGATTACTTGACCGGTCGAGGGTTATCCTTGGAAATTCTCGGGGGGCACAACATGCAAATAACAGGTTTCCTTCCAACCGCGTCTAAGGCAAAATTGCTTCCCGGAGTATCGCCAACAAGGCGGGAAATAGATGGAAGCTAATCCTTGCCTGTGATATATTTATCGCGACGGTTCTTCGATTGCAAACGCTGCTTGTTGCGATCTTTAAAACTAATTAATTCTCGGCAGTGAATAATTGTTTTGTCACTTGTCATCGTGATTATTACCACTGAGTTTGTGAATGTTTTTACATCTTTTTGCTCTTTTTTCTAACGAAGCGCATCTTTCGCCACACTATTTAATAACACATGTTAGCTTACGCAACGGTAAACGTTTTGTAATTGTTTTTGACATATCATACAACGACCTTTTATAATAACGGCGCTTGTGTGTGCCAAACCGCATGTAATTGCATTACATAAATTATGCCGGATTAACGTGTCGTAATTTTACTTCGTTTATTTACGTTGTGCATTTTGTTGTAAAGTAGACACTGAGATATTTACGTGCTATTGTCCAGTATTCGCGTTTAAATTACGATGGGACGCGACCTTTGTCACAATACCGATATATATCACATACTATTTCTGGCTTATAACGAGGACATTTCATCTTTTTTTTTGCCGGCATCATCGGCGAAACTAGGAAAGAGAAAGGAATTGCACCGATGATGCGTGTTCCGTTGGTGAATAATCGAAGCGTGCATTTCCGGCGCGTTGACCACGCGCCCGATTATGCAAATTTTTCTATTCACCGCGGCACACGCACATTCGCGAAAGGGACGAGAATTGTGAAAAACATCGGTCGTTCTCATCATTTCGGACAAGCGTGAAAAGAGCGCGCACGATTTGCATGAGCTATTTTCAACATTTGTTTCGTTACCGCTGACAATTCGCGTGATTTAATTTCACGATCTGGTGATTTGCGTCGCCCGTGTGCCCGCTCGCCGCAAAACGGATAGCTAAATATTCCGAAGCTGCCGAACCCGTCGCGAATACATCTGTACAGCCATATACGAACACAAAGATTCACAATTCAGAATTATTATGGCGTCGATTGTAATACACATAGATTGTGCCTAACGTATTACGGGATATTAATGAGAATGGGAAATCTACGGAGTGTGCAAATTAAAAACGAACATTTGCCTTCACGATCATTAATCAGGACATCATTCATCCATTATTTTCTTCTCATATGTGTAATAATTATTAATTGAAATTCATTGAATATTTTGATGGTATTACCACTGGCCTGTCCTTACCGTTACTGTTTAACGCGGCATTGTACGACATTGCTCCGTGTCGTTATACGTAGCTATCGCACAAAGAATCCTCAAAAGCTCGACTGTCTCTAATAACGAGTATCTTAACGAGTAGTTCAATTACAACAATGGACGTGAACGGAACTCGAATGTGCTTTGCTTTGTGAGCGCCAAGCACACTGCAAAAGGGCTTTACGATCCGACGAACGATTCTTTTTGGGACCAAGTCTTTGGCCGTTACACTCTCCTTCTTTCCCCGACTACTTTTTTAAACTGAGAGATAGTCCCGCACGGGCAAAACAAGCGTCGCCGGGAAAAACTGCAACGCAGTCGCCATTAATCCTAATTGTACGAGCCCTTTTAATCTCCGCGCGTCGAGTCTCGCACATGATTCTGGAGAAGTTATTTACGAGTCGTGGCGCATCCCGAACGCGTGCAGATCTCCGTGCCGCTCATTCTGTGACTCTCCTCTTCTCCCATCTCTCTCATTCTCTCCCCCCCCCTCTCTCTCTCTCTCTCTCTCTCTCTCTCTCTCTCTCTCTCTCTCTCTCTCTCCCCCTCTCCCTCTCCCTCTCTCTCTCTTTCGTTTCCTTTTTCATTTTACATCTGGTAAACAACTTGTTGTTCCCATTGTTCCGTCCGTACGATCGTTCGAGCTGCTTTTCCTGCGCGTATCGCTTTCGACGCGACCTAACAGATACTTGGATGGGTATTAAGATTAAGTGTCTCGCGAGAGACAGCGACCACTCGCGATCCATAGGTACGCTGAACGCAACGTATCTCTCGCGCTGCATTCGCTGCATCGATCGGCAGTTCTCCTCGCGCTCTTCTACGCCGACTATATTCCGCAGAAAACGCTCAGTTCGTCAGTTCGTGAAAAAAGCATGGAAGGATTTCCCGTGCAGAGAAGTTTGTAATGTTTCACCTTTATAAGGCAAGCTTCAACTTTGTTCCGTCCACACGTGCATTACTTTTGTTCGGTTTAAATTACACATTCGTACAGTTCATTCTTCGTATTTAAAAAATAAAAGGAAAAAGAAATATATATATCCTCTGCATTTAACATATAATAAATACATATGCAGGCTTTCAGGAAAGATACGTGAAAAAGTACACAAAAATTGCAAATGGAATAGACGTATATTGATAAACCGACAAAGTAAAGTCTGCAGAAGATATTTTTAGCTGGAATTTTGGTTTTGGTCGAAACGAAGAATAATTATACATTAAAGTAACGGCACATTTGGTACATTTCAATAATACGTTTACACGACCTATTATCTTCTTCGTGATATTTTGTACAATATCGAGAAAAAGAATTACACGTACGATATTTAGCTGGATAAAATAGTCAGGTTTATCACGCGGGTGATTAAGCGGTGTGGAGAAAAATAGAAAAAAGTCATACACCGCTAGCGTCTGGTTTTCGCGTTGTGGTATTTTTCGCGTGATGGAAAGGGAACGGCCAGTTGTGTACGAAATAAAAATATAGAGATGACGAAAACTTGTAGCGCGCGTAAAAAGAGACAATGTCGCGGTAAACGTTTGAACGCAATGAACGACGACGGTAATTATCGAAGCGTCTTTCGGAACTCACCGCTCGAAAGAACTGCTGCATGTGCGCCGGATCCGTGTCAACAATCAGCTTGAAAATCTCTTTGTGCCTGACCTCCCGCAGGACCTGCCTGTAGGATCTAGGACCTGCCTGACGAATGTACATTTCAGTTCTCACGGATGGCGGGGATTTCACGAGATCCTGCAGTTTGAACAGACCTGCGAAAAACATAAGAGAGATATTTTTTCGCGGCAAATTGGCTCTCTTCATGCTGGACTTCGTAATCTTTTCATGCATGTTTTTCTTTAATCTTTTCCCCTATAAAACATCCAACGTCACATCGACTAGATTCTTAAGCCGTGGAATATAAATGTTGTCGTCCGGCAGAGTCAATCCTCAGGATGCATCAGTTGCGATTTCGCGGCTTATCGCATTATTGTTCCTATTCATCTTGTTTTTTAAACAAATCGCGTTTAAAAATGTCATTTGACACGCCGCGATCTACGTGAATTTATTTCATTTTCATAACATCGTCGAGTTCTTTTCTTTGAGAGGAATCTCATATTTGAATTTCAAGCGGATGTAGATATATGATAATCGAAACTTTTTATTTTCATCCTTTGTTCCATTCTTTGGTTGTTTTAGCGATATAATGAGAATAATGGGTTATTATTCACAATTGTACGTATTATAAATATTATACGGGCATATTGTTACCGGGAAATAAATGGAACGATACAAGAGACAATGGTATAAATAATAATCGAAACGGCGGGCTTCTCGCGAGGTATGATGATAAATGATATAATCGATTACCCGTAGAATCGAACCCCTCTGTGGTAACATACGTTGCAAATTGAGCAATATTCCAGCACGTTCTTGCGGAAATGAGTATCATAGTTTATTTCTACGTATGGATATTCGCGTAATCCGTATAATCCACGTATTCCCGTAAGGATAATAAATATATTTCCATGCAATGGCAACGAGCAAGCTGTAAAACAAGTTTGTTGCTCGCCGACGTTAGCGGTGGAACGGTGTAGAAAGAAAAGGTCGTTAATTTGATTTGCGAAGAATTTTGCATTAAGCAGAATCATCAGGACTATCAGGACTGATAAATTGTAATCAACTTTTCCTAACTAGTTTTACGCCATTAACGCGAGGATGACAAAGAACGCTAAGAGTACACTGCAGGTTGTCACAATTTACCTTCACTCGATTGTTCAAGCGTTACTCAAGTTGCAGTGGCGAACAAAGGTTCCCATCGCGTACACGGAATTCGTTACTGCAGTTACGTTCGTCCCGTTTATCTCTTTGGATTTGCCAACGTCGTTCTAACATTTACAAGACTGTATTTTCTTCTAATTCCAAAAGTCAATCATTAACACAGATTGAATATTTTAACGCTATCGTTACTAAAGATCTCTCTATTCAAAACAGCGAAACAAGAAATTTAATATTTTCAACCTAACGCGTATTAAACACAATCATGTTCCGAGCTTAACGGATTTGTTTTGACTTCTCTCAGTGTACAAATCTCGCAAAGCTAAGGGAGACTACCTCTGTGATCTTACTTTTCCGTATTCCTGAAAGAGATTTCTCGGTCGTCCGGATAGGTGCTGCCAACTTTGAGTTTGCTAATTACTCCGCCGTAACGATCGTGACGAATAGAGCGGCGGCAAGAAGAGGATCGATAAACAGCTAAAGGACGAAAGGAAAACGGAAGATAAATCTCTCGGCGCGTTAACGAGCGTAGCCTGCAGGAGAGCTGGCACTCCGCACAAAACGTAAAATTGAAAAATAGTAAACTCCACTTCCGGAACAAATCGAGCAATTACAGCTCACTCGCACACTTTTTCCCCGAATATACACGGAATGTCCCGGGAAAGTTCTGATCTGAATTTCAATGACAACTTCTGCGACTAAATTCGACTTCACGAAGGCTTAGTACGAAGAAGTCAGAATAACTCGGATAATAAAGGATTATAATTAAGGTCGAAGGGTATTTTGTGTAATAGCTCCGAATGCAGCGCACCCGACGGAGAAACGTAAAAGAGAAAGTACGATGATTGCGGAAAGTGTAGAATAATCTGTTTTACAAAATTAGTTCTGTAGATAGTAGGTACACAGAGTTATATCTTGGAATTTACGGCGCACGATACAGAAAGTATACGTACACACAAACACACAAGTTTAGGAAATATTTAGGAAAATGTACGTCGGTTTCGTTTCCTTGTTTTACTCAGTTTTCTGGCGACGGTTTAATTTAAATGCAAAACTTTTTAACTCACAAAATTATTAAATCTACAAATTATCATTTAAAAATCGCTCAGGGAAAGATCAATAATCACGAAAGAAGTTCCACCAACCATCTGAGAAATTTATAATACTTATAAATAATTTATGTAGAAATTTCCATTAGACTGCGTCACGTTTGAATGAGTAACTCGTTCGAGTGAGTGAGTGAACTTATTATTGTAAGAGGAAGCAACATGTCTTTCTTATTCCGAAGTAAACTTGATAAATTAATTTAACAGACACGAAACTTTGATTGGGAAGCAACGGATGGAAACTCAAATAAGTACACAGCTGCGACTAGCCCATTGTTTATTCGAACGACAAAACGGCTCTCAGTTCACTTCTAGCGATATATATTTCCTAAAAAAGATTGAGTCATTCGAGGTGGCGGAAGTTAATTTTAGCAGTTCCGTGTACCGCGCGCTATTGTACAACGTGCTTTTGTGTCCCGAAAGCACGCACTTCTCGACGCGGCGCTTTCAAGCGTTCGTTATTATTTTACGGCGCCGAAAAACGAAACTTTTTACTCTCGATAAAGTTTTAACGAACTGCGAGATTAGTCGTTCCTCCAGTTATGAATAACTAAATGACAAAGCGAGCAAGGAGTAACAAGGAGCTCTCCGAATCTGCAAGGTGTACGAGAGATTCGTTCGAAGTCTCACGGCGATCTCTCGCTAGCCGGAGTTTACCGGTTAAACTTATTAAACAACCGTTATCACTCGCGCGGAATTTACAAATTGCTGCAGCAGTCGTAACTGCAAATCTCTCTCCTTTTCCCTTTCTCTTTTTCAATCGACGTCAACACGGCTTAATATTTAATGATGTTTAAACGAACGTATCTCCATACGTTGAAATTTTAACGAAACGCTGAAAGACGGATTTATTCGACTGATGAATATTTAGGCGGGAACGTAGCGGAGATGTTACATCTCGTCGAGCGTGCTGTTGCCCGGGCACTTTCGGAGCACACGCTTTTACGACGGAGGAATTTTGAAACGTATCGCCCCTCCCGCGCACATCGTGGATTTATGGCGAGCTATAGACATCGGGAGCCTGCAAAAAAGGCGCGCTCTTTCCGTTTCCTCTGGTTTTATCGCGAACGGCGACACGTCGGGTCTACTTCGAGCTCCTATTATACGCCACGTTATATCGTCCAATCAAGAGCGGCAATTTAGGGAAGATAAGGCTGGTGACTTCCTGCTTCTTCCCTCGCGGAAACTATGCAGAGAAGAAACCGTTTCGCAAATGTATATGCTAGAGTTTCTCGATACCGCTCGTTAAACCATGAGAGGCCAAGGCGGTAAACACAAAGTAACCATATTCTTGGGATCGCTCGGAATGTATTACGTGCGTGATACAGGACGCGCAATTGCGACGAAAATTTTGCTCGCGCTTCTGAAATCGTAAGGGATTATTTGCAATCGTAACAACGGTTGTTTTATTAATAACATCTATTGCAGTCGTCAGCAACGGTGAGCGCGACAAGCAGTATCGAATCAATGAACCCTCCGTGTCTGATTACTAGAATTGCCATTACCATTCTAATTTTCACGTTTTACCAAATCGATACTGTGAATAACTATATTCCTACGACGGACTTGACGACTGCTCGCTCTTCACACCGAGGGCACCGAATAAGGGGAGCGAATGCTTCTTTTTGAATGCATGTATGAATTAGCGCGAAGCTTCTAGACAGAAGATTCGCGCTAATTCATACATTCCCTTCGCCGGCGGCAGTAGCTAAAATGTACTAATGCGATTCGCAGAAAGAATGGAAATGGTCGGTGACTGGAACGTGGGTGTTATACGTCAACACCGTGTCGGAATTCCGATGAGTCGCGACTGGTACCAGCCAGTCACGGAATGGAAATGGCTCTGAGGAACACCGCCACGGTGGTGTATAATCACAACGACTAAGGTGCCGCAAAAAGAGACCGGAGAGAGATCAGGAGAGAGAGAGAGAGAGAGAGAGAGAGAGAGAGAAAGAGGGGGTGAGAGAGAGAGAGAGAGGGTGAGAGAGAAGGGTGGGAAGAAGGGAAGGAAGGCGAGAACGGAGCGCGCGTTTACACGGTCATATGTAAACGCGATTACTTCCGGATGTGTGTGACAGGCTGGCATTTTGGACGACAGCCTCCGGCGTCTGATCCCGATGTTCTATTTGCATGGGGACGTTTCAGCGAGGCCGCGGAGAAAACAAAAACGGAATCAAATAAAAGAACGAGAGCGAGCAAGACGAGAGGGAAAACACCGTATAATGATCGCGCCGACATAGCGCGCTGTTGCTAACGAGATCGCCTTTTCCGCAAATATCTACGGTACGGTTTCCGCGTTGTTGCTGTTACATGACGCCCGGTCGTTGCAGCGCAAAACTAGTTTCCGTGGTTGGAAAATCTTCCCAACTCGAAAGCCGTGTTGCTGCTGGCATTGTCCGTACGCTGTGTGTTTGCGGTCTATCGCACACGTTTCCGTTAAATTATTCTTACCGCGCGCCCGAAAAGACGCACAATGGTCTAACATTCACAACGACCGAATTGCTCGGAGTCGTTCGCCTCGTCGTGTACTCCGTACAGACTCGACGTTGCACTGAAGCAAAGCGTTCCTCTCCGGGGAACGTCGGAATCACGGTGAAAATTAGTCGCGATATTAAGTATTCTCGCAAAGCCTTACGTTCAAACACATGCGTGACCAAGTACGAATTTTCAGGAGGTTTTCACGGCAGCCTTTTAAATTCGGCTCACAGTCCTCCACTTACCGTGATCCTCTTCATAGATAATGGCTACTCTGGTCCAGTTTAGAAAGGATATAAGATCCTTGAATGCTTTGTTAAGGTGGTCTTGAGCGGGATATAGGTTAATGCTGAACTCCTTGAAAGTAGGCTCGAAGTCGACCCTCGTTTCGAGATGAGGTACGTCTAAAGCCTCGCATATACTTTGAATGTGAGCGCCTAGAAGTGGGTCGGACGGTCCGAAGATGCCTTGCACTGATCTGGATAGTTGCTTGCAAGCTGGAATTAAAATTCACTATCTTAAGAAACATGACATCAGCCAGTGAAAAGGATTCTTTAATATAAGTTTTTTTTTTTTTTTTTTAGTATAGTTGTTTTCAAATGTAACAGACATGTGTTACAATTTGAGTTCAACTGATCTGCTGATTTAACTTCGGTGTTTGCCGGGTCTGAGTGAGAGTTTACGTTAAGAATTTATGTTAAAGGCTAATTCTCAAGATTGTTTTCTGTTCTTATGATATATTAAGCGGATTAATTCGAGGAGATCTCCCGAGATTTTGCTTGACAGTATTTTATATATGAAAGCACGAATAAATAGAGGAATGCAACGAATATGTACGGTAATGGGATCGCAAGACGAGCGAGGAAGATGTCAATAGGGGCAGAGGGGCGTGCTAAAACGGAGATTGGAGGACGACTGGCTCTGACACACCGATTTCATATTTCTAGATGAAGCGCACTTGAAACTTCTGTATCAGCGAAAGCCGCGGTAAATCGATGACAGACAATTTTGCGAGGGGTCCTAACTACGGGATTCTCCCGTAACATTTGCATAATAGTTTGCCGTTTGAAAATAGCTTCGGAACGTTTCTGAAAATTTGAAAACTGTATGGAGTTGCATCGACCTGTCGAGCTATTTTTTATATCGAGGATATCGCTGGTACAATGAGTTCGGAATACGATATACTGCACATTGAATTACAAATCATATATATAAAATAAAAAGTGTGCAATAAATCAGAGGTAAAAAAAAATATTTTTTTCTCGATAAACCTCGACCTTCTACGGGTGATCTCTAATGTAAGCAAGTGGACATTCTCATTCCTCTCAATTACTCTCTTGGTTTTCCCGTTAATTATGATTGAATTGATTGCCGTTCTATTAATTTTGCATACTCGAATCCAATTATTGAATATAATAACCTACAAACTGTAGTTAAAATTGAGATTGGAACAACTAAGGGAATACAATGGACAATTTGTTCGCGATCGAGTAACGAGTGAAATTGATAATAACGCACGTTATTTTTCGTTTATTTATTACGAAAATTTGAATATGCGTGCCGCGCTGTAGAAACAGCCAGTGCAAAACCAGGATGCGAGGGAAGAGAGGATGAGGCAATATATTTCTGGAATATCCACACGTGCGCGGCGATCGAACAATTTCGTCGGGAGAAACAAGGCGAGTGAATGAGTTGTTCTCCATGTAACGCCGTCCTATAGTGAATAGATAAAGACAACTGCGTTCTCTCCGCGTTCCTTTAATATCTCAGCTTTCTTATCCATTATTTTTAGGGAGAGCGAACACGCTTTCGGGGAACACGCGTCGCTACTTCTCCTTCGTGTGGAAAATTATACCTGGTATGCAAAGGCGAGCATGGATAAGTTCGATTTTGGAATTATTACCGTGGCTTCTGAGGTTTCGCTGGCTGGGTTTTATAGCTATATCCTGAATTATTCACAAGTGTCTCTTTGTTTTCGCCGGCACGGTCTCTATAGCCCGCAAACCGCACTAAATTCCGCGCACGTTGTGTGCTGCGTTAACATTCGCGTCCTCGTAAAATTCTTCCAACGTCGCGTTTCCTCGTTTACAAAAGATATTATTTTAACAACATCTGCGACCGCAAATAATATTCCGTATTCCGTGTATTTTACAACAGCAATTGTTGAATTCAAGGGATGTCGGTAGCTTGCGCGTCATGATTATTAATTTATATGGCCAAGCAATAACGGGCAATAAATAATATAATAAGATACCTTTCGCGGCAGCAACGTTGGATTACGCGGATAACACAAACGAGGCGATTTTCTTTGATCGGAGGAATCGGGCCGATAATTCCGACAAAATCCGCTTCGGGGAAAGCAGATCGGCGATTTTGATTAAACGCACATTATTCCCTTTTACGTAAGAAAGATACCATGTATAACATTAACGTCGTTTAGCGACACGTTGTTAACGGACGCTTCACTCATACACTGCTCCACTAATACATTTCTACTACATTTGTTACGTGCCACCCGGAAAAACACACAAATGTCGTGAATTTCGCGGAATTTGTGGAGCTCGGATATAAGGCGCTTTCCCTGCGCCACCCATCCCTGCAATAAAGGATATTACTCATCGCGCGCTCGCTTAGACCGAGAGTGTCGCTATTTCGTGCTGAAACGCTCGTTCACACGATGCGCCCGATTAAATTACCAGGGTGGTTTGCAAAAAGACGCCAGTAAATACACACACACACACACACATATACGGCAGAATGATACACCGAACGCGCTTCGTCGACGCACGTTTCGTTGTCGGCAGCAAAATTTCCCGTCGCTGCTCCATCGTTGATTAAGTCGAACACCTCGCTCGAGGAGAGTAAATAAGAATCGTTACCTCGTTACGATATCGCAGTTTCGTTTAACGAACCAGCGCTTATCCGTTTTGCGGTAATGAGTGCGACAGTTTCCGCACACAGAACCGCGTCAGCGCTTTGTCATGACTTTTATGAGCTCAATATAATGCGCGGTGCGATCAGCTCCCTCCCGCAATTTCGCGAATTATCGTAATTAAAATAACGATTATTATCGGTGTGTACGTCTGTCTGCCAGCGATCTTGAAAATATTCTTTCTCTTAATTGCTCCAGACGTCTCGATAAATCGATAATAGCTTTGAATGAGCTTCATTTATAACTGATGGAGCACTTTCATACTCCGCCAATTATCTCAAGCAAAGAATATAGATTTTTGAGAATTATAGATAGAACAAATTGGTGATTGTGTCAAAATATTTCCAACAATATTATTAAAAATAGTTTCAGCTGTTATCGTTGTATTAAAGCGCAACTGTTATTTTATAGATAGTTTATTTTTATCGTGACACTCAGCGAGAAATAAATTAACGATAAACTGCCTGATCATTAATCTAAAAAGTTGGTTTATGAAGTACGTTTATTGTGCAAAGCCTTCTCGTTAGTGGATTATGCAATCGCTAATTCAGTATTGTTCTCATTATATATAAAACTAATTAATGCAAGCCCTTGATAATTGTTATATGTTCGAAAACTCTATATGAAGGACGAGCCGCCAAATGTCGTTTCTGTCCAGTTGGACGCATCGTTAAAAGTTATACGAACAACTTTGCTCGCATGCCTGCAAAACTACCTCACGCAGGCAGTTTGAGTTATCAGCGAATTAAGCTTACTGGCAATGACGAGCTGTAAATCTCTTTAAAACGCGGTCTCAAAGTCGTTAGGAGGAACGAGGGGTGGACTCGAGAGTAACGGAAGCAGGCAGGATGGAGTTGTCTATTAGGATTACGAGCGCGTTCTGTGAGTGAAGTATCTACGGAAATGCTGAAAAATAAAATCCGGTGGAATAATCGCTTCGTCATTTGGTTAGCTGCACGCCATTTCTGGACGTAGTCCTCGTAAACGGAGCCTTCCATTAAAGTGTTCCGCCCCGGTGACCCGGGGGCTGCTCCTTAAAGTTATCCAATCAATTTCCCTGGTTTAGTTCGCTTCCGATTTCTATCTTCTTTTGTTTTCCACTTTTACAGTGACCCGAGCAAAACTACACCTACGAGAGACAACTTGAGACAAAATTTCCGCGAGAGGTCTTCTTTCTATAACGCCCGACACGTAACGATATTTTTTGGTGTGACGGAAAATTAATAAAGACCCGCACATTTCCTATCACGCGGAGAGAGTAACTTTCTTCCTTCCTTGCTACGCGGGAATTTGAAACGATATTTGTACGTGTGTGTTCGTTGAAGAAAAGGAAAGAAAACTCTTTCCGACACAGAGGAAGATATGAATCTCCACTTTAAAACTTTACGGTTATTAATCGGTCTCGACGACGCGTTAGCTTTATGCTTTTCTTACGAATTAAAATCCGATATATTGAGAAAAAGAGAGATAATGCGTGTATGAATATGTGTGTATATAAAGGTGTGTATATAAAGTGTCCCAAAATTCACGCAAGATTTGAATTTTGCGCCATTTGTGCGGTAAAGTGTTGCCAACGAAAAAAAAAGACAGCGTGACAGCTGACAGTTCAGGGTTTTTAAACTGACCACGCACAGCGAGGAGAGTTCGTTGAATGGATTATGGAACAACAACAAGTGGATGCTGATTTTTCGAACAAAATCATCTTCAGCGGTGCGGCTCATTTTCATCCTAATGGCTTGGTTAATCGACAAAATTGTCGCATTTGGGGTTCAGAAAATCCACGAGTGATTATTGAGAAACAAATGCATCCACAACGTGTTACTGTTTGGTGCGGATTTTGGGCTGGAGGCATCATCGGACTATTCTTCTTCAAAAATGCGGCTGGTCAGGCAATAACAGTTAATTGGTGTTCGCTATCGCGACGTGATAATCCAGTTTTTTGTGCCTAAATTGCAAGATATGGATGTGGACGACATGTGGTTTCAACAAGACGGTGCCACATGCCATACAGCCCGAGAAACAATTCAATTACTGCATGAGTCATTTTCTGGTCGTGTAATTTCCCGTTTTGGTGATCAGATCAGGCCGCCCAGATCATACGATTTAACGCCGTTGGACTTTTTTCTTTGGGGTTTTTTGAAGTCTAAGGTTTATACCAACAAGCCCACGACCACCCACGCTTTGAAGGAGGAAATTGAGCGCTATATCAACGAAATTCAGCCACATTTATGCAAAACGGTCATGGAAAATTTCAACAAAAGAATGCATATGTGCCAGCAAAGCTGTGGAGGTCATTTACTCGATATGCTATTCCATACATAATCCTATACTGTATACTTTATGAATCAATAAAAAATTTACAATTTTTAATTATAAACCTGTGTTTTCTATCAAAATTACTTCTTGCGTGAATTTTGGGACACCCTTTATATCAAAACATAATATATTTCTCATCTTTTTCTATATATAATTCTTCTTCTATATATAATTTCACATAATATATGGAACATATATATATATATATATATCTGATCTAGAAGCTTTATTTATTGATTTCTTCATTAA